CCAGTCCAGCAGAATTGATGGCGGAGGACCATCACGTCAGTGCTGGTGGTCTTTGCTTCTTCCAGCATGCTGACATTTGTCCGCCTGTCTTCCCAAGAGATTTGCAGGATTTTTCGAAAGCAACACTGATGGAATTGTTCCATGAGTTGAGTGTAATGTCTGTAGACAGTCCATGTTTCACAGGCATATGGCAGGGTTAGGAGGTCAGTAGCTTAATAAACAAACACCTTGGTTTCCCTGTGGATGTCCAGGTCAGTATTCTTGCAAGGAAATGGGTGACATTTTATCTCCATATGGTAAAAAACAGTAACATTGTTTTCATTTGTGTTCACTTTAAAACTGGCAGAAGTTGACTATAGAGTTACTTTGAGGAGGTGTATTTACACTGTAGAATTAATGCCGTTTGGCACCACTTGAACTGCCATGGCTCAATGCTATGGAATCCTGGGAGTTGTAGTTTTATGTGGCACTGGCACTTTTTGGCAGAGGCAGCTTAAGACTTTGTAACAAGGGAGATCAAGGTGATTGTTGGAACAATCACCTTGATCTCCCTATGGATGTCTTTGATTGGTAGTTAACTATAAATCCCAGCAACTACAACTTCCAAATGACAAAATCAGATATTTACACAACGATTCATAGCAGTAGCAAAATTACAGTTATGCGGTAGGAACGAAAATAATTTTCTGATTGGGAGTCACCACAACATGAGGAACTGTATTAAGGGGTCATGGCATTAGGAAAATATGACTTAAAGTGATATCAAACTACATTATACTGCAGCGTAGATGCACCCAAAATGACATGGGTTCCTTCCCAATGGGAAAAGAAGAGACAGTACTATTGCAGAATTGTCCTTGTGGCTTGCTTAGTCGAGAGAGATGCTGTCCCCTTCCCTATCTTGGGGGAAATTGATGGCCACTTAAAATGAACTAAATCCATGCTGGTTGAGGGGGAGGACAAAGGGAAGCGTGAAAGGACATTAACTGTCCAGCTCATTAGAGGCTCTAAATCTGTCAGGAAGTCACGCGGCTCCCTCCGGTCTCATTAAAGTGCCTGATGCATTCAAAGTTTTTCTCTTTCCTCTCCTTTTCTCTTTCAAAATACGATCCTACCTGCACAATATAGATGCCGCGGTCTTTTTTCTCTGTGCTTTCCTTCCTTTTAGCACGGACACACGCAGCGTCCATCAAAGGCACCCAAAAGCTCAAAACACAGTTTGACAGTTGGGTATCCTGCCCAGGTTTCGCTGAATGGGAGGAACAAAGAAATTGTGAGGTTTTTCTTTGGTCAAGAGAACTAGACCACTGAGCCAAGGAACAAACAATGGAAATTGCCTATGTGCTGCTGCAGTGGGTATTGCTTTGGGTGAAAGAACCGTGATTTTGGCACCGGCTGTTTACTTCCCTCTTAAGTGTGCCCTTTGGAAACAATAAAAAAGGAGTCTAAGAACAGGTGGGCAATAACAATGTGAATCATCGTAGATTGCTTTTCCTTGAAGCTTTCTTTGGAACTGGCTTCTCTTCCCGGGGAAATAGGCATCCTACAACTTAGAATAGGAGGCACTGAGTTCAAAAACAGTGAATTTGCTGTGCTCTCTCTTCTGAAACAAAGCACAAAGGCCATCTTTTCTTTCTCTCCTTGGACTAGGAAGGCATGGTAAAAGGTGAATCATAGAATCATAGAGTTGGAAGAGACTTCTGGGGCCATCCAGTCCAACCCCATTCTGCCAAGAAGCAGGAAAATCACATTCAAAGCACCCCCAAGAGATGGCCATCCAGCCTCTGTTTAAAAGCCTCCAAAGAAGGAGCCTCCACCACACTCCTGCGCAGAGAGTTCCACTGCTGAACATCTCTCACAGAAAGTTATTCCTAATGTTCAGGTGGAATCTCCTTTCCTGCGGTTTGAAGCCATTGCTCTGTGTCCTAGTCTTCAGGGGAAGCAGAAATCAAGCTTGTTCCCTCCTCCTTATGACTTCCCCTCACGTATTGATACATAGCCCTCATCATTTCTCCTCTCAGCCTTCTCTTCTGCAAGCTAAACATGCCCAGCTCTTTAAGCTGCCCATAGGGTTTGTTGTCCAGATCCTTGATCCTTTGAGTTGCCCTCCCCTGGACACATTACAGCATGTCAACATCTCCTTTCAATTGCGGTGCCCAGAATTGGACACAATGTGATTCCAGGTGTGGTCTGACCCAAGCAGAATAGAGGGGTAGCATGACTTCCCTGGATCTAGGCACTAAAATCCTATTTATGCAGGCCAAAATCCCACTGGCCTTTTTTGCTGCCACATGACACTGTTGGCTCATGTTTGACTTGTTGTCCATAAGGACTACAAGAATGAAAGAAATGGTGTTCCATGCCCTCCAGTCTTTTATGGATGAAAACTTTGACTTTTTTTTAAAGCTAAGCAACATCACAAGATGGCATTAAAGATCAGGTTAGCACGGACTGAAGTATTTTGCTTTTGGTTGAGTCTACTAGAAAGTGCAGGATTCTTTCCCATCCTCTCTCTCTGGATGTACTGAATGCTTTTGCACTTTGAACTCAGTTTGCAGCATTTTTTTTCCATGTCAGGAATGGGTTGAGAAACTGCAAGTCACTTCTGGTGTGAGCATTGGCCATCTGCAATGACATTTCAGGATATAGCGAGTGCCATAAGCATGTAGTCCAACCCCTGCCAATGTCCTCCCCAAACACCATACTGCCCACCACTCAAGGAACGCTTTAATTTGGACACAATTTCATCCTAGATTTCACGCCCCCCCCCAACCCACAGAGACATCCCGATGTTTCTTACTCTCTCCATTGGTGTGGAATTTGCATGATCCCGCCCACTGCCTCTCCCTTAATCCTTTCCTGCTCCTTTCAACTCTGCGCAACAAACAGAGCAGTTCTAATCAGCAACTAAACATACTGAAGGAGTTTGAGGGGTTGACTCCACATTATGGAAGTTGTAGTTCACCTGCATCAAGTCAGAGCACTGTGAGCTCCCGGTGGTGTGATGGGTTACACCCTTGTGCTGGCTGAAAGGTTGGAAGTTCGAATCCAGGAAGTGGGGTGAGCTCCCATCTGTCAGCTCTAGCTCCCCATGCGGGGACATGGGAGAAGTCTCCCACAGGATAGTAAAACATCAAACATCCCAGTGTTGCCTGGGCAATGTCCTTGCAGACAGCCAGTTCACTCACACCAGAAGCATCTTGCAGTTTCTCAAGTCGCTCCTGACACACACAAAAAAGTACAAACCAAGATTGATTCTGTGTACGCTCCAAGATCAGACAGGATCTTGTGCCTTTAGGGTAGAAATAGCTAGGCTAGATTACATATTACTCATCCTATCCAATTAAGTAAGTGAGAAGAAATAATTTCCTCATTAAATCTTGATTTGAGAACAGCTCCTTTTGCTCAGGCTTCTGTTTCCACTTCCAAAATACAATCTCTCTCTCTGTGCACATGTGTTTGAATTACAAGTTCTGAGCATTTGTGGTTGGTACTTAATTCACAATGCTTGAACATCCCTGGAGGGGTGGGGTGTTTATGCTCTTGCCCACAAATCTCAGATGAACTTGGCCTGGCAAGACTAATTTTTATTTTTCATCACTTTGTACTTCTCCTGGGCGAAAACTAGACCTAACTGTGACAAAAGTTTAAAATATTGCCACCTAGAAGAGTCCAAGGTTGCATCTACACCAATGTTTCTCAACCTGGGGTGGTCACAAGGGGATTTCAGAGGGGTCACCAAAGACCATCAGAAAGCACCTATTTCTGATGGTCTTAGGAACCCCTTTGGCAGAGAAGGCTGAAGATCTCTCTGCCTGTTCTTCTCTTCCTTTATTCCTCATTTGGTACAGAGTGCACTCTGAGAGTTGGTGAACTACAACTCCCAGAATTCAAAAACAGACCAACCCCACCAGTATTCAATGTTGGCCATGTACGTAGTGTGCCAAGTGCCAAATTTAGTGGAGATCCATTGTGGGCTGGGTTCAGAGTACTCTTTGATTGTAGGTGAACTATAAATCCCAGCAACTACAACTCCCAAATGATAAAATTAGTCCCCCCTAACCCGAACAGTATTTGAATTTTGGAATATCGGGTTTTTGAGCAAAATTTGATCCAGGGTCAACATTGTTTGGGTTCAAAGTGCTCTCTGGAGATAGGTGAACTACATCTCCCCTTAATCACTGTCAATTCCTCCCAAATCCCTCCAGTATTTTCTGTTGGTCATGGTTGGTTCTGTGTGGGAAGTTTTGTTCAGAATGTTATTTGATTGTAGGTGAACTATAAATCCCAGCAACTACAACTCCCAAATGACAAAATCAATCCCCACTGCAACCCTACCAGTATTTAATGTTGGCCATGTAGGTAGTGTGTCAAGTTTGGTGCAGATCCATTGTGGGCTGAGTTCAAAGTGTTCTTTGATTGTAGGTGAACTATAAATCCCAACAACTACAACTCCCAAATGACAAAATCACTCCCCCCTCTAACTCTACCTGTGCTAAATTTGGTCCAGTTAATGAAAATAGATCCCGTGTATTAGATGTTTACATTAGGATTCATAACAGTAGCAAAATTACAGTTATGAAGTAGCAATGAAAATAATGTTATGATTGGGGGTCATCACAACATGAGGAACTGTATTAAGGGGTTGTGGTATTAGGAAGGTAGAGAACCACTGATCTACACTGTAGGATTTGTGCAGTGTAACTGCCAGTGGTTTGGTGAAGTGCTTTGAGAACACCTTATGAAATGACAACTTTGATGGTCCCATTGCATAGAAGTTGAAGATGTGTCAAACTGCATTAATTCGATCATGTAGATGCAATCCAAGAGAATCCAACACTAGTACCGCTTGTGCCTTTGAATCCACTTCTCCATTTCCCACCACAACTCTTGCTTTGGAGATGAATGTGTTAATCTGGCTGGAGTTTCAATCTCAAGTTAAGAGAAAGGGCTGGGCTATGGGGAAGGCGGCTTCTTCCTGCGGCTGCCAGAAAGGCAGAGAAGGGAAGATTCAGGGAGACCACGGAATCCAAGCGTGGAGTCTGTTCAGAGCTGGTGGACCAGGTAAGAAGGTACATTGATTTGGGGACTTTGCAAAGTGGAAGCATTTGCATTTGCAAAGCTGGGGGCATTGAAGTGGAGAGACCACAGCATGGGCATTGCTAAATGGGGTGAGACATAAACAGAGTTGCAGAGGAGTCTTAGCAGTCCATCAAAGGTGATGTTTCTATGGGCAAAAGGGTATAGTTAGTGGACAGTGTGTGATTTTGTGGCATGACACACCAAAGGTTCGGAATGTGCATAGAAGTAATGTGAACCAAATGAGTACATAAAGGCAGCAGATCTGGTCTGTTCTTGGAAGCTAAGCAGGTTCAGCCCCGGTTAGAACTTGGATGGGAGACCACCAAGGGAATACCAAGTGCTGGAAGCTCAGTTTCAGAGGGAGGCACTGGCAACACTATCTCTGATCATAACTTCTTGCCTATGAAATTAATGGTAGGTAAAGGTTTTCCCCTGACATTAAGTCTAATCGTATCCAACTCTGAGGGTTGGTGCTCATCTCAGTTTCTAAGCCAAAGAGCTGGCATTGTCCATAGACATCTCCAAGGTCAAGTGGCCAGCATGACTGTATGGAGTGCAGTTACCTTCCTGCCAGAGCAGTACCTATTGATCTACTCACATTTTGCATATTTTTGAACTGTTGGGTTGGCAGAAGCTGGGGCTAACAGTGGGAACTCACCCCACTCCCCGGATTTGAACTGCCAACCTTTTGGTCAGCTATTTCAGCAGCTCAGCAGTTTAACCCACTGCACCACCAGGGGCTCCTTATGAAATTAACTGGGTTGCCATAAATTGGCTCAGGTGACTTGAAGGCTGCTCAGCAAAGGGTCTATTTTGACTTGATCTCTTTGAGATCTATCTATCTATCTATCTATCCATCCATCCATCCATCCATCCATCCATCCATCCATCTTTGCGTGTGTGTACATACAGAGACATATAGTACAATGGAATCAAAACCAAATGGGCTTATGCTGAGCGTAATGACTTGCTGAATGACTCTAGCAGCTTTGCTGATTTTTCAGGTAAATGAGTCACATAGCTATCACAGGAAGCCAAAATGTTGTTTGTGTATTTGTGTTTGGGTGTGCATTGTGGAAGGACTTGACCTTTGGTCTGTCTATCCCATTACTTCACTATACACTGATAAGTCTGTCTCAGGGCACATCTAAACTGCACAGTTACTGCAGTTTGACATCACTTTAGCTGCCATGGCTCAATGCTATGGAATTCTGGGAGTACCCACACTCTGGCAGGGAAGACTACGGGTCTTGTAACACTACATATCTCACAATTCTATAGCATTAAGTGACAACAGTTCCAAGTGTTGTCAAACTGGATTAATTCTTCAGTGTAGATGTACCTTGAGACAGACAAACTGCTGCAGAATATTTCAGAATTCCAGATAAGGGATGCTCAACCTGTATTAGCCATCCACTATTTTTCATGCTGTGAGTTTTCTGGGCTGTATGGCCATGTTCCAGAAGCATTCTCTCCTGACGTTTCACTACATCTATGGCAGGCATCCTCAGAGGTTGTGGGGTCTGTTGGAAACTAAGCAAGTGGGATGTATATATCTGTGGAATAATGTCCAGGGTGGGAGAAAGAACTCTTGTCTGTTTGAGGCAAGTGTGAACATTGCAATTGGCCACCTTGACTAGCATTTAATAGCCTTGTAGCTTCAAAGCTTGGCTGATTGCTGCCTGGCGGGATCCTTTGCTGGGAAATGATTAGTTGGCCCTGATTGTTTCTTGTCTGGAATTCCCCTGTTCTTTGAGTATTGGTTTTTATTTACCGTCCTGATTTTAGGGTTTTTCAATATTGGTAGCCAGATTTTGTTCCTTTTCATGGTTTACTCCTTTCTGTTGAATTTGTTCACATGCTTGCAAATTTCAATAGCTTTTTATTTATTTACTCTATTTGTATACTGCCTTTCCCTACCCTGAAGGCAACTCAAAGCAGCTTTATGTATGGTAACTATTCAATACCTTTGAACAAGTTAAAATACATTTAAGTTAAAAAAATTAAAAATTAGATGCACATTAAAACGTAAAAAACATTGCAATCACTATTAAAATCACATCATCCACAATCGTAATCTGGGTTGTTCCAAAGTCATTGCACATAATTCCGTAGCTATTATTGCACTATAGTTAATCTCCAAAGGCTTGACCCTAGAGCAGTGGGTCTCAACCTTCCTAATGCCGCGATCCCTTAACACAGTTCCTCATTTTGTGGCGATCCCCAACCTTAAAATCATTTTCATTGCTACTTCATAACTGTCATTTTGCTACTTTTATGAATCATAATGTAGATATCTGATATGCAGGATGTATTTTCATTCACTGGACCACATTTGGCACAAACACCCAATGCGCCCAAATTTGAATACTGGTGGGGTTGTGGGGAAGGATTGATTTTGTCATTTGGGAGTTGTAGTTGCGAGGATTTATAGTTCACCTACAATCAAGGAGCATTCTGAACTTTACCAACGATGGAACTGAACCAAACCTGGTACACAGAACTCCCACAACCAACAGAAAATATTGGGTTTGGTGGGCATTGACCTTGAGTTTTGGAGTTGTAGTTCACCTACATCCAGAGAGCACCGTGGACTCAAATAATGTTAGATCTGGACCAAACTTGGGCATATGAATACTCAATATGCCCAAATATGAACACTGGTGGAGTTTGGGGAAAATAGACCTTGACATTTGGGAGTTGTAGTTGCTGGAATTTATAGTTCACCTACAATCAAAGAACATTCTGAACCACACCAATGATAGAATTGGGCCAAACTTCCCACACAGAACCCCCATGACCAACAGAAAATAGTGTTTTCTGATGGTCTTTGGCAACCCCTCTGACACCCCCTCGTGATCCTTCAGGGGTCCCGACCCACAGGTTGAGAAATTCTGCCTTAGAGCCAGGTGTTCACTTTTCTTCTGAAGCCAAGAGGGAGGGAGCTGCTCTAATATTACTGGGGACTGAGATCCAAAGCCGAGGGGCCACACTGAAAAGACCTTGTCTCTCGTCTCTCTGACCAGACACCTGTAAAAGAGGCGGGACTGAGAGCACGTCCTCCCCAGATGATTTTAATGTCCGAGATGGTTCATACTGTTTCATACTTTTTCTCTCCATTTCATTCTTTTATTTGCCCTTTTATTTGCCCCAAATATATCACAACCATTCAAACAACTTATTTCTGAAAACCCATCTATTATTTCTTAATGTCATCCTCCTATGAATATGCCTAGTAATTGTTTGTATTAGTAACAGAGCCAGGAATTCATTTCTGAGATAACAAGAAGGCATTTATTTCTTTGTTTCCTTAGACATTACTCATTAATTTGTCATTTCACTGTAAGTTTTTTCCTCATTAATCTCATCACCTATGTTCACTGCATGCTCCAAAGCAACCTTTAAAAAAGGAGAATATAATTGGCAAAGGGACAAGTGAGAATTTCCCTAAATCAGACCAAGCTTGAAATATATATATATAGTGTCAGGAGCAACTTGAGAAACTGCAAAAGTCCTTTCTGGTGTGAGAGAATTGGCCATCTGCAAAGACGTCGCCTAGGGGATACCCTGATGTTTGATGTTTTACCATCCTGTGGGAGGCTTCTCTCATGTCCCCGCATGGGGAGCTGGAGCTGACAGAGGGAGCTCATCAGTGCTCTCCCCAGATTCGAACTTCTGACCTGCAATCGAACCTTCAATCCTGCCAGCACAAGGTTTTAACCCATTGTGCCACTCGATATTGATAAAATATCATATAATGATTATAGAGTTGGTGTGGAGTATCTTGAGGTCATCTAGTCCATCCCTTGCTTGAGATGAGGAATCCAGCTAATTGGTTGCTCTGTTATTTCTCATGGTGCCTACATGGGGGAAAATGTAGTATTCCTTTATATTTGGATACAATCTATGTGCATAAGGACATATTGCAGGGAAGTAACTGCGTCAGTCTGACTTTGTAGGAAAATTAGGAGGATGCTTTAGAAACAAAAGAGCTTTGCTTTCTGAAATTTGCATCTACTTCCTTAGATGCACACAGTGCTATGATAAGCCAGTTGTGTAATAAGCAGTTGAAAGATCGCAAGGATGTGAAAAGTGCAGACCAAGGTAATGATAGGTCAAGCTGCAATGTAAACAGATCAGTCTTATTATGGTGATTAGGCTTGATCATAAGACAAATGCTCTTTGGATCAATACAGTCATTAGTGAGATGCATATTTCTTTATCCAGGTCCTTTTGCTTCCAACGTCCAGTGCCAACAGTACCATATTCACCTGACTTCGGATTATTTTGATGGGAACGTTGCTTGGAAGTAATTTCGCTGGAGCCCAGGATTGACTCTTTCTGCAGCTGGATTAATTTTTCCTTTGGCTTGGATGTAATCTAATTGCCGACAATGGGGCCACTCCACAACCTCAAGGGAATGCTGTGTTTGCCGTGGGGTCTCCCCTGAAGCTTCTGCAAAGGGGTCTAATTTGCCATTTTCTTCTGCTGTGGACTATGAGGAGTGGATGATCTCTGCCCCAAGGTGGTCTCCCCAGGAGTAGGGGAGCCATGCCCTGCCAACGGCGGCCGTGGTCAACCAGCGACACGCCGAGAGAGGACCTCTTCTACCAAACATATTACAGCCTGAGCCAACAATACCCCCTGATCCTCCTCCTCCTGGTTATCGTCTTGGGCATCTGCGTGGCTCTTATCGTCACTTCTTTTGCCAGTGGGAGGGTAAGTATCGGAGGTTGGGAAGATACTTTGGGTCTCAATATGGAGAGAAAAGCAGTGTATATATAAATCTATAGCTATAAAGTTGAAGTACACATGTATATACGTATGTTGGTTGGTTTATTGGCTTGTACCACAAAGGCTCCTTCATGATTTGATGGATCTGGACCAAACTTGGCACACATACCCCTCATTATACTACTTAAAACAATTGAGGAGTTTGAACTAAAAAGAAACAAACACAAACACCTCTTTCAGGCTCAAGTAAGAGGAAAAGGAAAGGAAACAAAGTATATTGGCTGGCTGATGCTAGGTGAAGCGGAGGTGGTGCAGCAAGTGAAACTGCTGAGCTGCTGAACTTGCTGCTCAAAAGGTCAACAGTTTGAATCTGGGGAGTGGGGTGAGCTCCTGCTGTTAGCCCCAGCTTCTGCCAACCTAGCAGTTCAAAAATATGCAAATGTGAGTAGATCAATAGGTACCACCTCTGCAGGAAGGTAACAACGCTCCATTTAGTCATGCTGGCCACATGACCTAGGAGGTGTCTACAGACAACTCTTCGGCTTAGAATGGGGATGAGCACCACCCGCCAGAGTTGGACACAACTAGACTTAATGTCAAGGGGAAACCTTTACTTAGGTGAAGTGGCCCTCTGTGATGTTACTGGGAAGCAAAGGGGATGAAGTGGTTTGGCGACTGCTAAGTGACGAGTGTATGACTGGAAGGGAAGAAGGGAGGAAAAAAAGAAAAACAGAAGGGAAAGAAAGGACATATGATGGAAGAAAGGGAGGGAAAGAAAGGGAAAAAGAGGGAAGAGAAAGGAAAGGGGAAGGTAGGAGGAGAGGGGGGAAGAAAGAGAAAGAAGGAAGAGAAGGAAGGAAGAAAGAAGGGAGAAGGAAGGGAAAAAGAGAGAAAAAAGGGAAGAGAAAAGGATGAAGAAAGAAAGAAAGAAAGAAAGAAAGAAAGAAAGGTGTATGAAAGAAAGAAAAGGAGCATTGCCATGGAGACATTCTGAGGTAGGCTTTCTCCAAGCTGGGGAAGGGAGAAAATAGGTGGGCACTGGGCAGTGGTCCCAAGTTTGCAGATGACACCAAATTAGGAGAGATAGCTAATTCTCCAGAGGACAGGATCAGAATTCAAAACAACCTTAATAGATTAGAGAGTTTATTGGCCAAAACTAACAAAACAAATGTCAACAAGGACAAATGTAAGATACTCCACTTAGGCAGAAAAAAATGAAACGTGAAGATACAGAATGGGTGATACCTGGCTCAACAACAGTCCATGTGAAAAAGATCTTGGAGTCTTGGTGGAAAATAAGCTGAACATGAACAAACAATGTGATGCTGCAGCTAAAAAAGCCAATGGGATTTTGGGTGGCATCAAAAGGAGTGTAGTGTCTAGATTGAAGGAAGTCATGGTGCCTTTCTATTTTGCTTTGGTCAGACCTCACCTGGAATAACCCTGTGCCCAGTTCTGGGCACTACTATTTAAGAGTGATATTGACAAGCTGGAACGTGTTCAGAGGAGGGTGACTAAGATGATCAAAGATCTGAAGATCATGTCCTATGAGGAGTGGCTTCAAGAGCTGGGGATGTTTAACCTGCAGAAGAGAAGGCTGAGAACAGACATGATCACCATGTATAAATATTTAAAAGCCTGTCATAGGGAGAAGGAGCAGGCTTGTTTTCTTCTGCCCTGGAGACTAGGACTTGGAACAATAGATTCAAATTGCAGGAGAGGAAATTCAACTTGAACATTAGGAAGAACTTCCTGATTACGAGAGGTGTTCAATAGCAGGACTCTCTGCCTCGGAGTGTGGTGGAAGCTGGATGGCCTTCTGTTAGCGGTGCTCTGCTTGTGCTTTTCCTGCATGTCATGGGGTTGGACTAGATGGCCCATGTGGTTTCTTCCAATTCTATGATACCCAGAATAAGGCACGGGCAATCCATGTTTCTAAATGGTTCTAAAGTACTTACTAAACTAGGGGGCGCTGGTGCTTTGCTTCTAAAGTGTTGCTTAAGTTCTGGTGGTGAAAATTTCAGAACTCTAATAAAACTTTCAAAATTTCATAATTATTTTGTTATTTGCAATTTTTATGCCAGAGCCAATTACGAACTGCCATTTATAATGAAATTTTGAAAGTTAGAGTTCTGAAGTTTTCACCAAGGGAACTTTAGCAACATTGTAGAAGGAAAGCACCAGTGTTCCTAGTTTTGCAAGTACTTTAGAACCATTTAGAACCATGGATTGCAAACTTCAGCCCTTCCGTGTTTTGGACTTCAACTCCCACAATTCTTAACAGCCAGCAGGCTATTAGGAATTGTTGAGGTTGAAATCCAAAATACCTGGAGTGCCGCAGTTTGCCCATGCCTATTCTATACCAAGAGGGTATAAAGTTTGAAAAATTCATCTCGGAATGCATTGATAAATGCTCTTTGGAAAACAGGTTGAAAGTAACTGGAAATAGTTACTCTACACCAGGGATGGAAACGAGTGTAGATTTAGGCATCTCTCATTCTTTGGCAGATCCCACTGCACTGAGTCTGACAATGACTCCAAGTACATGTGGAAAAGATCTTGGAGTCCTCATGGACAACAAGTTAAACATGAGCCAACAATGTGATGCTTCAGCTAAAAAAGAGAATGGGATCTTGGCCTGCATAAATAGGAGTATAGTGTCTAGATCCAGGGAAGTCATGCTATCCCTCTATTCTGCCTTGGTTAGACCACACCTGGAATACTGTGTCCAATTCTGGGCACAACAATTGAAGAGAGATATTGACAGGCTGGAATGTATTCAGAGGAGGGCGACTAAAATGATCAAGGGTCTGGAGAAGAATCCCTATGAGGAGCGGCTTAAAGAGCTGGGCGTGTTTAGCCTGCAGAAGAGAAGACTGAGAGGAGACATGATAGCCGTGTATAAATATGTGAGGGGATGTCACAGGGAGGAGGGAGCAAGCTTGTTTTCTGCTTCACTGGAGACTAGGACACAGAGCAATGGCTTCAAACTACAGGAAAGGAGATTCCACCTGAACATTAGTCCTGACTGTGAGAACTGTTCAACAGTGGAACTCTCTACTCCAAGTGTGGTGGAGGCTCCTTCTTTGGAGGCTTTTAAACAGAGGCTAGGATGGCCATCTGTGGGTGCTTTGAATGCATTTTCCTGCTTCTTGGCAGGGGGTTGGACTGGATTGCCCATGAGGTCTCTTCCAACTCTATGAGTCTATGATTCTATGTTTCAGCTCAGTTGTGTGCACATTGCACAATTATAGCAATCTGCAACTACTTTAATCACAGTGGCTTCACTCTTAAATCATGGGATTTGTAGTCAGGTGAGGGGCACCTGTAGGCCCTTCAGTACAACCCTGTTGCCAGATTATGATGGAAATTGTCTATAGAGCTATGCTGAATGACCTAGGGATTCATAGATAGGTGTTGTCTTTGGGATTCCCCCACTTTCATGGGGTTCGTCGTCCCAATGTATGTCACGGGCTGACTGCAAATTTTATTCAAATGGGCAAGATAAAACCAATTCACTCCTTCAGGAAAGGATTTAGCTCTCGCTAAGGCAAGTGCTGCAGACAAGAGGAATGATGCTCTTCCCTTTTCCTTCCACCTCCCCAGGAATTCTCCTCCAACCTGGACTTCCTGGTGACCTTATTTGTCGCCCTTGTGGTCTTCATTCTCATCCTGGTCCTTGTGTGCATTGAAAACCTCTTCCAGCGATGTACCCGGATCTTCTCGGCCATCATTTGGACCTGCCTGATCACCATGGGCTACGTCTTTGTCTTCACAGGCGGGGAGGTTAGAGCCTGGGACCAGGTGAGATGCTGGAACTGTCGACAGTCGTCCTCCATATCCACTAGGGTTAGGGCACAGGACCTCTGCAAAAGCAGAAACCAACACATTAGAAATGGTATATTTTCCCCTGTGAAAACACCTTTTTAGCAATACTTAGGTTTTCCAACATGAACTTCCAGCAATCCATCCTCAAACTCTAGCCCTCCATCTGTTTGGGAATCCAACTCCTAGGAATTCTTGACTATTGAACAAGCTGGCTGGGACTTCTGGGAATTGGAGACCCAAACACCTGGAGGGCTGGAGTTTGAGGATGCCTGCCATAGAGCCACATTGCAGGACCAAGAGATTCCTAGCGAAAAATATATTAATAAAATCTATGATTTATCAAATCCTCAAAATCAAACACATACATGTGGCGGCTAGCTGAAATTTCATGGCATGTTTGTATATGTAAATGAAGAATGGGAATCTCCTGACGGTTGAGAAAGATCAGAGAGGATGGCCCTATTGTTAGGCACAGAAATTGCTAATTATGTCTTAGAGCCAGTATATTTTGTGGATTTGATTATTTGCAAATTTGATTGCTATATTCTCTTCCTTTGGAGGACCAAGACATTCCTAGAGAGAATGCTTCTATGGTCAATTTCCAGCTGATTTTATGACCAATTTCCAGAAGAAGTTGAGCTGGAGGACCTAGATGTTATTAGAGATATGTTCTCTCAAAAAAGAGCATTTTTTTCTAATTAACACAAGGGTTTTGTACTCCCTAACCCCCATGAACCCCATGAACCCCATGGTTCTGGTGTTGCACCACTTGACATCCACTGGGAGGTATCAGCCAATAGTGAAAGGACCAAGGCAGTGACATCTCCAGCCCAGACCCTGTTTGGATATCAGCCAGCAGGCCAATGTCTTAAATCAAGAAATAGCTTTCTAAGATCTACAGAGATACTTACAAGAAAACTCCTCAGCAAGTGAGAGTCCAAAAGTGGCAGGCTAAAACCCAGAACATCAACCCATGACTGATACCGAATGAGAGACTCCCTCCTGGGCACACAGAAAACTGGGCGACTTGGAAGGCGCTGAACAGACTGCAGTCTGGCACCACAAGATGCAGAGCTAATCTTAAGAAATGGGGCTACAAAGTGGAGTCCATGACATATGAGTATGGAGGAGGGCAAACCACAGAACACCTCCTACAATGCAACCTGAGTCCTGCCACATGCACAATGGAGGACCTTCTCACAGCGACACCAGAGGCACTCCAAGTGGCCAGCTACTGGTCAAAGGAGATTTAGCATATTGCCAAGTTTTTAACTTTGTGTTTTAAATACATTTTATCTGTACCCTCGATTTGCTTCTGACACGATACATAAATAAACTCCCATGAAAGTGGTCTGGTACTATTATTATGATGATTATTATTATTCTCCCAGGAATACTGTAGGATTACTGGTAGTTAATATGGTTGGCTCTTGGTCAGAAGTAGGAAACAATTTTAGTTCCTAGGAACCTGGCCACCATGGCCACAGATATGGGGTTTAGAGTAGTTGTAATACAAAACATCTGAGAAGTCACTGGGGCTGATGCATTAAGTACCAACCACAGTTTAATGGCATGTCCAAGAGGAATCCATGGGTTTTAGGTTTTTGGTCCAGAAATATCAGGGCATGGGATGTTCTTGAATTGGAAACCCTATGTATAAAAGAACTAGGGGCTTCATCACACTAGATCGGGGGTCCTCAAACTTTTTAAACAGAGGGCCAGGTCACAGTCCCTCAAACCCTTGGAGGGCTGGATAATATTTTGAAAAAAAAAATGAATGAATTCCTAAGAACACTGCACATATCTTATTTGTAGTGCAAAAAACAATACAATAATTAAAATGAAGAATTTTTTTCCACAAATATACTCTTATTAGTATTTCAATGGGAAGTGTGAGCCTGCTTTTGGCTGATGAGATAGGATTGTTGTTGTTGTTGTGTGCTTTCAAGTCATTTCAGACTTAGGTTGACCCTGAGAGAGCGGGTAAATGTCCTTGGAGGGCTGGATTCGGCCCTCAGCCCTTAGTTTGAGGACCCCTGTAATAGAGGATCTATCCACTTTAAAACCAGTTGCTGCTGCTTGCAGAATTCTGGGGTTTGTAGTTTAGGGAGGAGCTCAGCCAGAGACATCCTGGGCCTCACCAAACTACAGACCCCAGAATTCTGCAGGAGGCAGCAACTGGATTTAAAGTGGAAAGATGCGCTAATGTGATGAAGTCCTAGGATTTGGACAGTCTCTTTTGGCCTTTCTGTTGGAGCTTGAGATGTTTGTTCCAAAGCTTGAATGAATGCTGTGGGAAATACGTTGAGTATATTCCCATGAATTGAGTTGACCCCTGCTCCAGAAATGTTTATATTTTATTTCTTTTCCTTCAAGGTTTCCTTCTTCCTTTTCATCATCTTCATCGTTTACACCATGTTGCCTGTGGGCATGGAGGATGCAGTGGCCGCTGGCATAGTCACTTCTCTCTCCCACATCATAGTCCTGACAGTCTATCTCTCAATGGAGCCTGGCTCACAGTTGGACTTGGCACTGCAAGTAAGTTCTATTTACCCATCTCAACTGGACTGATGAGGTATCCTTTGGCGGGTTGCCATAGATATTTATCTCACTGTGCCCTGAAGCCAACTACTATGCTTCATTTTCAGTCCCTATGTTATCTCCTGCTTCCCCGTAATACCTCCTTTTCAATTGGTATCATATTCCATAGGTCTTAAACAGACACCTGTGGATCATGATGCCATTTGAAAAGGAGGTATCATAAGGAAGTAATCATAAATAAATAATTTATGATTTAGGCCTGCATAAATAGGAGTATAGTATTTAGATCCAGGAAAGTCATGCTACCCCTCTATTCTGCTTTGGTCAGACCACACCTGGGATACTGTGTCCAATTCTGGGCACCACAATTGAAGGGAGATGTTGACAAGCTGGAATGTGTCCAGAGGAGGGTGACTAAAATGATCAAGGGTCTGGAGAACAAGCCCTATGAGGAGCGGCTTAAGGAGCTGGGCATATTTAGCCTGCAGAAGAGAAGGCTGAGAGGAGATATGATAGCCATGTATAAATATGTGAGAGGAAGTCACAGGGAGGAGGAGCAGGCTTGTTTTCTGCTTCCCTGGAGACTAGGGCACGGAACAATGGCTTCAAACTACAAGAAAGGAGATTCCATCTGAACATTAGGAAGAACTTCCTGACTGTGAGAGCTGTTCAGCAGTGGAACTCTCTGCCCTGGAATGTGGTGGAGGCTCCTTCTTTGGAGACTTTTAAACAGAGGCTGGATGGCCATCTGTCAGGGGTGCTTTGAATGCGATTTTCCTGCTTCTTGGCAGGGGGTTGGACTGGATGGCCCACGGGGTCTCTTCTAATTCAGTGATTCTATGATTCTATGTGTCATCCTTGGTAGTGGATGCTGCCATGTCTATTTAAGGAAACTTGGATTCAAAAAGAATGGAAACATGTGGTCAATTGGAGGATACCATTTGGCACAATTTGATCTAGCTCTGGTGACCTCTTAGTTGACCTGAGCTCGAGATCCATTTTCATTTTACCCTTATACCTTTTCTGATCCAAACCATGGGATTCCTATAATCATTTTTCAGCAACTCTCTGCATATGCCCCCTCTCTTTTATCCTGTCCATTTCTCACCCCCTTTGTCAATCTTTCCATTCTTTCAAATCTATCTCCACTCCTCAGTGTCTCCATCCATTATGATACACCCTGCTCCCATATTTTATCATGGACCAGACATAGAGATAGGCACAGCCTTGTAGACTATCTGGTCTATCCCTGAAAGCAGGTAATCTAGAGCATCATTAAGATAGAAGATCACTATGTTTAGAAGATCTCCATGTAAATGACCACTATCCTGTAGTTGTTTAGTAATGTTGTTGGGTTGTTCCTCGCATTGGGAGAAGTGTCCAAGTCCATCTGTTTTCATATAACTTAAACCAAATAGATCTATCTCCCAGAGTAGCAGAAAACAGAGTGAGTACTTTCATAGAAGAGTCTTTAGTTAATACCACCAGCCAACACCCCCAGGACATGTCTCTTCTCAACTTTCTTCTGCTTTATCACAACTTCATTCTCTTCTTATCTCACTTAATTATGTGTTTTCATGTTTGTATGTTTCCAGCTCCTGGCCAATCTATTTATTTTTATCTGTGGCAATTTCGTGGGTGCGTTCCACAAGCATCTAATGGAAGTGGCCTTGGGAGAGACGTTCCATGAGACCTTCAACCTCATCCAATCCCGAGTCAAGCTGGAATCAGAGAAACAGCACCAGGTTAGTGTAGAATAGATAAGGAACTTTGCCTATGGATTTCCCAGATTTAATAAGTCCTCAGAGAATCTGAAACCCTACCACTACTGACCAATAATCCGACTAGTATAAGAGTTTCCATGTGGCCTTTCCTCTATATACAGCAGTGGTTCCCAACCTGTGGGCTGTGGCCCATTGGTGGGCTGCAAGATGTAAAATAAGGTCTGCGGCTGATTAGATAAGGGTTTTTTTGTGGGTGAGCAGATGGCAACTACTGGATGGCATATGTTCTATATCAGAAACTAGAGCTGATGTGGTCTAACCAATGCAATTTTCTAAATCAGCACCCCAAATAACCAAACTGAATCTAAAGTTGACCAAAAACTGATTCGTCATCCCTTTGGTGATGTTGAAGAGTGGTCCCTGGTCAAAGTGGTCCCCTGTTAAAGTGGCCCCTGGTCAGGTTGTCCCTGGTCAAAGTGCTCCTTGTTCAAGTCATCCCTGGTCAAAGTGATTCCTGGTCAAAAAAAAAAAAGGTTGGGAACCACTGAGGTAAAGAGAGCCACCAAACCTTAAACCTTAAATGCATACCACGGGAAGCTCACAGGTCAGGTAGCATATAAACAGCAACAACAGTGAAAGTTGGCATGGCAATGATATTATTTCATCCATGATTGGAAGGGTCTTGTGTAAACTTATTCAGTTCCTCTGTCTCTTTACCCTGCTGCTAATACCAGGAACACCTTCTCCTCTCCATACTTCCTGCCTATATTGCCTTGGAGATGAAGGCTGAGATCATTGAGAGGCTGCGGGATGGGGGCCAGGCACAACGCCAACGTGAGAGCACCAATAACTTCCACAATCTCTATGTGAAGCGCCACCAGAATGTCAGGTATTTGCTTGTAAGGCCATATGTTGTCTACAAGATAGACTGGCCATTTGTAACTGCAGAACATTGCATCTCCATACTCTCATACTCTCCCATATAAGGGCCTGAGGTCAGTGGCATTATTAGGGGGTATGAGGGGTGCAAGCAACCTGGTGACGCCATCAGAGGGTTGATACCAACATGACTAAAAGTTTTGTGTGGTGTTTCAGCAGAGATTTATCAGTTATTATAAAGATGTTCCCATACTTAGATAGAAATAACTTCAAAAACATTTTTGTAAGCTGACATGTACTATATCAATATACTTACAAGGCAAAAACTACCAGTAATTTACTTTTAAAAACTTTATAATGCCCCTGTAGGAGAGACAAATGTGAAAATGTGTCTACTTACTACTACTTACTTTCTCATTCTCTCTTTTTTACAGTATTCTTTATGCTGACATTGTTGGCTTCACTCTTTTGGCCAGTGAATGCTCCCCCAAAGAGCTAGTCCTTATGCTCAATGAACTCTTTGGCAAGTTTGATCAGATTGCTAAGGTGAGTAAAGAGTTCCTTTGCTCAACCAGAAAACCTATATGTTGCAGTTTTGCAATGTCTTTAGCTTTGGGTCGTTGTAGGTTTTTCCGGGCTATATGGCCATGTTCTGGAGGCAATTTTTCTCCTGACGTTTCACCTGCATCTATGGCAAGCATCCTCAGAGGTAGTGAGGTCTGTTGGAAGTAGGAAAAATGGGTTTATATATCTGTGGAATGACCAGGGTGAAACAAAGGACTTTTGTCTGCTGGGGCTTTTGTCTTTAGTTTTCTCTGCCAAAGAGTGCTGGTGCCTCACTAAACTGTAACTTCCACAATTTCATGGCACTGAGACATGACAATTAAAGTGGTGTCAACTGCATTAATTATACAGTGTATATCAGTGGTTGCCAAACTTTTTTTGACCAGGGACCAACATTAGTACCAAAAGGGTTACGATCAGTTTTTGGTCAGCTTCAGATTTGGTTTGGTTATTCGGGGTGCTGATTAAGGAAATTGCATTGAATAGACCACATCAGCTCTTGTTTCTGATACAGAACATATGCCATCCAGTAGTCACCATCTGCTCACCTACAGAAAACCATATTTAATAATCTAGAGCTGATGTGGTAGTAGTAAACGTTTGTGGGTAGTCAGCCTCTCCCCTCCTGACATCCCAATTGCCTCGGCACTGTAAGAGGATTACATGCGACAGGTTGCTCTCGTTGCCACATGTTTTCGAGGCAACAGTGTAGTAATGGTGAGATCGTGGACCACCATATTTTAGTTCTTGTGGAGCATGGGGTAAATGCACCCTAAGACTCTGGAGAATGGGTATCAAATCCCCACTCACCTTTGGAAACCCATTGGAGGACCTTGAACAGGACATATTCTCTTAGCCTCAGATGAGGACAAAGGCAACCCACTCTGAAAAAATATTGTCAAGAAAGCCCCACGACAGGTTTGCCTTAGGGTTGGAAATGCCTTGAAGGCACACAACAACAACAACAACAACAAACCATGTGCTAGTTGTAGAAACATCTACTCTTCCCTGCCAAAGGACATGGCACCCAATCCATGCAGGCACAATTGGTTATCTTGTAACTACCCCACTACAATGAGGCCATGGCTAGTTCCAATTACTTTCTCTCTAGGATAATGAATGCATGAGGATCAAGATCTTGGGTGACTGCTACTACTGTGTCTCTGGGCTGCCCGTGTCACTTCCTAACCATGCCCGAAACTGTGTCAAGATGGGCCTTGATATGTGCCAGGCCATAAAGTGAGTGCAGCAAGTTCCTGGGGGTCTTTGCAAGATATTTATTTTTGTCCTGCATGGGGGTAAAATCATAATATTAATGTAAAAAAGGGTATTGGCACCAAGGTATTTTGCTTTGCATGTATGAATGACATCTAGCTCTATTATTAGATGGAGCAAAATATTGGTCAGTGTTGGAGATCATGGAAGTCTAATGGTTGGGAAGCTTGAGAGTGGAGCTTCTCCAAATCATTTTAACAGTATTACAAATTGATCCCAGTCATGTATAAGCCAGTTTTCCCTTTGTTAAATTTGGCTTATGGCCAGGCACAAGCCATGATTATAAGTCATGGTATACTATTACTGGCATGTGAACTCTGGCTTCCTTAAACCATGTCTTGTCATGAAGCTTGGAACTATGGCTTATCTCTAGTTTGTTCCTATAACTGCTTATGTAATAGGAGTGAGGGAAATACCAACTAGAATGGAGAAAAGAATCTTGTGGGTCTTTTGGGTAGTTTGCTGGACAGTTCTCAATTAAAGCAACAAACAAGCAAACATAAATTGTGGCTTAGCTAAATGTGCCAGTGCAGCCACAGTTATGTCCAGTAGGGAAATGTACTATTGCCATGGATTTGTTTTTAATTGTATTTCAATCAAGATAGGTAGGAATAGGTTTAAAGTCACTCTGCTGTTGGAGAGGATAATATAATAAAATAATTTTGTTTTGCTCCCAGGAAGCTGCGTGATGCCACTGGGGTGGACATCAACATGAGAGTTGGAGTCCATTCGGGAAATGTGCTGTGTGGGGTGATCGGTCTCCAAAAATGGCAGTACGATGTCTGGTCTGATGATGTGACATTAGCCAATCACATGGAAGCTGGAGGTGTGCCAGGGTGAGAAAATCATGATGGTGAGCCAGGATACTCCTGCATGGCACAGAAAAGGCTTCTGTTATGCTTATAAAATGCCACCTAGTGTCTGTAGAACAAATTGCAATGCAAATATTTTGAGACAGTTCTTCAGACTACATGGGGAAGGGAAAGATGGCCTTACCTTTATTGCATTGCTGTCAATATTATTTGTGACTTGTGGCTGATATGTCTTAGATTCCATACGTCAATCCAAATTTTCCAAGGTGTTGAATCCTGATTCCAAAACAGATCCTTGGGTTGTTTTCTATAAGCGTGGCCTAATACCCAAAGTAGATTAGCTGCTGCTGAGATTTTAATGAGGTCCAAATCAGATGTTATGGTTTCACATCTATTGCTGACTGGGGTGCCATTATTAATTAGCTCACAGTTGCTGCTAGTTATAGCTTTAATTGCTGCTATTTCAAATCATATCAGCTACCAGTTTCCCATTTCCTCCATCAGCTGTCTGTATCTTTAGATTTATCCAATTTATACCCTAACTAAATAATGACAGGATCATGCATATAATTCTACTTGATGCATTCTAAGGCTCCTTTCCACACAGGTGTATAAAACCCACATTGAACTGGATTATATGAAAGTGTGGACTATCTACCTTGATATTGTTGATTATCTACCTTGATATTCTGGGACGCCTTCCACACAGCCATATAACGCAGAATATCAAGGCAGAAAATCTCACAATATCTGATTTGAACTGGGTTATCTGAGTCCACACTGCCATATATTCTAGTTCAAAGCAGATAATGTGGGTTTTTATCTAGCTGTATGAAAGGAGCCTGGCTTATCTGAGGCCCCTTCCACACAGCTGTATAAAATTCCACACTATCTGTTTTAAACTGGGTTAAATGGCAGTGCGGACTCAGCTAACCCAGTTCAAAGCAGATATTGTGGATTATCTGCCTTGATATTCTGGGTTATATGGCTGTGTGGAAAGGCTCTGTGTTTTGTCACGACTGACTGCATGCAAGAACTACATACCAGTGCCTTTTCTTTCTAGGAGGGTCCACATCACAGAGGCCACTTTGTCACACCTGGGTGGTGTATATGCCGTGGAGGATGTGTGTTGCTGGCAACGGGATTCGTACCTAAAAGAGAACAAGATCAGAACCTTTTTGGTCATTGATCCCAGGGTGAGGAATTCTTCATGATGGCTGAGGTCCTGTGGCATTGTTATCTCTGACGGTTATCTGGAAGTCCTTGAAGAGCACCCTTTGTATGATCTTTGAGAATAGAGATGGTGGAAGGACTTCCATGCCTGTTGCACACTTGCTGGACTTGGATGGATGGACAACTTTGGATAGATGGGCAACTTTTCTCCCAGATCCTCTCCTCCCAGTGGGCTGTACACTCCCACGCAGCAACATCCATTTCTCTCCACAGTCTCCCTCTAAATGGCAACAGAAAGTGATGCTGCTTCTTATTATTCTTTTGAGAGGAACTGTAGAGGAAAATATGTATTTGGGGATATTAGACAGTTCTGAAGTGCTTGTGGAAGCAGGCTGGAATATTTTCATGTGTCTTCATGTATTTGGTTGGTTTCTGTGTGGTATTGGAGCAAGGAAATTTCTACAAATATCTTTTAATGGGATGGTTGGGGGAATTTGAGATGATGGTGCAAAGGTGGGCTCCAAATGCTGCATGTAGCCAATGGGACACATTTTGCCTAGGTCGAACCATGGTTTGTGACTCAATGGAAGACCATTTCATATATTCTCCTACTCTACTGGAGGCTTTCAGAGAAGGCCATGGAAGGAAGAAGAAAGAGGAATTTGGTGGGGTGAAGTGTCACAAAACCAGCCATGGGATTTCATGATGCCCCAAGGCTGCCTTTAGATCAGTGGTTCCCAACCTTTTTTTGACCAGGGACCACTTAAGGAAAGGGCCTGAGGCTGTTAAGAATTGTGGGAGTTGAAGTCCAAAACACCCAGAGGACCCAAATATCCCATGCCTGCATTAGACTAATAGCTCCTTAAATCAAGATCCCTGATCATTGATCACACTCTAACAATACTGCCATCAGGAATGAGCAGCATGAAAGTCTGTATCTGTGCATGTGTGATTTGAGGTGCAATTCTAGAACAAGGGATGGTTTGACCTAGCTTCATGTCTGGTTTTGGACTCACGTCTCTTTCTCGTTCTCCGCTTCCTCTTGTCTTCAGGCTGAAGAAGTAAGCTGCACCGGAACCCTTTCACCTGCCCCAGGTGAGTGCTACAAGATGAGGGCCTCGGTCCGGATGACCCGCTACCTGGAGTCCTGGGGTGCAGCCAAGCCCTTTGCCAATCTCAAGCAGCGGGACAACCTTCCACCAGAGTCAACAGGATTCGTTCGGAACAACCACTCGGTATGTCCAGCAGGGGGAGCTCTTGCAATTGCCATTAGCCATCCAATCTTGACCCAGTTCATGTTATTCACTTAAGAATATCTAGTTCATCTAGGGTTACTCCATGGTCAATTTATGACAAGTTAAATCTGCAAATGGTATTTCATGATCTTTCTTGTTTTTTTTTATTATAAAGGAGATTTCTTTGGGGTCCTTGAACCAACAGAGGACCATGGAAAGGTAAGAACCAAGTTCTATACCATATTTAGAGGGAAGAAATAAGACATACTTAGTTGTTGAGTTGTTTTGCACTAGAAATGATTGGGTTAGAAAGAAATGTCAGCCCTGTTGTATACTCCCAGGTACCGCACTATCAGGTACCCCATTAACTCTGTAAAAGTCAAAAACAAAAAAGCTTGTTCTTGTTTGTGCCACAAATTGTAAAACAACAAGAAAGATGAAAATGAACAAAATCTGGTTACAAGTATTAAAAAAAACACCAGAATCAAGACAGTAAACAAAGAACACAACTCAGAAACAAGGGAATTCCAGATAGCAAACAATGAAGTACCAGTTAACACCTCCCAAACAAAGGATGCCCCCAGGCAGCAACAGCCAGACTTTGCAGCTGCAAGGCTACTTAATGCTAATCAAGCTGGTGAATTGCAACATTCACACTTTCTTCAAAGAGACAGGAGTACTTTCATACATCCTGGACATTCCACAGATATTTATACACCCCGCTTGCTGCATTTCCAACAAACCTCTGAGGATGTCTGTCATAGATGCAGGTGAAACATCAGGAGAGAATGCTACTGAATCATGACCATACAGCCAGAAAAACTCAGTATCCCTAAAAGATAGATGTTGTTGTTTCGATATGCCCTCTCCTGGCCATTTGGTGCATAACAGGCAGTACTTCTAAGATAACAATGATAATTATTCAGTTCTTCTGGGTTTTTTCGGGCTATATGGCCATAATTATTATTTTTATTTCTAGAGCACCCTCTCTTCTGAAAGGGACTCAGGGTGGTTTACATACAAAGACAGCCAAACATTTGATTGCCAGAGATTATAAGACGCACATAAATTTCAGTACCACCAACAGAAAAAAAAAGCTCTCTCCCTGTGTATATATATATACATATTAGCTGTAACTGGCCACATGTTGTTGTGACCCAGTCTGGTTGATTGGAAAAGAAAGAAAAGAGAAAGTGCTGGTTTCTAATATATGTAATTTCATAATGCTTGTGGGTATACAATATTTTTTGTTGTTCCATTGTCTGTGAAATAATAATGATGATGTAAATAATAATAATATTGGCTTATATGATCTATATAATAATAATACTGGTATATATAATAATGATAATAGCAACAATGATACTGGTTTATATAATAGTGATCAGTGTGTTTTGGGGAAACCCTTTCCTTCCCTTCCCTCCTATCTATCTCTCCCTTCTTACCATTCCTTCTTTCTTTCTGACCCTCCAGTCTTCCTGGAGGCATGAGCGTGAGGCAGTGCCAGGCAAGCCTGGGCAGGGAATGAGGCTACAGGAGCCCCGGGCTTGGGCTAGGTCTACTTCCTTGCCTGCCCCCTTCCCTCCCTCCCTCCCTCCTCTGGGCCTGTACCCCGTCCTTCTTCTCTACCTGCCCCGCCATCCTTTTCCTGCTCTTCTTCTCCCGGTTCTGCTCTGTAGGCAGGCAGGCTTGGTGGGGGGCAACCAGACCATGGATCCCTAAAGGCGACTCCAGCCCTGATGGGGTTGCTTCATGATGTGTTGCTTGGGCATCCAGCAGATGGCACTGTTTTTGATGCCAAGCATGTTTTTACTTATCACAGGTGTGACATCTATATAATAGTAGGCATGTGAATACATAAAAACATTCTCTTCTTCGAATGATACGTTGTGTCCAAATTTCAAAGCAAATGGTGAAGTATTTTGGGAGATTTGAGGTCATTCAAAAATGGACATTTACAGTTTTATTTATATACATAAAAGCACCGCATTTTAAGAGTTGTTTATATGTGGAAGACATTCAATATTTTACTTTTCTGTATTGGACAATGGAGTAGTCTGATTATTGTTCTGCTTCCGATTGGTATGGTATCTCAGAGTCCGTGTCCCCAGGAGCCCAGATGAAGAGCTAGAAGGAGTGGATGAGAAGTTCTTCCAACTCATTGAACAGCTGAACTCACAGAAGTAAGTTGCGTGGCCAAAGACGAAGTGGTGGTAGAAAAAGCAAAGTCGAAATATCAGCAGCAACCTATTTTTGTTAAGGGGCACTTCATTAAGGAAAGGGAAAGAGGAAACAGTAAAGAAGGAGAGGCTTAAAAGGGAACGATGGTTATTAAAATATGTAACTTTTACTGCAAAACAAAGTTTAGGTTTCTGTTTTGTCTGCACATTTGGCCATTGCAAAAGAATCTTTGGCCATGTCTATATTTCATGGGTAGGGAAATGAGTGAAAGCAGGCTGAGACTTCATCCAGGGTGAAATCTTTCTGTTTTGGTGTCCTTAGGCAATGGAAGAGGTCGGAAGATTTGAACCGCATCACGTTGTACTTCAAGGAGCAGACTCTTGAGAAGGAGGTAACTTGGTTAAGACCCACCTGAAGATCCTTGGTAATAATAAACAAGTCCATTTGGAACCAACAAAATTTGATCCGATGGAGGGATCAAATAATCCCCATGTGTAAGTGGATGTGCACACATCCATATGCAGGTTGAGCATCCCTTATGCAGAATTCCAAAATCTGAAAGATCTCAAAATCGAAAATTGTCCACCAGATGTTAATGAGGGTGACACCATAAACAAACAAGGTGAAACCAGTGATACTACCATTGTCCTATTTAGCAGTAGTAAAATGTGCTGTCTTTGGTTATAGCATCACTGTAATTTGTGAGAGCCTATAGCTTAGGCATGGACAAACTTTGGCCCTCCAGGTGTTTTGGACTTCAACTCCCACAATTCTTAACAGCTGAGAGCAATGGATTGACTCTCCCCCATCATGTGTGATGAAATGACATGGGCTACATGGCGGAAAGTACCCTGGTGCAAATCAGAATGGAATGACATGCGACAGAAGGCTTGTGAAGAAAAGATATGTTGATAGTAGTTGACCCTATATTCCTGGCTACTCATGGTAACCCTAACTTTATTTCTCCTCTTCCTCTGCTCTAGTACCGTTTCTCAGCACTCCCATCTTTCAGTTACTACACCGTTTGCACCTTCCTGGTTTTCATCTCCAACTTCATCATCCAGTTCCTCGTGGTTTATAAGTAAGGAGAAATGTGGGTCTCAGGGGTTCCCAAAGGGTGCATGGAAAATATGTTTTGCATAAAAACAACATTTGTATAGCCCTGTTCCCTAACCCTTATTTTTTTTACAAGGCCTCATTCACAAGGCCTAATTCATAAAAAATAAAGTAGAATGGACTCATTATTCCCAAGTTCTGCTAGCAAACTTCTTCCTTTTTTTCAAGGAATTGTTCTTTGTTTGTTAATCTTATTGATTCCCAGGCTCCAGCACCGTTAAAAATAACAATTCGGATTTATTGAGAAATTGGTGGAGTGAGCATGTCTAGCATTTTCCTTCTAGGACACTGTTTCTCAACCTTCCTAATGCCGTGACCCCTTAATACAGTTCCTCATGTTGTGGTGACTCCCAACCATAAAATTATTTTAGTTGCTACTTCATAACTGTCATTTTGGTACTGTTATGGATCATAATGTAAATATCTGACATGCAGAGTGTATTTTTATTCTCTGGACCAAATTTGGCACAAATACCCAATACGCCCAAATTTGAATACTGGTGGGGTTGGGGGGGGGGTATTTATTTTGTCATTTGAGATTTGTAGTTGCTGGGATTGGATTCACCTCCAATCAAAGAGCATTCTGAACTCCACCAATGATGGAAGTGAACCAAACTTGGCACACAGAACTCCAATGACCAACAGAAAATACTAGAAGGGTTTGGTGGGCATTGACCTTGAGTTTTGAAGTTGTAGTTCACCTACATCCAGAGAGCACTGTGGACTCAAACAATGATGGATATGGGCCAAACTTGGCATGAATACTCAGTATGTTCAAACGTGAACACTGATGGAGTTTGGGGAAAATAGACCTTGACATTTGGAAGCTGTAGTTGATGGGATTTATAGTTCACCTACAATCAAAGAGCATTCTGAACCCCATCAACGAGAGAATTGGGCCAAACTTCCCACACAGAACCCCATGACAAACAGAAAATACTGTGTTTTCTGATGGTCTTTGGTGACTCTTCCGACATCCGCCTCACGACCCCCCCCCCCGGGTTTCGGACCCCCAGGTTGAGAAACGCTGTTCTTGGACAATGTATTTGGATATTTTACAGGAGCCCATTTACAGAATGAAACTTCAGATTTTGCAAATGCATGCACATTTGGTGTTTTGTCTGCTTTCTCTTCATCCAGGACAGAAGCCTTGGGGATCTCCTATGGAATTTCCTTCTTCATCTTTCTCCTCCTCCTCCTCACCTGTTTTTCTGGACACTTGGCAGTAAGTCATCTTGTTTTTGTCATTATACTGCTGGACATTTCTATTTCAGAAACAGATAAAAGAGATGATTGGCCAGAACTAACAAAATGAAGTTCAATGGGGAAAATGCAAGAGACTCCACTTAGGCAGAAAAAAATAAATGCAAAGTTACAGAATGGGGGACGCATGGCTCAAGAGCAGTACATGTGAAAAAGATCTTGGAGTCCTCATAGAGAGGAAGGTGAACATGGGCCAACAATGTCATGCGGCAGCTAAAAAATCCAATGGGATTTTGGCCTGCATAAATAGGAGTCTAGTGCCTAGATCCAGGGAAGTCATGCTACCCCTCTATTCTGCCTTGATCAGACCACACCTGGAATCACATTGTGTCCAACTCTGGGCACTGCAATTGAAGGGAGATATTGACAAGCTGGAATGTGTCCAGAGGAGGGCGACTAAAATGATCAAGGGTCTGGAGAACAAGCCCTATGAGGAGTGGCTTCAAGAGCTGGGCATGTTTAGCCTGCAGAAGAGAAGGCTGAGAGGCAACATGATAGCCATGTATAAATATGTGTGGGGAAGTCATAGGGAGGAGGAAGCAGGCTTGTTTTCTGCTGCCCTGGAGACTAGGATGCAGAATAATGGCTTCAAACTACAAGAAAGGAGATTCCACCTGAACATTAGGAAGAACTTCCTAACTGTGAGAGCTGTTCAGCAGTGGAACTTTCTGCCCCAGAGTGTGGTGGAGGCACTTTCTTTGGAGGCTTTGAAGTAGAGGTTGGATGGCCATCTGTCGGGGGTGCTTTGAATGCGATTTTCCTGCTTCTTGGCAGGGGGTTGAACTGGATGGCCCACGAGGTCTCTTCCAACCCTATGATTCTATGATTCTAATATTCAATGTTGCATATACAATCAAATAAAACTCAATGCATCATATACATAAATACAGGTAAAAACTTATAAATACCATAAAACTGTTAAAACCATGATACATATACCAGAAATCGTCATTTGTGTTGCAACAGTTATGCCAGTTCTATATTCTATAGTTCTATAGTTCAGGAGCACCTGATTGTTTGTCTAAGGGCAGGACCCTCTTTCCTCACCTCTCTGTCACAGGCCCAAAGAAATAAATAGAAAATATGAACCAAAAAATGTTAGAATTGGTGGAGCAATAAGATGAACTTCGAATTAAAACAGGATTCTGGATCTTCTTCTCTTTTTATGTCTCCCTTTTTGGGCCAGAAGTGTTTCTTGAAAGGCCCAAAGATCTTCTACTGGGTTCCATCCATCTCGGCCAGTGTCTGCACCCAGCCATGGCTGCGGGTCTCTCTCGGCATCATCACCATCCTTGTGGTCCTCACCATGGCTGTTCTGAATTTGGTATGTCATCAAAACAGGGAGATTGTGAAAGACAGAACAGTGGAAATCAGGGGAAAGACTGAGCTGTGTGGGAATACATAGGAAGAAAACTGAATTTTATGATGTTTTTCAATGCAGGGATGAGTATAAAATGAATTTATTGGTTCTTTCTGGAGGCAGACTGTAATTTGGAAGCATGAAAGTTAATTTGCAGTCTGGATTCCAAGACCAACAATTTCGCTGCGTGGGAGCTGAATCAATACTTTTAAAAGCATTAGTAACATCTTTATTGGGCCACAGAAGTAATAACTACTAAGCATGGGCAATCCATGGCTCTAAATGGTTCTAAAGTACTTACAAAACCAAGGGACGCTGGTGCTTTGCTTCTACGGTGTTGCTAAAGTTCTGGTGGTGAAAATTTCAGAACTCTAACAAAAATTTTCAAAATTTCGTTAAATTTGCCAAATTTGGTCCAGTGAATGAAAATACATCCTGCATATCAGATATTTACATTATGATTCATTAACAGTAGCAACATTACAGTTATGAAGTAGCAACGAAAATAATGTTATGGTTGGGGGTCACCACAACATGAGGAACTGTATTAAGGGGTCGTGGCATTAGGAAGATTGAGAAACACTGATCTAGAGAGTTGTAGAGAAGTGTTCTCTCTAGATATCCCTAGGTTCTTCACAGTGACTTGGTGCTCAACTTCCAGCAGATATTGACCATACAATCACACTGGAGGACTTAGAGATTCTTATGGAGAACACATTAATTAAATGTGTGGATAATCATATCTGCAAAAGTGACATTTACAAATGTCAAAGAGTGATTATTTAGAATTCCTAACTAGAAGGTTTTAGACCAATCTGTGGGTCCCCAGTTGTTTTGACCTTCAACTCCCAGAAATCCTAACAGCTGGTAAACTGTTAGGGTGAAAACAACTGTTCTAGACCCTTACATTGAACTATCTCACTCAAGTTTCCCAGAAGATGTCAAACTATCTCACAAAGTACAAACCCCAGGATTTTGTAGACCTTGAGACATGTCTGTTAAAGTGCTATCAAAGGGCTTGTGTAATGCAGGTACTACCCTTGCATGGATCTGAGCCACAGTATACTCTTCTTCTGCTCTCTTGTTCTTGAGCAACTCCAAGTATTTTATGTGTGCCTTGTAGTATCCCTTCTAATACTCTTTTTCTATCACCTTTTCTTAGTTCTTTATGCCAGAGGCCTTGTGTCATTCAAAACCTCAAAATTTCACCCTAGATGGTATGAACATCACACAAGAATTTATTCCCGCCGACAACCTCTTCTGTGTTCCAGTAAGTATGTGTCCTTCTGAAAATACAGCAAGGACAGTGGGAAATCTCAGGGGAAAAATATTCCGCCCTCAAGCAAATACCTGTCTAGGTGTCCCTAGATCAGGAGTCCCCAAACTAAGGCCCCCTAAGGCCTAAACTTTAGACTTAGGGTTGCCTTAAATCTGAAGCGACTTGAAGACACACAACAACATTGCTAATTAATTAGACTATCTCATCAGCCAAAAGCAGGTCCTCCATTCCCATTAAAATACTGGTACATTTATGTTGGTTTAAATTGTTCTTCATTTTAAATATTGTATTCATGTTGTTTTGCACTACAAATAAGATGCGTACAGTGAGCATAGCTATTTGTTTTTTCAGACTATAGTGTGCTCCCCTAACAGTCTGAGGTACTGTGAACCAGCCCGCAGCTTAAAGAGTTAGAGGATCCTTGCTCGCGGCCCTCCAGGGCAAAATTATGGTCAACTTTGCCAAAGGTGGACCAGAGAATTGCACTGGAGGACATAGGCCATAGGCCCCTTCTACACTGCCAGATTATCTGCTTTGAACTGGATTATATGTTGGTGTAGACTCCTATAATCCAGATCAAAGCAGATAATGTGGATTATTTGCTTTGATAATCTGGATTATATGGCAGTGTAGAAGGGGCCTTAGAGATTCCTGGAGAGGAGTTCTTCTTTTCTAGTAGAAGTTGAACATAGAGTTATCCTGGAGGATCTAGAGCACTGTTTCTCAACTGAAGGGTTGCAAGGGGGTGTCAGAAGGGTCACCAAAGACCAACAGAAAATACAGTATTTTCTGTTGGTCATGAGGGTTCTGTGTGGGAAGTTTGGCCCAATTCTATCCTTGGTGGAGTTCAGAATGCTCTTTGATTGTTGGTGAACTATAAATCCCAGCAACTACAACTTCCAGATATCAAGGTCTATTTTCCCCAAACTCCACCAGTGCTCACATTTGGGCAAATGGAGTATCTGTGCCAAGCTTGGCCCAGATCCATCATTGGTTGAATCCATAGTGCTCTCTGGATGTAGGTGAACTACAATTCCAAAACCCAGCAAACCCTTCCAGTATTTTCTGTTGGTCATTGGAGTTCTGTGTGCCAAGTTTGGTTCAACCCTATCATTGGTGGAGTTCATAATGTCGTTGATTGTAGGTGAACTATAAATCCCAGTACCTACAACTTCCAAATGGCAAATCTCTCCCAACCCCACAAGTATTCAAATTTGGGCGTATCCGGTATTTGTTTCAGATTCAGTCCAGTGAATGAAAATACATCCTGCACATCAGATATTTACATTACGATTCATAACAGTAGGAAAATGACATTTGTGAAGTAGCAACGAAAATAATTTTATGGTTGGGGGGTCACGACAACATGAGGAACTGTATTAAGGGGTCACGGCATTAGGAAGGTTGAGAAACACTGTCCTAGAAGAAAAAAATGCTAGACAGATTTGTAATGCCCACTTCATTGGGGTCACGCCATAAGGAAGGTTGAGGAACACTAATCTAGAGGTCTTTAGAGCAAGCATATTATTAAAATCTTTAAGTAATCAAATCCACAAATATTAATCGGGATTGTGGCGCAGCTGGCTGAGTGTCAGCTGCATTAAGATCACTCTGACCAAAAGGTCATGAGTTCGAAGCCAGCCCGGGCTGGAGTGGGTGTCCAGCCATTGTGTAGCCCGTTGTCGACCTTTGCAACCCGAAAGACAGTTGCATCTGTCAAGTAGGAAAATAAGGTACCACCTTGTGTGGGAGGCTAAATTTGACTAATTTATGAGGCCATAAAGAAAGAAGACTCCGGGGAATGTGGAATGCGGAAGAACTTCATTGGTGTCGTTGATGGACGATGAAAAGCAGCAGCTCCCCTGGCGGCCAGAAAAAAAGTTAAATAGCCTTTGTCTGTTAAATGTTGTTTGTCAAACTGGCATTGAATGTTTGCCATATATGTGTTTACTGTAATCCGCCCTGAGTCCCCTGCGGGGTGAGAAGGGCGGAATATAAGAACTGTAAATAAATAAATAATCCCATAATTATGGAGAGGCAACTATATTGGTAAATTGGTATTGCTGATGGATAATACTTTTTCTAATAGCCAACTGTCTGTTTTTCTTTCTGCACCACTTTCTTCTACCTCCAGTACTACATCTACTGTTGTATCTTGGGGTTCCTCTCATGTTCCCTCTTCCTGCACATGAACTTTGAGCTCAAGCTGACCATGTTGGTGCTCTGCCTCATCATCTACAATGTGTTGTTCCTTCAGACCCACTCCTGGCTCTCTGATTGCTATGTTTCCTTCCTGTATCCCAATCAGACAGCTCTCAGGTAAGGAGTTCTCGCAAAGCCTATAGCCTACTCCCTGTGGAAAGAGAGAAATGAAGTTCAGGGTGCCAACAATCTCCTGCCTTAAGGGTTTCCAATCACTGAACTGTATTGACTCTCATTCTGATGGACCACAGTAGGAGTGATGCAGAAAAGGGCAACCAAAAGATTATCAAAGGGCTAGACCTTACAAAGAAAAGCAAAAGCATCATTATCCTTGTGGTTACTGTTGCAGAGATGAAAGCCAAGCTAGAGTGGTGGTTAAAGTCTAGAACTGAAACTTGTCAGATTCCCGTAACTACCAAATCATGAAAATCACTGTGTGATAGTTTTCAGGGATGGAAATACTCTTCTTCAGTCCTCAGGAAAAAGGGGCGAGGCTTGGTCTTCTATTAACATGACAGAATCTGTGCAATCCATGGTTGGTGTATCATGCTATGGTATACAGATAGAGATAGATAGATAGATAGATAGATAGATAGATAGATAGATAGATAGATAGATAGATAGAGCCCCTGGTGGTGCAGTGGGTTAAACTGAGGAGCTGCTGAACTTGCTGACTGAAAGGTCGCAGGTTCGAATCCAGGGAGCGGGGTGAGCTCCCACTGTTAGCCCCAGCTTCTGTCAACCTAGCAGTTCAAAAACATGCAAATCTGAGTAGATCAATAGGAACTGCTCCGGCAGGAAGGTAATGGTGCTGCAGTCATGCCGGTCACATGATCTTGGAGTTGTTTATGGACAACACCAGCTCTTCGACTTAGAAATGGAGATGAGCACCACTCCCCAGAGTCGGACATGACTGGACTTTATGTCAGGGGAAAACCTTTACCTTTGCCTGCCTATATATATGCCTATATATATGCCTATAGATAGATAGATAGATATATCCACACTCAATCTCCCCGAGGGGACTCAGCAGATTACAGAATACATGTATGGCAAAAATTCAATGCCGTTATACAATTAACATACAATACATAGATGGAGTTAAGGCTTCCCTCTTTTTCATCTCTGGCATCTGGAGGCTGTCCTCAACTTGACCATGGGGAGGTGCTGCTGTTCCATTTTTCATCTTGAGGAGCCTGTTGTCCATGGATGCCTTCTTGATAGAATTGCCAGCCTGTCTTCAGGGGTGCTTTTTATCTCTCTCTACCTATTTATCTACTCACATTGCCGTTTCTGAACTGCTAGGCAAGCAGAAGCTAGGGCTAATGGCGGGAGCTCACCCCGACCCATGGCTTTGAACTGGCAAGAGTTTCTGCAGCTGGTGGTTTAACCCGTTGTGCTAAGCATCCCCGCCCCACTGGGTTTGGTCCCAAGACCTCCTTGGGGATACAGAAATCTGTAGGTTCTCAAGTCCCATTATAGAGAATGATGTACTAAAGAACTGTCCCTGATACAAAAAGGCAAAAAAAAATTTGCCTTTTGGATAATCGAAAAAACGTTTTCAAGCCATGAATGGTTGATATGGAGATCCAACTGTTGAACCAGACACTGTCCTTTGTAGCCTTAGAGGTTGACTCTAAAATCCTAGGTCCTAGGAAGTCTTGACTTGACAAGTGGGTCAGCCTGACCTACCTTCAAAAAGTTGTTGTTACCAGAAACAAACCGAGTAGTGAAGGGACATGGAACACACTGCAAGAAAACAGGGATATAAATGTTATAACTGTAAGTTTAAAGAGTATGACAGATCAGAATATGATGGGTGTTTACAAAATTATTCACTTTTTGCTGTTGTGATGCTGACTGTTAGCTTTGCTAGCTTTATAAAGAGGTTTGATACATTCATGGAGGAGGAGAGGCAAGTCAAACCAATGACTATAAAATCTGATGGTTACACAGAGGGCTGAGACAACACATGCGGCTAATGTCGTCATGCTTTACCTAAGGTAGTTTCTCAATCTAGGGGTCAGGACCCCTGGAAGGATCGTGAGATGGTTTCAGCGGGTTCGCCTTTGATCATCAGGAAAAAAATGTTTCCGATGGTCCTAGGAATACCTTTGACAGCGAAGTCTAAAGATCCCTCCGTCTGTCCTCCTCTTCCTTTTTGGAAACGGATGGCGAATCCTCCCACCAAAAGCCTGTTACGCAGTGACATGTTTTGCCCAGCGTCCCAGTGCCCAAAGCCCAAATGCAAAAGACTCACAGACCAGAGTAAAAGTGAACTGAAAAAGTACCAGCATGGAGTTCCAGCAGGAGATGCTGATGGAGAGATTCTGAAGGAGAGCTTCTGGAGAGCCTTTTCTCTGAGGAGACCTATGGACAAAGGCTTTGCTCTGGGGAGCAGTTTGGAGAAGCTACTCTGAAGGAAGCTATGGTGAAATAGCTATTTACTTCAAGCTTTTTATTCAGCGGGGATGCTGGGCAAAACACGTCGCTGTGTAACAGGTTATGGGTCCAGGCATAGCCCAGACTAACTCAGTTTAATCCAGCCTAGTCCTTATTTTTGTGCAAAGACCACAGTTTTAGATTTTACTCTTGTTTTGGGACTGAACTCTGGAAGATGGATCCAGGAGTCAATTTGGCAGCATCCCCTATTGCCAGGTTGAATGGCAGTAAATACTCCATGTGGAAGCTTTGCATGGAACGTTACCTGAGGAGGAAATCTCTATTTGATTGCATTTTGAACCCACCACCTCAAGTGCTCTGCTGTAGGGACTTTGTGATTGGCTAGCCTGTCAGCCGGCCTCTCAACCAAGAGGAGGGCTGTTTCTGAGACTCCAAGCAGAGAGGGGAGAGCAGGCATGCTTGGCACATGGCAGCATGGTGCGCATGTGCGGGTGAAGGAAAGTGTGTGAGGTTGGAAGGAGGCTCGCGACAGTGAGTACCTTCAAGGCATGGGGGCTTTGTGTAGGAATGTAGGAATGTAGCATGGGGGATTTTGTGTGGGAATGTAACAACAAAATAATTTAATGGTTGGGTATTACCAGAACATTAGGAACTATATTAAGGGGTTGTGGCATTAGGAAGGTTGAGAAACACTGTCCTAAGGGTTTCCATGTAGCATCTCTAGATTTGGATTGTGCAGCAAAAATTATCTAGGTCTTGGGAACTTTTAGACACTGTTTCTTTATTGCTAATTGGGGCAGATCATAACCAACAAGATCATATCTTACTTGTTTTGAAGCATATCTTTCTCTCAGGAAATTACTGAGCTCATTTCACAATGAGAGAATTTATGGATCTCACCGCCACATAAAGTGATAATGACCACAGACCTGTGATGAGTTTGTGTTGTTGTGTGTTTCTCTCAGGAGAGATCTGAATGATGTATGATGGTCCAGGTGTGAGACCCCACGTGTGATGTTCTCCTCTCTTTAATCCTCCACATTCAGGCCCGGCGTGCTGAAGGAACCCAAGGTGATGGGAGCATTCTCATTCTTTGTCTTCTTCTTCACACTCTTGGCTTTGGCGAGGCAGGTAAATTCATTTCCTGTCCCAGTTTGGGACACATTCTGCATTAAAAATGCATGGAAGCCGCTCTGAGTCCCCTCCGGGGTTGAGATAGAGCAGGGTAAAAATGCAGTAAATAAATAATTAGATAAATAAAAATGTGTGTGTGTGTACAAAACAACATTTGGGGCAGAATACAATATTCTCTGGACGAAAAACCCTATTTTCTGGGTCGAAAACATTTCTCTGCAGAAAACAAGTTTTCTGTACAATAAGTCTAGAAAAGATTATGCTCCCATCACACAAACAAACAGACTCAATCCAAGTGCAAGGCTGACTGTTCCCATTGTGCACAGTGGCCTCTACTACATTCTAGAACAAAGTTGAGGGAACTTCATAGCATCCTGGACAGCCAGACTGGGCTTAATTCAGCCTGATCCCCTGTCCAGACTGGACAATAGTGCTATCACTCTTTCCCTTTGCTCACCAGTGCAGCCAAAGTGGATTGATCATGCCCATATTGTTGCCATCTCCTACATTAATGTTTTCTCATCACTGAACTAAATTGACTCCTGTTTTGGTGAATCACCATAGATGTGGTGCAGAAAAGGCCATCCTAAGATGATCATTATCCCCATGGTTATGTAGTAGTGAATAGGGCTGTGCATGGATCAATTTTTAAAAACAGGCTCTGGAAATTTTGTTTTTTTTGGACAGCCGTAACAGCATGGACGTTGCCACCATCTTTGTTTCGGCTGCAACAGATAATGCGGCTGTCAACCACAGCTACTTTTGGTTTCATTCAGCTACATGTGGAGTGCAGAGAGGCAGCCACGTGCCCACACAGGGTTTTCCTGTGAGCCCTACCTGTTGAGCCAACCAGAACAGAAGAAAGCCATGATGTGTCTTTTAGCCAAGCTGGGCCTCCATTTTAATGTTGCAAGCAGGATTCTGAGAGAGACAGATTGATCAGAACATCTGGTGATCTAAATTCTGGGTGCTGCTTACAGCTCTGCATTGCTTGCCTAGCAATACATAAGCATTTACTTTCTACACACTTAAGAAACAGTGATGGTGCCCTTCATACAATACAAGCTTCAAATGTGGGGTAGAGATATTGTGCCATTTCTAAAGCCACTATCAAATGAGGAGGTATTTTATCTCTCTTTTTTTAAAAAAAGAATGGCTAGCTAAGGCTCTTTCAGGTGGTGTGGCTTCCACTGAAATAAGTATTTTAAATGGGTGTCTTAACTCAGCTTCATTGAAAGGCTGTTGAGGAGAAACAATGCCAGAAAAGGTGGTTTCTTAAATCTGGTGTCTTAAACCCAGATCTTATTGAAGGATATAGGAAGAAAGGATCCCAGAAAGGGTGGTTTCTTAAGTCTGATGCCTTAAACTCTGGTCTTATTGAAGGATATAGGAAGAAAGGATCCCAGAAAAGGTGGTTTCTTAAGTCTGATGCCTTGCACATTTTCACATGGCCTTCCGGAGTCACTCTGCTTTGTGTGTGTGTTGGGGGGTGGGTGGGAGTGTGGAGCATGTGGCTTCTCCCCATGGATTCCAATGGCAATGCGGGAAGCCTCTCATGTTGTTGTGGCAGCAGCATGCACCAGCTCTGCCCTTCTTCACTCATGGAGCTGCTACTGGCAAAGCTGGCAGGCTCCACAGGTGACCTGGGCTAAACAGGTGTATGCCGTCAATTTTAGCCTTGTGTGAAGAGGTAGTTAAACCCAAGTCTAGTTGAAGGAAAAAAATGTCAGAAAGGGGAGCCTGGGAAGTTCCCTCATTACTGCCAATGGGCCAGATTTTCTTGGATCTTTCAGCTGCTGGATTGAAAAATGGATTTTTGTCCACCAGAACTTAGGAGGTTCCCAAAAAATGGATTGGGGTGGGGGTGGGTGGGGTTTTTTAGCTGAATTGCACATCTCTAGTAGTGATGGGAGCCAGTGTAGTGTGATGGTTAGAGTGACTTGGTTGTCTGAGCCCCTGGCAGTTTTGGGTTCCTCTGCTAATATTGGAATGGGGCAGATTCGCAACTGGCAAGAAGGAAAGGGATGATCATCTCTGTCCTTCTTCCTGGTTATGTGGGTATTCCGTTCTGATATCAGTAGAGCAAGAAAGAGGAAGGGTTGCTGGTAATAGTGGTGGCATTCAGGCTGTGCCAACGGAACAGATGCGTTCTTGGGCTGTCTGAAAAAGTACACTCCTGGGCATATTTACTTTTGGCTAAACTGCCTGGTGCAGATGAACTATTTTTCTCAAAAGTGCTACAAAATCCCTTCACATATTGGTATTCCACACCAGGTCTGGCCAACCTGTGGTGTTTTGGACCTCAACTTCCACAGTTCCTAACAGCTGGTAAACTGGCTGGGATTTCTGGAAGTTGGAGGCCCAAATACTTGGAGCACCACAGATTGGCCAGGTCTGTTCCAGATTAATGCTGCTCTGTCTTTGAATACTATTTCCTTTGTGGGTGGGATGTCTATTTGCTTTTGCATGCAATGCAATAAAACATAGTTTCCTGCCCTCTTTCTAGGACAGATCTCTCTCTCCTTCCCCCACAGACAGCCTTTACTCTTTTGACTGTGGCTTTGAACAGTTGTCATTCTGGCAAGCATCGAGGTTGATGTACCTGAGTGGTTAAGGAGATACATGTTCTCATTTTTTTCTGTTTGTGGTGTGGATTCTTATCTTGGTTATTGTTTATTTCGGGGAAATGAGCATCTCAGCAGAAGGAACAATGCAAAAAGTTGCCACCTCAGCCCTTGTATCTCTGTTTAAGAAAGGATCAGGTCTTGAGGAACATCTTCTGCTAGAGACCTGGGTTGCTTGATAGGGAAATCTTGTGGTAAGCAACTATGGAGGTGCTGGCCCAATATTTTGACCCAATATTTTGTTACGCAGGGCGTGTTTTATTCCAGCGACCTAACGCCCAAAAACCCAGATGCAAAATGGTCTCAGATCAATAGTCAAAGTGAACAGAAAATCTTTACTCTCTTAACTTTACAGAGATGAAACAAAACTGGCAATGCGGCACATAAAAATCAGCAGTGCAACATATTTACACAGTCTTTGTAATATGCATAAAATAAAGCATCTTCTAAGCAGCAAATGGAAAATCAAAACAACCTGAAGTAAATAGCCATTTCACCATTAGCATCTCCTGCTGGCACTCCACACTGGTGAAACAGAACTTCAGCAGCAGCTCACCAGAAATCCAGCACCCACCAAATTGTATTCAAAAAACCTCAAACAGTTTTAGCCCCTTGGGTGTGGCACAAGATTGCTGCTTGACCTACTTAGTCAGCTGAACAAGATGATTACAAACAATAAGGTTTTTCTTCCCACATATACCTGTGTCCTGCAAGGACTTACCATAACATATTTGCACCCCAGCAGCTCCATGGAGTTGCCTGTTCCTTTTGTCCAGTCCCAGTTGACAATCTGGATGCAGCTCTTTGGATCAGCTGATGTTTCTGAGCACTCTCCAAAGGCAGCCCCAAGGCATGTTCCACCATGGTCAAATCTGGTGGTGGTGTTGGTGGTAGTGGTGGTGGAATCAGTTCCCAAGTAATCTGCTGCTTGTTGAAGGAGAGCTTCCAGGAATGAAAAAATGATGGTAACCAATTGGCATAGATATGGAGTTGATTCCAGGTTCATTTTGGCATCCACAGGGGTACTAGTATCGTACCCCAGTAGACAGGGCCCATTGCAAACCTCTTTGAACTACAAATCTCAGAATTCCATAGGGAGAAACCACTGAACAGTGCACAAGAAATGGCTGTACACTACGGACATGCTTATTATTTATTCAGTGCTTTATGAAAGGAAATATTCCTGCCTGTAAGAATTCACAGTTTAAGATTCTCTCCCTCTCTATCTCAGAATGAGTATTATTGCCGCTTAGATTTCCTTTGGAAAAAGAAGTTCAAGAAAGAACGTGAGGAGATCGAAACCATGGAGAACCTCAACCGTGTTTTGCTGGAGAATGTGCTGCCAGCTGATGTTGCACAGCAGTTCATCCGCCAGAACCGGCGCAATGAGGTGAGCCTTGGAGCTTTGGTTGCTAAAGCCTGGTGGTGGAAGTTCTGTGCCTCATGAGATGTATCCCTTTCATTTAGTTTGGTTCGGCTGTTGGGTGCCTTTCAAATCTTTCGGACTTGTCATGACCCTGTGATAACTCTAACATGGAGTTTTCTCATCAAGACTTGTTCAGAGGGGTTTGACATTGCCTTACTCTGCCTTGCTCTGAGGCTCGGAGAGAGTGAATAGCCCAAGCTTGCCTAGGGAGTGTTTTTGACAGTTCATGTGGTCCCCACAAAATTAGAGCCCAGACCTACTGCAGTTATCCATCTCAACAAGTGGTTCCCAACCTTTTTTTGACCAGGGACCACTTTGACCAGGGGCCATTCTCCAATATACTAATATTTATAACCAAAAGGGTTACAAATCAGTTTTTGGTCAACTTTAAATTTGGATTGATTATCTGGGGTGCTGATTCAAAAAATGGCATTAGATAGACCACAACAGCTCTAGTTTCGGATACAGAACATATGCAATCTAGTAGTGCTATTTGCTCACCCACAAAAAAAATGTTTAATAATCTAAAGCTGAGGACCCTAAGTCAGTGGTTCTCAGCCTGTGGGTCCCAGGTGTTTTGGCCTACAACTCCCAGAAATCCCAGACAGTTTACCAGCTGTTAGGATTTCTAAGAGTTGAAGGCCAAAATATCTGGGGACCCACAGGTTGAGAACCACTGCCCTAAGTCTAAAGTTTAGGGCAGATAGTGGGTAAATGACCTTGGAGGGTCACATCTGGCCCCTGGGCCTTAGCTTGGGGACCCCTGGTCTGCAGGTCACAGCATCTCCCCATACCACTCCATGATTCTTCCTTATGGCTAAAGCAGTGGTTCTCAACCTGTGGGTCCTCAGGTGTTTTGGCCTACAACTCCCAGAAATCCCAGTCAGTTTAACAGCTGTTAGGATTTCTAGGAGCTGAAGGCCAAAACATCTGGGACCCACAGGCTGAGAACCATTGGGCTAGAGGTTTAAATAAAAATTTCTACTATCCAATTTTGGATGTGGAATCCTCTGAGGAACTAGGGTACTTTGGATGGACTTTCCCCATGCAGAGGTCTGAACTTGCCTCTCTTGCCCTTTCTCTGCCAGCAGGATTTGTATCACCAGTCTTACGATTGTGTCTGTGTTCTCTTCGCTTCCATACCGGATTTCAAAGAATTCTACTCAGAATCCAATGTCAACCATGAAGGACTTGAGTGCCTTCGTCTGCTTAATGAGATCATTGCTGACTTTGATGAGGTACCAGGAATTCAATTATTATTTATTATTATTTTAAATAATATCCCCTTCAAATTAAAATTCCTGGTTTGTTACAGATATCCTCTTGGTATCTAGGCATTTGGAGCAGGCCGTTATTAGCTGATAGCCATTTAAAAGGAGGGTATCCCGGGAAGATGTAGTCTTTGCAATGGTTAACTCAAATACAAAAGGAGAGGGTGCTGATCTGAACCTAAATGATGGTAGAGGGTACAACGTTAGTGATCTTCCCCATTCACTCCTATAGCATGCTTTTGGTTGGCATTAACAATGGGATACAGGCCAGGGTATGTCAGGAACCAGCGGTATTTGTGTACACCAAGCCTGGCCTGCCAGTTATGTCCACTTACCAAATTGTCTAACTATATATAAAAAAGTTACCAATACATATTCACCTTGTGAAGGTCTAATGTAAATAGTAGCTTTTTGGACGAGTCACCTTTGAAGAAAAAATGCTCTGTTACTCAGGGTCCAAAGGGGATAACCAATGGACTAAGAAGCCATCTTTTATCTGTTTAAACAGCTTCTCCTGAAGCCCAAGTTCAGTGGAGTTGAGAAGATCAAAACCATTGGGAGCACATACATGGCAGCTACTGGCTTGAACATGGCTGCTGGCCAGGATAACCAACAGGTATGATCTTTCCTCTTTCAGGGTCAAACTGCTGGAGGATTGAGGATTGCTAAAACTGCTCTCTTGTGGTCTTGTAAAAAGTGTACCAATAAGCATTACAATTTCCCCCTCATGCTAAGAGTATGTAGCAGTTTCTGAAGATATCATAATACAAAGCCTGAGATACAATAAAAATGGTCTCTGAAAGACCATTTTTATTTCTTGCCTTTGTTATAGAAACTGTATAACTTTGAAAATTGTAGTATTCTTGACATTAGTACATTTTTAAAGGGATGGATTTCCTTCCATACATCTTTAAAAGTGAAATACTACTCATTCATTTTTCTGGTGCAGATAATACCCATTAAATTTTGCACAGAATAATAGGCTTGTGCTTTTTGGCTGAACCATGATCTGTTTCTGTTGGCCTGATACCAGTAGATCCCCGTATCCATTTTCATGTGCCTCCTGAAATCGGGTGGGTAGCCGGATAGCCATTTTCGGTCCGTAACCGAAATATGCAGCTAGATCTGGCCCATTGGTGGCAGTGGGTAACTTACAAGGCTCTCCTTTCCATTCCTGGGAGCCTTTCCTTTTTTCCTTCAAGGGAGCCTGGGTTTCAGCAACAAGGTTAAGAAAGCACCTTATCTGGCCCATTATGGGGGAACTTCCCACAGCTTCGCCTTCCATATCCTTCATTAAGATCTGGATTAAAAACATCAGAGTTAAGATAAGCTAATGCCACCCTGCGACTAGAGACGGGTTTTATGAGAGTGGAGGCCAGGGTGTGGGTGGCCATACTCAACCTCTGGCTCAGACTGTCCCGTGCACCCCTTGGCCTTGCCCCACTAACCATGGAGGATGACTTCCAATCCACATGGAAGCAGGCGGTAGCATCCAAAATCTCCTCGTTGGGATTTTCTCCAGGTCTACTATTCGCTATGGATTACAATCAAGCCAAAGCACTTATTAAACAACGTATCACAGACACAGAGCGCCAACTAGATCTGGCCTCGGCTCCAAGCTTCCTATCAGTGAAGACAGCAGATACCTTGCCTCCCCTATGGCATATTTAACATACTTAGAGGTTCCTATTCATCGAAGGGCTTTCACCCTGGCCCGATGCCACGCTCTCCCATCAGCTGTACTCGAAGGCCGCTACCGGAAGATCCCTTTCCCAGAGAGACTCTGCCCCTGTGACTCGGGTCATGTAGAAACAATAGAACATGTGCTCCTTCAGTGCCCGTTCTACAGGATATCCGTGCCAGGCTTATCTTACCTCTGTTATACAAGCACCCAGGCCATTCAGGACAATTTTATACCTCCCTGCTACTTGCAGATACTAATTCAGCTACAACCTACAATGTCGCAAAGTTCTGTGCAGCAGCATACAAAATCCGCCAGGGAATGACTAGTTCCAAAAGTCAACTGTGTGTCCAGTAATCTTCTTCCCTGAATCTACCATTTGGTGATGGATCTGGGCATTGTATGTTTTTACCCTGTTCCCCCTTCTGCTCCCTCACCCAAATTGTGTTTTTAGTAGTTATATTTATATTTTTAATGTACCAAACATGTCAGGTTTGTCTGGAAATGTGACACTATTTCCTGTGCTGGTCAATGACCGAAATAAATATTTTGATTTGATTTGAGAGTTAAGATAACACTCTTTCTATGATCCTTTCCCTTCTGTCTGTCGAGGAGACCGGGTTTAATGCTTCATTAAAGCTGTTTCTACTCTACAGGAGAGGCATTATGGGCAGGCACATTCTTTCTCTCCTTGCAGCTTTCCAAGGGATTTTAAGGAAGTCCAGGGAAGGAAGAGCGATGACCTGGAGCTATCCTCCCTGGGCTTCCCAAAAAAACAAAAACAAAACAAAACAACAACCTTTTTCTCTCTACTGCAGGCCCTGTCTGGAGTGGGCATGCTTCAGTCTGCTTTCTGCTTTGGGCTTAATGATTCCTTAAAGCTGTTTCTACTTTCCTACTCTAGAGGAGAGGTAATTAGGTGGTAGTAGTTTTCAAAGTATGAGGGTTTTCTTTTTGTTTGCTGGGAATAACAACAACAACAACAACAACAACAATCTTTTGGAAGGAGAGGAAGGAGAAAAAAAAGCTAAACAGGTGACTCTCCCAAGCCTCCAAATGCATCTGCGCACCTCACCCACCTGCCCTCAATTCCCAGTCAGTCCCACTAAATTAAAAAAAATCAAGAAAATCAAGGAAAATCAAAAAGATTAAACTGTGGTGTTGGGTCCTTGCCGTTATGGGCAACTGAACAAACTGAAGAAGCTGGATTGGCTGAAGGAAACAGCTAAAAAGGGATCTGCGCTCAAGCCTACAGAATAAATCCCAAACTGTGGTTATTTAAAAAGAAAAATGCCAAACTTACATGCCATTTCCTTGAAGAGTAAAATTAAGCAAGAATTACATAATTAAATGTAAACTTGTAGAAATCATGTGCTAGAACAGGAAACCTTCTTACACTTCTTCCTGTCCAAGAGGAAACAGTAACCAGCCCAGACAGCACGATGGGTCCAGATCTTGATAATATGAAGCTAGGGCATGTCTGGCCAACAGGCAGGGTTGAAGGGATTGCATTATCTCCCCAGAGGACCTTGGAGGGCTTTGCTCTTAGCCTCCCCTAAATGCCATTGTTTTTACCCTTTCCATTTCCCCTAAGTGATGTTCTGGCATGTGCCCATATTCTTGGCCTTCTCTTGTTCATTTCACCCACTGAAACATCTTTTTCCCAACAAGAACAACCCAAAGGTTGGCTTTGGGATCCTTCCTACAAGAAAAATAGCATCTCAAAGACCTCAAATGCCTGATAAAGACCAAAGCAGGTCAATTTGCATTACACAGCCTCTAGAAATTAGTTCTGTGGAGTGGGCCCATGGGTTGGAAGAACATACACAGGGGATCATTGGGTCCATGGGAATTTCTAGGGTCCTCACACCCAACCAGGGTTCAGACAGGACTGGTGGGAGCAAGTTCTTAGTGCAAGGTAGGGGATTATGGGTTAGGTAGTTAGTTGGGGAAAGGAAAGGTGTGATAGTGGGGGCTATTGGGAAATCCAAAGCTCCTGGAGGTTTATTAGTTAGACGAGGGGTTTATTTGGATGGGAGAGGGGTTCATGGAAACCCTGGCACAAAAGACTGCGGATATGGGGGGAGGGGAGGAATGATGGGCCCTGGTATCTACGGTTTAAAGGAACACAGTCCCTGGAGCCTGGCGGAGGCCAAGTCATGTTTTATATGTTTTAATTTGGTGTATTAGACTATATAAATGATAGGTTAGTCAATGCAGATCCTGTGTTGGGTCTATAATAGCTTTCTCTGGCCCCATCAGCTGGAGACCTATACTCAAATCTCTCCTCAGTCATGGAAACTCATTAGGTAATGTTCAGAAAGTCACACTCTCTCAGCCTTTCTTTTGGGCCCTCAAGTCAGAAAGAATTGTAGACACAAAATACACTCAGACATGATTGATGGATCAGGTTGTTTTATAGGTGGCTCTATCTATCCCATAAATGCTTCAGAGTTATCCAAATATTGGACTGCACCAGACAGATCTGGACAGATTTGGGAGATGTCCAACCTTCCCTCTTTGTTCTGGGGAGTTGGATGTAACTTTCCCCAATATTCTCATGTCCATTAATTTCTCCTTCAGCTGAGGAAAGAGCCAACTTTCCTCCCTTTTGGAGATTTTTTTGCAGTGTTCTCCACTCTTCAAGACACACAGAGAGAACTCGTCAAGTAATGTGGTTTACACATAAATTCGTGTACTAAACATAGGTTGGATGGCCTTCTGTTGGAGCTACAGCAGTGTCTTCCTGAGGACCACACTTTTCTCCATCTCTGGTCTAGATCATTAGTGGGGAACTACTGTTTCTCCAGATATTTGGAAACCTTATTCCCATCAACCCAAGTCAATGACTTGGCTGATGGAGAACTATCATGTTCACCACTGGTTTTCTGGATTAGGTGGGTATGGCAACATATAGTTCAGTTTATCTCCCTGGATAGTTCCCATCCAAAGCTTCCATTTGAGTCCTGATATTTTCTGATATACCAGCTCTGAAGCAATAATGCCATAGCCATTCATGGTATTTTCATATGATAGATCCATGACAGTTTGTGGCTACATTTTTACTTCTCGTGTTTTGTTTATCATGTGGCCATACATGTGGCTGCTTCTTCATTCTATAACTTTCGTTCTAAGGGTTTCAAACCTTCAGCACCGATTGCATCTTGGTTTCACCATTTGCACAATGTCATCAGTGGTTTTTGTACATGGCACTATGGTGATGCAGCATTTGTTCTTCTCCTTACCGAGAAAATGCTTCTTCTTTGCTATGAATACTCATATTTCCTGTGAGTTGCTTATCAGCAATTTCACAGTCATTTCCCAAGCAGCTCAATTGTATGCTAACCTTTAGTTTGGGGAGGGATCATTGTGGCCCTTCCAGAATGACAAGTCCCATCATCAAAGACTCCAGGACTGGGAATACCTATGATCACCACACCACAAAAGAGTGCAGCAATATAAACAAAAAGTTTATTGTAAAACATATAAAAAGCAAGAAAGGAAGATATATAATCCAAAAAGGTTTTGCAACAGGTGATAACCAAAAAACAATCCAAATGTCTCATAAAGTTCCAGAGGTGACAAAGTCCAGGAACAGCCAGAAATCACAAGTACAGCATAAGTCGGCAAGAAAGAAGGTATAACTAGTAAAAACTTGAACAGGAGTACATGAACAGAAACATAGAAAACTTCCAGGATATTAAAATCCAAAACCAAGGCTGACTTGAATCAGGAACGAGAACTCAGCCTTAGGTTCTCACTGTAATGCAGCATTGCCTGAGCTGCCCTTAAACAGTTGTTGTTTAATAGACATCCATAAAAGCATTGTGTTTCCCATGAATTTTCACCTCAACTTTTTCGCGTAATCTCTCAAAGCGACGTGATCTATTTTTCTTGTAAATGAAGGCAGGTCATTTCTCCTGGGAATCCTCCTTATCACTTAGCTCTTCACTCAATTCTTTATCTGCTGTTGCTCCTTCTGGCTCCTGTAACTGACAAGCCAGTTTTCTCACAGAGAGAACCATCATTTCTCAGGCCTGAATTTCCGAGACTTGAGAGTCCATCACTTTGTGCCACAGGAAAGCCCACAAGCTTATCTAAATCATCAGTTATTATTTATTTATTTATTTACTTTATTTATATATCACTTTTCTCAGCCCTCAGGCGACTCAAAGCGGTGAACAACTTAAATACAAAACATCACAAGACAAGTATAGGGCAATTAAAAACAATTGTAACATAAACATCCGTATAACAATCATTAGCGCCTCAACAGTAAAATCAGAATTCAGTCTCATCATCCATTATTCCATATTCCCATGTTCAATTACACTGTTTAATCAAATGCTTGTTCAAACAGCCAGGTCTTCACTTTCCAGCAGGGAGGGGGCCGATCTGATATCTGCAGGCAGGGCGTTCCACAGCCGAGGGGCCACCACTGAGAAGGCCCTGTCTCTCGTCCCCGCCAAGCACGCCTGTGATGCAGGCGGGACAGAGAGCAGGGCCTCCCCAGATGATCTTAGTGTCCTAGCCGGTTCATAGGAGTTAAACCATCAGCTTCTAGCTGATCTACAACAGTAGGCTGTCTTGGCTAGAGCCATGGGAGCTGGAGCTAAGCAACGCCTGGGGAATGATAGTCCCCCACACCTCTCTTATCTGATGGTTCAGATTGACATCCATTAACTGAGGTAACTGGGGTGCATCTACACTGTAGAATTAATATTATTTGACACAACTTTAACTGCAATGGGTGAATGCTGTGAATTCCTTGGAATTGTAATTTTACAAGGCCTTTAGTATTTTCTGCTTCAGTGCTGGTGCCTCACCAAGCTACAAATCCCATGATTCCATAGCATTGAGCAAGGGAAGTTACAGTGATCTCAAGCTGCACTGATTCTATACTGTAGATGCATCCTGGGGGAAATGGATATTTCATCTACGTAAGAGACATGATGTAGGCTGCCCTTTTCTGTTTAGGTAATACATAAAGAATGGATTACCATTGAAAATGGCTCAGAAGGCCTCAGATGCATTTGATTCCAACAATAGTTAACAACATTTTGGAAAGAACTAACCTCTTTGCAGCTCTTAGGAGTCCTGATTCTCCAAAAAGCCATGACTAATTAGGCTAGATAGTTGGGATCTACACGTGTGGGCTTAGATCTGATCTTTGCAGCAGTAGTCTTCCATGATATTATTTGGTCATTATTCCAGTTATTGTTACCCACACATTTTTCTATATCAGCACTCATCTGATCACATTTTCTTTTTCTAGAGATCTCACATTAGCTCTGTGTAACTTACTTTTCTGATCTGTTGATAGGAAAATACTGATTTATGAATTTGGGTGGTCTTTGCAGGATGTGGATCGGAGCTACACCCACTTGGGAACGATGGTGGAGTTTGCCATGGCTTTGGTGGCTAAGCTAGACATCATCAACAAACACTCTTTCAACTGTTTCAAGCTTCGTGTGGGTGAGTGTGGGTGAACCGAAAGTGAGCCATGAAAAGATACAAATCTCATCTTACATGTGGGTCTTTGCATCCTTCCTCACAATGTGATGCAAATAGATAAGATTTTGTTTTTTTGTAGGAGGGAAGCAAGAGGAAATGGAGCACTTTGGGGTGGGGGGGGGCACTGTCACTGACATAATCCCAAACATATTTTAGGCTGATACTGAGCTCTGAAAAAATGTTGACCTTTTACATTTGTAATATAAGTTAACCATATATAGCATGGATTTGTTGGCACCCAGGAAGCCAACTAAAAGCATTTTGTCCCTGGTTCTTGGCTTCCCATGTATTGTAAGGGCATGTTGGTGGAATGGGTTGAAAATCCATGTGTTGCTGAACTGCTGACCTGAAGGTTGGCAGTTTGAATCCGTGGGATGGGGTGAGCTCCCTCTGTTAGCCCTCGCTCCTGTCAACCAAACAGTTTGAAAACATGCAAATGGGAGTAGATAAATAGGTACCGCTTTGGTGGGAAAAGGCAAAGAAACGCTCCAAGCAGTCTTGTTGGCCAAACCAGAGGCGACAACACAGGCTCCTTGGCTTGAAAATGCAGAAAAACACCTTCCCCAGAGCCAGAGATGAGCACCACTTCCAGAAGCCGGAAATGAAAGGAGAAGCCTTTGCCTTGTCTGTGTTTGTGTGTCTCATTGTATGTGATTGTAAGGCATTGAATGTTTGTCTGTGTCTACTGTAAATGCTATAATCCACTTGAGGGGAGGAGGGCAGAATATAAATAAAGTGTATTGTTTAATAATAATAATAATAATAATAATAATAATAATATGGATCTTATTTTAAAAATTAATATATGATGAATTTATATCTAATGTTGAGTAGGCAAAGGGCAATACATGAGCTACATGAAGATACACACATACAATGGCCATTTAGACTCCCCTATTGTCCCTTTAAGTAAATCATTTTTTTCTCCTGAAACTATCCAGCCATACCCTTTTCCCCAAATTTTTTTTGGATGGAGGATGGGGATATGAATGTCATAAGCTCACTGTTACTACTGTTTGTTTGTTTGTTTGTTTATTTATTTATTTACATACCAAGGGGGGGGGGACTCAGGGTTGCCTCACATAAGCACCGTACAATGCTATCATCATACAAATAATCAACAAATACATTAAAACAATTCATTAAAATAATACATTACTCATGCCAGTTAAACCAAAAACAAGTCTGGGGTTAAGCATTCAATGTTGCAGTATCCAAGTCTTCTTTCCAATTGCTGCTGTCCACTAATCAAACGCCTGGTCCCAAAGCCAAGTCTTCAATTTTCTTTTAATAAACTGTTGCTTTATTGTATATTATTTTGATATGTTTATACTCACATGAGGCACTGAATGCTTGCCTTTTTGTATGTGTAAACCACCCTTAATCCTTTGGGGGAGAATGGACGGTCTGGAAATAAAGTTTATTATTATTATTATTATTATTATTATTATTATTATTATTATTCAAATTAAATCAATGAAAGGTATTTCCAGAGACGTATCCAGCTCTGTTCCTTTAGCTGGATGCGGGCCACAGGGAACTCCTTCATGAAGATTACACGCTAGACTGAAAAGAGCCATCACTGAATCCAGAAGATTGATAAATATACTTAAGCCACATCACCCTCAAGCAATGATCCTGAAGGTTCCAGCTTCTTGGTGCCTCTAAAGCAGTGGTTCTCAACCTGTGGGTCCCCAGATGTTTTGGCCTTCAACTCCCAGAAATCCTAACAGTTGGCAAACTGGCTAGAATTTCTGGGAGTTGTAGGCCAAAACACCTGGGGACCCACAAGTTGAGAACCACTGTACTGTATTCTGCTAGAGGACCACAGTTGGACTCTTCTCCAGTCACTACAATCCATGGGAGAGAGGAAAGCAGGAGTTCAGTAGCACTGACGTGGGTTTGGTTGGATGATTGTGAAGACCTGCTCTAGTTCCACCTGATGAAACAGTCCCGTAGTCGATCTGATAGCTTTAATGTAAGGCCAGAAACCAATTGTTCATTTGGACTTTTCACTGTTATCCTTCCATGTACCATTCACCCAATCTTGATTTTGAGGTCTAATGATATGCTAGTCTTTAGTCCTCCTGAAGAATGGTTGTAGGACTCAAACTGATAGCTTGGTCTGATTCATTGCTGTAGGTCCCTGGGAGTTCACAAGTGAACTAATCACTAGAGGAGAAGGTGACATAGATTGGTATTTTGGTATGTAAAGTCATCTCGAGTCCCCTTTAGGGTAGAGAAAGGCGGGATATAAATAGAGTAAATAAATGAATAAATAATAAATATTTTGGGGTATAATTTTGACTTATCATTTGCTTAGTTTGAATTGAATTAAAAAAAAAAGTTCATTTTGACCACATAGCTGTATAACCTACATATCTGTGCTCTATCCCTATGGTATTTTTCCCCAGGCATGAATCATGGCCCAGTTGTAGCTGGAGTGATTGGAGCTCAGAAACCCCAGTATGATATTTGGGGGAATACGGTGAATGTGGCCAGCCGGATGGAGAGCACAGGTGTGCTGGGGAAGATACAGGTAAGGTCTTTAAAGCAAGCATTTAGGAACTGAGTGGATTAGTTACTGTCAGTGCCTTGATTGTGCTTTTCCTGCACAGCAATCCCCAATATTCTTCCCCAATATTCCTTTAAGAAGACTATCGCAAGTTCCCAATCTTCATTAAAACTCTTTAATGACTCATCTTTAATTAAACTGGTTATTTTTCTCCCATCTTTGCAATATCACATAATTTCATCAGCTGATACATCCCTTTCAAGGGGTGATAGTAAAATAGAGTCTCCATGTACAAAGACATTGCATTTCTGAATATACTCAGAACCGTTGGAAGGGGCAAACTAAGGCCCCATCTACACTGCAATATACAATTCAGATTCTTTGCTTTAAATTGGATTGTATAGCAGTGTCTGGTGGCACAGCAGGTTAAACCACTGAGTTGCTGAACTTGCTGACCGAAAGGTTTGTAGTTCAAATCCGGGAGGTGAGGTGAGCTCCCACTGTTAGCCAGGGCTGTAGCCAGAAAAAAAATTCGGAGAAGGTTGAAAATTTCGGGGGGGGGGGGTTGAAACCTGCCTCCTAGCTCACGCTGAAGCATAGAGCACAGCAGGGGGCAGAGCAGCCTTCAATAGCCTGCAGCTCGCCCCTGTCAACCACCTCCACCAAGTCTGGCCTCCTTAATGAGAGCATTCAACACCCCCCCCCCCAACTTGGTTGCTTCGCTACATCGGCTATTGCTGCAAGTAATGACAGTGTGAATAAATTGTCAATATTTGCTTGAGATAGTGCTTGCAGTTCTGGAGGGACTCTTAATTTTTTGTGTCTCATAGACTTAGCATGGGGATTTGGTTAACTAGTTAAAATTCATGAGTAAACCAAGTTTTTTTTTAATCTGAAAAATTTTGGGGGGAGAGGGTTGAACCCCTAACCTCCCCCCCCCCCAGCTACAGGCCTGCTGTTAGCCCCAGCTTCTGCCAACCTAGCAGTTTGAAAACATGCAAATGTGAGTAGATCAATAGATACCGCTTCTGCGGGAAGGTAATGGCACTCCAAGTAATCATGCTGGCCACATAACTTTGGAGGTGTCTATGGACAACACCAACTCTTCGGCTTAGAAATGGAGATGAGCACCACCTTTACCTTTATGGCAGTGTAGACTAATATAATCCAGTTCAAGTCAGATAATCTGGATTTTATATGGCAGTGTAGATGGGACCTAACCATAGGCTTACTTGCATGCCTAATTCCTAAAGCTATAGGGCTGACAACAGTCGGAAATAATGGACTACTCTAGATTGTCTTAAGCCTGATCCAAAAGGGCTCTTCTGATACGGTTTTCTAAAATGAACCAAGATTTCGCTGGCTTCCTCTGTCTTTCTCTAGTATTCCATTCACTTCTACGGTCTCTTCTTTTGGTTCTCATAGGTCACAGAAGAAACAGCGAAATCCTTGGAGACCCTGGGTTATGCTTGCTGTTTGCGTGGCATTATCAAGGTGAAGGGCAAAGGTCAGCTGCGGACATACTTTGTGAATACAGACATGGCTCGACCTGGATCCCAAGGGCCAATGCTGAGCTGACTCCTACTGAATGAAACTGTGGCCTGCACTAAACGCTTGCGGGCTAGACATTTCTTGTGAATGGTTGCAGCCCTTCCTCGTGGCACTTGAGGGCAGCACAGGACTTGAGTGACCTCTCTCGCCTGCGATTTCATGCAAGCCTTTGTGTTCCATACTTGGTTTGTGGTCACTACCATAATGAAATGTCAGGAGGCAATGAAGACATGTCAACATGCATTTCATACATAAGATAAGTGACAGAGGAACTAAAGAGGAAATTGCCTCTCCTGAGGACAACCTTACCACCAGTGGAAGCCTTGGCCAGTGTGCCTCCATGTTTTTTTCCTGTTACGAAAATAGGTATGGAAATAATATTTGTAAATTTTTTTTTAAAATGCTTGAAAGACATTTTTTTCGAGTGTGGAGAAACTACCGAGAAGAATCCTAGACTGAAAAGTATATTTGGATTTTATTCAGAACAGAAATCAGCATTTTCTGTGCAGGATAAAGCATTTTCGTCATGGAAAATAATATTTGAACACAGAAATATTTATCCCTTCAGAAAAAGCAAATTGATCCCATATGAATTTTATGCAGAATAAATCCCCAATTACAACATTTTCTGCAATGCTGAAACAGCTGGATGTCCTTAACTAATTCTAGCACAACATACCTACCTAGGGCCAAATATTCCTACGCAAGGAGGCAAAAGATGGGATTCATTGCCAGAATCAGTCATCGAAAGTGTCTCATGATGAATTGAGATTCCCCCCCCCCCCTTTGCTTGAAAGGAGGAGGAGAAAGAAAAGGAGCCAAGCTGGATTTACAGAAACTACAACTGGTGTATATAAATTCGTGAAGGATTAAATGGTTTTACCTATTCTATTTGTAGATAATAACATGTTGTATGTGATTATTCTCATGGTTTTGGTTTGACTTTGCTCTGACTTCATCGATACTTGGGGAACTGTCGGCATTTGCTATTCAGGCACAGCAATGCTTGGGATGTGAATATGTCACCCTTCCTACCATTTTTATTGCTCATTTAGTGCAGAAAAGAATGGTAGGAATCAGGGCTGTAGCCAGAAAAAAATTTCGGGGAGGGTTGACAATTGGGGGGGGGGGGTTGAAAATTTGGGGGGGGGGTTGAAAATTTGGGGGGTTGAAAATTTGGGGGGGGGGGGGGTTGAAACCTGCCTCCTAGCTCACGCTGAAGCAAAGAACACAGCAGGGGGCAGAGCAACCTTCCATAGCCTGCAGTTCCACCCCTGTCAACCACCTCCACCAAGTCTGGCCTCCTTAATGAGAGTTGCTGCAAGTAATGACAGTGTGAATAAATTGTCAATATTTGCTTGAGATAGTGCTTGCAGTTCTGGAGGAACTCTTAATTTTTTGCATCTCATAGACTTAGCATGGGGATTTGGTTAACCAGTTAAAATTCATGAGTAAACCAGGTTTTTTTTTTAAAAAAATCTGAAACATTTCGGGGGGGTTTGAACCCCTAAAACCACCCCCTCGCTACAGGCCTGGTAGGAATTGTGCAGCTCAGTAAAAAAAAAAAACTGAGCTTATTTCCTCAGTGGTAGGCAACAGAGAAAGCAGAAGGTTAGGAATAAATTTGTTACTCTTGTATTGTAGAAGGACAATCACCTCTCAACAAAAGATTGCTCCAGGCACTGCCAGGCTATCAAATGCTAATCAAGGTGGTCAGTTGAAACATTCACACCTAGCCCCAGCAGACAAGAGTCCTTTGTCCCACCCTGGTCTTTCCACAGATATATAAACCCATTTTCCTAGTTCCAACAGACCTCATTACCTCTGAGGATGCTTGTTTACTGCTTCCATGGAGATTAGGACAAGGAACAATGGCTTCAAACTACAAGAAAGGAGATTCCATCTGAACACGAGGAAGAACTTCCTGACTGTGAGAGCCGTTCAGCAGTGGAACTCTCTGCCCTGGAGTGTGGTGGAGGCTCCTTCTTTGGAAGCTTTTAAACAGAGGCTGAATGGCCATCTGTCAGGGGTGATTTGAATGCAATATTCCTGCTTCTTGGCAGAATGGGGTTGGACTGGATGGCCGATGAGGTCTCTTCCAACTCTTTGATTCTATGATTCTGTAATTCTTCCTGGACTGCCAGTCCCATGATTCACTAGAATGGAAAGGTGGTACTTTAATGGATCATAGTGCTATAACTGTGCAGAATGAATGGGTACCAGTGACCTATGAATTTTACTTCAACACAGCTGAGAAGACAACTTATTTCATTGTTCCCTGCAGGCAGCAGCTTGTTATCCAGAGAAGTTTGAATTGTGGAACAGGTTGCAGGTATCATAAATAAATAATTGTGTAGCGGGTCCAGGCAGGCTAAAGAGCCAGTGTGGCGTAATTGTTTGTGTATTGTGAGTAGGACACTCAGAAGACCTGGGATAGACTTGAAGGCACACAACAATATAGTCAATACAGTTCCTAAGGTTCCTCAAAACCTATTGAAACTTGTTTCTTGTTTATGGTTGCTTATGTTAAGCTACTCAAAGAACTGAGAACACAGGTAATGTATACTGAATAAATTTCTCCAGTCTCAGTTCAAGTGAGAAGATGTCTCCAAATACAGTCAATTCCACAGTGGGACTACAGTAAGGTCCTCAAGAAACAGTTATCATTTCCATATCAGTATGGTGGCAAACCCACTTTGAGTTTTAGTCTGAATGTTAAAGGAGGGCCCTTCCACACAGCCATATAACCCAGAATATCAAGGCAGATAATCTACAATATCGGTTTTGGATTGGATTATCTGAATCCACACTGTCATACAATCGAGTTCACTGTGGGTTGTATATAGTTGTGTGGAAGGGGCTGGGATTATCCAAGGATAGAAAGCCCAATTCTCCAAATAGGCCCAGCATATTTAAAGTTCAGACGAAAACTCAGAGCAGTTTCATCACTTCACTGTCTATGAAGTCACCAAACTCCAATGGTCAGAACACATTCAGAGTTTCTTACACACACTACAGTCAACACACATTTTCAGTGTCTCTTGTAACATACATGTTTTAATTATTAGTGACATGTAAAGAATGTATTTATTTTCCAATAAAATACAAAGTTTTATTTATTTATTTATTTATTTAGTATCAAAAGCATTGCATAAATTAGTATAAAACTGATAAAAATAGAAGGAGTGCAGGTGACTAAATATCTTTTGACCAAAAACGGGCAATATCAATGGCATTGTCTGTAGCCTCCAACAATTCCTCCTCTGTACATGAGGCAGGGCATAGTGGACAAGCATACAGATGCAGAGTTGTCTGTTCTGCTCCACAAGGTGTGGGATTCTTTTAGGTAGTACCATTTTGCCAGGTTGTCTTTTGTTCTGCCCACTCCACTTCTGAGTCTGTTCAGGGACTTCCAAGTTGCCCATTCTTGGTTTGCCCCTGGAGGAGGACCCTCGCGGGGGGCCATCCAGTTGGGATTTCCTGGTTTAGCTGCTCAGAGGGATACCCTTGCTGTTGCTGGGGGGATGCCAAGAGGAGTGGTAGTTCTCATAAAGCTTTCCCTTGATTTGAGTCTACTTTGAGGAGGCTGGTAGCCATGTTATATGTAAGTAAGTAACATTGATTCAAAAAACCACTCTGGATTATTTTTACCTTCTAAGTTTGATGCTATGGATTTCTGCTGATTCCAATGGTTGCTCTCAACTGGAGCAGACCCACCAAACCAATGAAACTTACACAAGCATTGAGTCAGTGAGTTTTACTCAGGTAAAATCAATAACTGAATTTGGGTCTAAGCTTCCACTTGTCCTTTTCCCATTGCTAAACACTTTTGGGCCAAACCCAAGACACTTTGTTGGCTAAGGAACAAAATGATATCTCATCCTCTTTCTGAAGCCAACTGTCCCAACAGTGGAATCTTCACACAGCGTTCATCTCAAATACTTTCATTCTACCTTCAAATACCTGCTGCCTAAAGTGACTATCTCACATTACCTAGTGGTGAGGCCATCTCTATAAGTATCTTTGGAGCAAAGTAAGTTGAATGGGAAAGGATGGAAGAGAATGGAGATAATACATTTTTTTTGTCAGTCTTTACTGTTTCCCACAAATGCTCACCACCTTCTCTTCTCCTTCTCTTCTTTTTATAACTCTGTATGTTATCAGTAGCCATCAATATTAAACACCTCTTGAGAATAAAATAGATCCAAAAAATGAATGAAAAGAGCTGAAAGGAAATTTAAGGTGTGTGAGGGTGGATTATAGGTAGATGCTCTTATCTTCTCTTTGCCTTATCCAAAAAATACAGTTTGTTTTCTTCTAGAACAGTGTTTCTCAACCTGGGGGTTGGGACCCATGGAAGGGTCACAAGGGGGTGTCAGAGGGGTCACCAAAGACAACCAGAAAACACAGTATTTTCTGTTGGTCATGGGGGTTCCGTGTGGGAGGTTTGGCCCAGTTCTATCATTGGGATACTCTTTGATTGTAGGTGAACTATAAATCCCAGCAACTAGAACTCCCAAATGTCTATTTTCCCCCAAACTCCACAAGTGTTCACATTTGGGCATATTGAGTATTCGTGCCAAGTTTGGTCCAGATCCATTATTGTTTGAGTCCACAATGCTGTGTGGATGTAGGTAAACTATAACTCCGAACTCAAGATCAATGCCCACCAAATCCTTCCAGTATTTTCTGTTTGTCATGGGAGTTCTGTGTGCCAAGTTTGGTTCAATTCCATCGTTGGTGGAGTTTAGAGTGCTCTTTGATTGTAAGTGAACTATAAATCCCAGCAACTACTACTCCTAAGTGACAAAATCCTCTCTCCAACCCCACTAGTATTCAAATTTGGGCATATTGGGTATTTGTGCCAAATTTGGTGCAATCAATGAAAATACATCTTGCATATCAGATATTTACATTACAATTCATAATAGTAGCAAAATTACAATTATGAAGTATTTTCTGTTGGTCATGGGAATTCTGTGTCCCAAGTTTGGTTCAATTCCATCATTGGTAGAGTTCAGAGTGTTCTTTGATTGTAGGTTAACTATGAATCCCAGCAACTGCAACTCCCAAATGACAAAATCACCCTCTGCCCCAAATACATCCTGCATATCCGTTATTTACATTACGATTCATAACAGTAGCAACACTGCAGTTATGAAGTAGCAATGAAAATAGTGGGTTGTTGTAGGTTTTTTCGGGCTATATGGCCATGTTCTATAGCCCGAAAAAACCCACAGCAACCTAGTTCTTCTGGCCATGAAAGCCTTCGACAATACAGCAACGAAAATAATTTTGTGTTTGGGTGTCACCACAACATGAGGAAAGGGAATAATGGGGTTGCGGCATTAGAAAGGTTAGGAACCACTATTGTAGAAAAAGAGATTATTATTTATTTGTAACAGTTTGCTCTCAGAATTTGGGGCCCAAAGTGGTGTTTACAAACTAAAATGAAACAGCAAAAGATATCTAAGCGCTCCTGCTAACTCAGAGCTTGTGGGTGAATTTCAGAAAGGAAGGAAGGGAAATAAAGACTGGGTTACTGCCACTTCAAAATCCTCAAAAAGCATGGCTACCTGATCCTGCAACTTAAGTCCCAAAAGATCAATTTAAAATCATAGAATCATAGAGCTGGACAGTACCACAAAGGCCATTCCAGTCCAACCTCCTGTCATATACACACAATACACACACATATACCAAGTTGCATTGACCAGGAATCGAACCCAATCCTCCCCTGTGTCAGGCTAGAATTCCAGTACTGAACCACCAGTGTTCACAGACTGGTTTTCAAGCTTTGATTTAGAAAACATGACACAGAATTGCTGCTCTAAGATTTGATATCTTGGTAGTGAAAGGCACTGTGCATGTTCAGTGAAGTAACCCATTCTTTTGAATGAGGTGGTAATTCAGAGCTTGCTGGAAAAACAGAATTGTCCTTTCTCACATAATATTGATGTAAAGAGGACATATGGTGAGAGAAAGAGAGCATTTCACCATACAGAGTTCAAAGCTCATATTGCTCTTCAGTGGGTTTGTAAGGTGACTGGAGGGGCTTGGAAGCATCCCCACCTTCTTGAGATGATCCACCAGTTGTTGGGTTAGTAGACATAGTCAGAAATTCAGGATTCTCATGATTTAAGTGTTTGATCTTTGAATTTCCAAGCTGTTGACTTCCTTGCATGGTGCCTTGTCTGGTGCTGGACATTTCAGAGGCTGTCCCTTCAAAGAGCTTGGCCATGAAGCCAAAGCCAGCGGACCGGATAAAGGAGCCACCACTGAAAGCATACAGGATGGGGTTGACGCTACTGCTAAAGAAGGCTAAGGCAATCAAAGTAGGTCTACCCATGTTTCCTGCCCTTTGTACCTCCTCGGAATTGCTCCAGACACCAACCACATCCAAAAGGTTAACCACATGGTACGGGAGCCAAAAAAGAGCAAAAGCTAACACAATGAGACTGATGAGGTGGTTTGTCCGTCGCTTCCGGCGGAACCGTGTCTCCTTCAGCCGTCGGTTTATGGTCCCGTAGCTGTAGATTATGGCAATGAAAGGAAGAACAAACCCAGTGATGGTTTCAAAGAGATTGTGGAAAACCAGGTGCTTGGACTTGGGGTCAGGGTAGCTGAGTTGACAAAGGAGCCGTCCATCCATATTTACCTCCCTTCGGTAGATGAGTACAGGGATGGCCAAGAAAAAGCCAACTACCCAGATAACAGAAACCAAAATGCGTATGGTACTTCTTGTGCGGATCTTCTGGGAGACAAAGGGCCAGGAGATAGCCAAGCAGCGGTCAAGGCTCATGAGAGCGATGAGGGAAACACTGGCATACATGCTAACTCCACAGATGTAATAGCATGCCTGGCAGATGACTTCACCCATTTCCCATCTGCCAACACTTAGAAAACGGAGGAAGATAGGTGCTGTGAGGAGTACAATCAAATCAGCTATGGCCAAGTGGAGGATGAGAAGGCAGGTGACAGTGCGCTTGCGGACAAGGCAACCTGCACTCCACACGACGAAAGCATTGCCAGGGAGACCCAGGATGAAGGCGAGTGAGAGGACAACCTGGCCTACAGTTGCTCCTGGGAGAGGACCCATTGAACTGGTTATATTCTGGGCTGCATTCTTAGAAATATTCATGGTCCAATCAAATGTTGCACGGTGACAGAGGTACTGTGTGGGGAAAAAAGAAGCAAAAGAGATGTCAATAGAATGTCATGACCAGGACCCTACTTTGCATTTGCATGATGTAATTATGCTCTGAGACCCTCGTGTAGAAGGCAACGCTGTGTACAAACAAATGTGCAAGTGAATCCAGCTACACACTTGTCTATACAACCACATACCACAGCAAATGTGCAACTAAATAGAATCTGAATATGAAGCTATATGCACAACATCTTCAGATGTACAACTCTGCTTCTGTGATCTTGAACTAGATGGACAAAATGTCCAGTTGTGTAAGACACCAATCAGATTCTGACCCATGTCCTTCCCTTTCCCCTTGGCTACAATTTGGCAATAGTGTAATGGATATCAGTCCCTTGCAAAGGCAACCTCAATGTAATATAAAGCACATAGAGATAACATTCTCAAAATAATTCTAAATGAATAATTGTACACCTTGTAGCAGAAAGTTTTACAAACCAAACCACAAAGGCAGTGTTTCTCAACCTGGGGGTCGAGACCCCCCAGAAGAGGTCACAAGGGGGCTTCAGAGGTGCCACCAAAGACTACCAGAAAACACATATTTGTGATGGTCTTAGGAACTCCTTTGTCAGAGAGGAGAAGGCTGAAGCTCTCTCTGCCTTTCCTTCTTTTCCTTTTTGGAAACAGACGACAAATACACCAAAAGCCCTTCTGCTGTGATTTTCCAGTCTCTCATCCAAGGGAAGGGCTGTTTCTGAGACTCCAAGTGGGGATGGGAGAGCAGGCATTCTCTGCGCATGGCAATGTGGTGTGCATGTGCAGGTGAGGGAGAGTGCAAGGCTGCAAGGAGACTCACGTCAGCGAGTCCCTTCAAGGCATAGGAGTTCTGTGTGGGAAGTTTGGGCCAATTCTATGGTTGATGGGGTTCAGAATGCTTTTTGAACTATAAATCCCAGCAACTACAACTCCTAAATGACAAAATCAATGCCCCCCCCCCTCCAACCCCACCAGTATTCAAATTTGGGCGTATTAGATATTTGTGCCAAATTTCATCCAGTTAATAAATACATCCTGAATATCAGGTATTTACATTATGATTCATAACAGTAGCAAAATTACAGTGATGAAGTAGCAATGAAAATAATTTTATGGTTGGGGCTCACCACAACATTTTTTTTGTTGTGTCCACAACCCCTGCATGAAGGGGTTGCTGCATTAGGAAGGTTGAGAAACACTGCACTAAGGGCTGTATATGTGTGTATAAAGCATACAACTTAGGGTTGAGTCTACACTGACCAATAAATTTGCAGCCAGTCCAGAGCATATCTGTTCCAGACTAAATGCTCTGTGGTGCCACATTGGTGTCTACATTGTCCAGCTGGATCAAGGCTTCATCCTTTTATGCCTGCAAAGCTGTTTTAAGTCTGCAAAATCTGTGACGGCCACAGAAAGTAGGCAAATATCATGAAAACAGCCAGAAATGTATTTGGGATAAGTCAGGCTTTTTCTTGCTCATGCAGACTTGCCATTAGAGGACAAGCTTTAAGAATAGATGTGTCATTAGGTTTCAAATTCAAGAAAATTCTGAATGCCTATTGCAACCCCAGTCTCCACCCCATCACAACCTGGCACTATCCAGATGTACTACAATACAATCATTCTCACCTATGTTGATTGGGATGATGGGAGTTGTAGTCCTAAAATCAGATGACCATCAAGTTGGGGAAGATGACTTGTCAGAAAAGGGGGAAGGAATTCCCCCATCACAGCATGCCTCAACAGAGGTTGTCCCTTGAATCAGATGTGATGCTTGATGCTGACTTGGTGTAAAGGCACAAAGACTTCTAGTTCGTTTAAGCATATGGAGCAATTTCCTTGCAGCTTTCAGAGAAATGGTGGGGCAACTGCTTAATGATGGGGAAACAAAGGGAGTGCCTGCAGATGCGAGTTCTGCATAAGGACATGTTGTGCATATCTATTTCAGATGAACTGAGTCTGTTCAGAGATGAGATCCAGATCTTTCTTTACTTTTTCTACCAATTGGATCAACTGGGTGTAATTGTTTGATCGTTGGACTAGGGTTTCTGAGGTTCATATCCTTCTTTAGGAAGCTTGCAAGTGACCTTGAGCAAGTCATAGAGTGGGAAGAGACCCAGGGGCCATCCAGTCGACCCCCTGCAATGCAGGAACATGCAATCAAAGCCTTCCTCAAAGAAATCACACTCTCTCAGCCTCAAAGGAAGGCAAAGGCAAACCTCCTTTAAAGAGATTTTGCCAAGGAAATCTTGTGACAGATCTGGTTTAGAGTCACCATAAGTCAGGAATGGTTTGAAGGCATGCAACCTTATTTCTTGCATGGGAAGAAGTAGCCGGGGAAGCATTGGTATTGCTTGGATGTCCCACAAGGAAAGGTTTGTGCAGCCCTTTCCCTTTTCATAAATGGTTGGAGGTACATCCTAGAGGAAACACCATGTAACATTACTGCGTCCAGATCTAGTTTGGCTCTTGGTGATGTCTAGAATTTAACTTTTCTACAACATTCATAAGATTCAACAGATAAGGGTGAAGTTGGCCATTAGAAAGGCTAAGGGCATCAGGTGAGGAAGGTTGCCAAAAGGGACATGCTGGGATTTGAAGCCAGGGCCAAGGTGCCTGTTATTTCAGCCTCCCCCCCCCCCTCTAGATTCTGTCTTCTCAGTTAGTCAAATGTTCTAGTTGTTTGCAGGACTGGCAGAGAAGGGGCATTATTTGGGTCACCTAGATTTTCTGATGTTAAGGTTGCATCATGTTCTAATGTTCTTAGTACATCTGTGGCCCTCTAAAGAAAGTGTGGGCAAATAGATACATTTCCCGTGTTTCCCCATGCAACCAGATCTTCAAAGCAGCTTCTACCCACATTAACCACCAAGCTTAGACATTCAAACTGAAATTGAAGCAAGTTGAATTTTGGGACCTGCCTTCAAAAAAAACCTTTCCATTAGGTTTGAGAGGGACACATTTGATTATGACATTGGAAGATAAGACTAACTGCTCAGCTGTGAGTACTGTTACAAAGTGTCTCTACATGTTTATTAGCTCCATGCTCCAATATAATTTAGGAAGTCTTGTTCAAAAGTGATTCTGCAATTGCAATGACATATGCAATGCTATTGCCACAACAGAATCAAAAATACTATGTTTGAACAGTCTTATAGATATACTGATTATATTGAATGTATCTCCCTAGTCAGGGATTACACATCTTTAACAGTCATAGCTCCTCTGCAATTTGTAGTTTGGGTTTGAGCATTGGATTATGACTCTGGAGAGCAAGTTTGATTTCCCACTCAGCCATTGAAAAGTTTGGTGAGTCACATACTCCCAGACACATAAAATTCCGTGATAGGTTCACTTTAGGGTTGCCATGTCGGAAAGGACTTGAAGACACACAACAAGGTACTTGGACTTCTCTTCTAGATAGCTTTCTAGCAGAGAATTCCATGTACTTCATCAACATACAAATCTTTGGATTCTGTACAAAAGAGTAATGATAATTGAACATGTATGAAATTATTGTAACTGAATACAAAGATAGACTTAGAGCAAAAAAAAAAAAAAAGAATTCTTTTTAGCAGCCTCTGAAGGTTTTAATAAAAAGTTGAAACCCTAGGCTTGCTAAGGGATAAATTAAGTTTATTCTCTTCTGTCATTACAGACTTCTAGACCTGGCACCCGAGATGCATCCAAATTAGAATAGATTCAGAAAATGAAGTTAGAAAAGAATATAAGGTTTGCATTGCAGAAGTTATCCTCCAATCAGAATGGCATAGCACAGGTTGTTCTTACATAATGCATCATGGTTAATTGGAGCCAAGACTTATGATTGTAAGGCATGGACAAGCTGGAGAAAGGAGACATGCTCCTTTTCCAAATGATTCACTTGAGTAATTGATAATAGACTAATGAGAGACCCGGAAAGGAACAGATAGAAAGAAATGGCTACAAACAGAAAATGCAAAGGCATGTTTACAATTGATCAGGAAGAAAACAAAAATAATGACCACAGATGAAGCCAACAATGAGGGCATTAAATTGTTCATAAATTTTGTTTCCTTGGCTCAGTCATTAATCAGATGGAGACTGGAATCAAGAAATCAGAAGACAAGACCTTTGAAGGAAAAGCTATGATGGATCAAGATCCTGATGTGCAAAGATATATCATTAAATACTCAAGTTAGGATTGTCCATGCCATTGTCAATGTCTTCCCCATTTCTATATATGGTTGTGAAAGCAGGACAGTGAAGAAAGTGGATAGGAAGAGAATCAACTCATTTGAACTGTGGTGCTGGAGAAGAATTCTGCAAAAACCATGGACTGTTAAAAAGACCAATAAATAGGTCCTAAAGGAAACTGAACCAGAACTCACCCTGGAATCCAAGATGACTAAACTCAGACTGTCATACTTATCTCATGCCATATCATGAGAAGACATGACTCCCTAGATAAGATGATAATGTTAGTAAGGTAGAATGCATTAGGAAAAGGTGAAGACGCCATTCCAGGTGGATGAAATTAACCAAGGAATACATAGGCCTGAATTTGCAAGACCTGAGCAGGGATAGGGTGACTAGGAGGTCTCTCACTCAAAAGGTTGACTTGGGCAGCAGCAACAAAATGATACATGCTCAGAGGAATATTTCTCCTTTGTTATCCCTTCACATCTTCTAGATTGGAGGCATAGGGAATACTTTCTAGGTTCTAATACTTCTGCCTGGCTTAAAAAAAAAGCTCTGGTTGGTCTCACTTCTCCTTTCCACTCTCTTTGTGGTCCATCTGTCAGAAACACACTTTGCCATCCCTGATATTATCTCGAGACTGTGGAGTTACCCACTCACTTGCTTACCTTTCTGGTCTTCCAAATTAATCTGCCTGGTGCTGAGTTCTCCAACCTTCTGCACCCCGAGACTTATCCTGTCCCTAGTTTTGCCTCACCCCTTGAGGAGTTGGTGGAGTGGAAGTGGTTTGGTTTGTGGGCTACTGCTTCTTGCACTCTCTCACAACAGCATTAGGAAACGCCCCCTCCTTTGCTATCTTCCATTGAGCTCCAAGAGGAAGTGACTGTAACTTTGTAAGGGATTGAGTAAGCAGTGGTAAGAAAGTACTAATGCATTAGCAGAAATGGAATTAGTAAGTAGATAGGATACAAATTTACTTGAAAAGGGCTTGTGATGTATGTGTTTCACGTTGTTAAGACTTTGTAGATATGGTTCTCAAGGTTTCCCACCCTAAACTATCTTGTAAGACATGGGTTGATGCATTCAGCTATGTTCCTGTATCTGGAGACACTGTGATGGGCATCAGCAGGCACCTCCTTGAGATGTCTATACAAGTGATGTCTATACAAGTGGTGCCTTCAAGTTGTTTCCAACCTACAGTGAACCAATCATTGGTGTTTCTGGTCAAGATTTATTTAGAAGAGGTTTATCACTGCCTTCTTCTGAGGACGAGAGACTGTGATTTGCCCAAGGCCACCAAGGTTTCATAGTGGAGCAGGGATTCAGACCCTGGTTCCCAAAGTCATAGTCTGGTCTATCTGTTTTTTTTTTAGAACCATAGAATCATAGAGTTGGAAGAGACCTCATGGGCCATCCAGTCCAACCCCCTGCCAAGAAGCAGGAAAATCACGTTCAAAGCACCCCCAACAGATGGCCACCCAGCCTCTGTTTTTGCTTTAAACAAAAGAAACCCATCTCCCCAAACTGTTCTTATACATGTGTACTGTGCCTTATGTGTTCATTACAGTTTTACTTTTTTGTCAAGATTTGTTCAGAAATGGTTCACAATTCATTTCCTCGAAAATGGAGAGACCATGACTTGCCCAAGGTCACCCAGTGAGCTTCCATAGTTGAGCAAGGATCTTCCAAACTCCTAGTATATTATTCAAGCCACTGCATATAATAATGTAGTATAAATAATGTAGTGTGATGTTTTATTCGGACTACAACTCTGGAGACAATGGGGGTTTGATTCTCCATGTAGCCACAGAGTGGATGGGTGAGTCACAGAATCTCAGCTCCAAAGAACCCTGTGATAAGGCTTGCTTCTGGATTGTCAAAAGTCAGAAACTACAACTCTATGATTCCAAAGCAGTTAAAGTGGTGTCAAACTGAATTAATTCTACAGTGTAGATGATGTGCCCAAGGTTCATAACTTTCCAAGGTTTATAATATAATGTATTCATTGTTTATGTTGATATCCAAATTATTGGTGTTATCTCCCAAAGATACATGGCCCATGACAATAATTTAATTGTCAGTGTCAGAACTTTTAGCATAGTATTTCCTTTGTGTACAATCTCTGAAAATGTAATGCAGTGTGTCTAATAAGGAATCAAATGAGCTATAGAAGCAGACAGAGAGTGAAATTTGAGATGAACCATTGTTGTTTTGTGCCTTCAAAACATTTCTGATTTATTATGATCCTAAGGTGAAGCTATCATAGCATTTTCTGAGGTGGAAAGTGCTTGATACTCCTAAGATCACCCATGGATTTTCATGGCAACCAACCATGGTCTCTAGAGCTGTAGTTCAATACTGAAATCATTCTACCAAACCCTCCAGCATTTCTCAGGTAAAAAAGGGACCAAGCAACATGAAAGTATGCTAAAGAAGACAACAGTTACAACAAGGAAGAACATACCAACTAGGAAAAACTGTGCAGTTTGCTTTTGCTTGAGCCAACTGGGAAGGACATTTTCCCCTCACCTCTCTAACCCAAATTAATTGAATACCAACTATTTTTGGCACTTTGAATTTAAATGTATAGCAACTGAAGTAAACTGAGGATGAAAGACAAAGGAAGAAATTAGGACAATTTAGAAGTATGAGAAAAGTGTAATGGGCAGAGGATTCGTGGGGAGTTTTCCCTGCTAAATCAGAACAATTGGGTGATATGGAGGACTATGATTCCTTTCTCTAATTCAGCGGTTCCCAATCTTTTTTTGACCAGGGACCACTTGGACCAGGGACCACTCTCCAACATTAATATCAAAAGGGGTTTTGTCAACTTTAGATTCAGTTTGGTTATTTGGGGTCTTGATTTAGAAAATTTTTTGGTCAACTTTAGATTCAGTTTGGTTATTGGGTGTTATGATTTAGAAAATTACATTGGATAAATCACATTAGCTCTAATTTCTGATACAGAACATATGCCACCCAGTAGTCATCATCAGCTCACCCACAGAAAACCATATTTAATAACCCTCGACACCATAAGAGGGTTTTGTGAGACCGGTCACTCTTGTTACAACGGTTTAGTGACGGTGAGGCCACAGACCATATTTTAGTTCTTGTTGACCACTGGTGGACCACAGGATGGGAACCACTACTAATTTATGCTACCTGTGAAAGATTTTTGTATGTTCAGGACACCCAGGTTGTTCAACGGTGTGAATTTAATTCCTCTTTTCATTACACGGGTCTTCAGGCAATACAAATTATGAAACATTGTCCCTAGAATGACCCAACCTTGAAATCCCTCAGTTGTTATTGTGTACATACATTTGCTCACAACGGTTTTGCAGCATCCCTTGACGTTGCATCAGAGCTCTGACCAGAGATACAGCCAGAATGAGGCTGGTTCATTTCCTCTTTCAAGAGGGATAGCTGAGTCAGTCTGGGTTACAGAAAACACAATAAAAGAACAGTTTGCTGTCTTAGAGACAAATACATTTAGCTTGTTATTTGAGTGTGTGTGTGTGTGTGTGTGTGTGTGTGTGTGTGTGTGTGAAGCCCCTCAAACCCCCCCCCCCCCCCCGGCTATGGGCCTGGCTTCAAGCTATAGCTCTGAGCCAACTCAAAAGCAGTGAGTTATTTTCACCACTGTGGCTGGCATTTTATAGACTCATAATCTAGGGTACATCTACACTTTAGAATTAATGTGGTTTGACACCACTTCAGGTGTCATAATTCAATGCAATAGAATCACAGAGTTGTAGTTTGGTGACAAACTCTTTGGCAGAGAAAGCAAAAGACCTTGTTAAACTGCACTCCCCATGATTCCATGGCATAGAGTTATGGAAGTTAAAGTGGCATCAAACAACATTAATTCTACAGTGTAGATATACCAGTAGGGATTTTTTTGTCATGTCAGGAGTGACTCCTGGTGTGAGAGAATTGGCCGTCTGCAAGGACCTTGCCCAGGGGTGCCCGGATGTTTTTGATGTTTTACCATCCTTGTGGGAAGCTTCTCTCATGTCCCCGCATGAGGAGCTGGAGCTGATAGAAGGAGCTCATCTGCCTCTCCCTGGATTCGGTCTTTAGTCCTGCCGGCACAGGAGTTTAACCCACTGCGCCACCATATGGATCTGTAAGTGCTTCATATGCAGTAAGATTATGGAGTTTGTAACATAAAGGAGGCAAATTGGTATTGAAGCAAAACTGCCATCTTTGTTGATAATCACTCAATGCCAGTTTAGGCTATTCTGCTTCTCTGCTTGCTATTACCCCCTCCCCCCACATTTCTAAGGCACTATATTTTCAGTTTCACACATACCTGTGTTTGTGAAGTTTGTTTTAAACATCATTTAAAAAAATTATGGAGTTGTGGAAGTGCGTTAATTGTGGGGTTACAAAATTTTGTGGAAGAACTACATAACAGCTGAACTTTGGCTTCACCATAGAGGTGCTACTTTCTCCTCTTATCCATTCCATATCTGGTGTAGAGTGGGGAAATCCAGAGAAGTATCTTGCTATGTCCCATAGCCAGTAGTAAAATGATTACATTTTCTCTCCAGAGTGAATTTGATTATTTATGGATTTGATCAATATGTTCTTTCTAGGAAACTAGAAGGGGGTCATGAGGTGGTTTCAGAAGGGTCACCAAAGACCAACAGAAAACATAGGCAGAGAAGGCTGAAGATCTCTCCACCTGTTTTTTTTGCGGCAGCAAATCCCTTCAAGCCATAGGGGTTCTGTGTGGGAACTTTGGCCCAATTCTATCGTTGGTGGGGGTTCAGAATTCTCTTTGATTGTAGGTGAACTATAAATCCCAGCAACTACAACTCCCAAATGTCAAGCTCTATTTTCTCCAAACTCTGTCAGTGTTCACATTTGGGCATATTGAGTATTTGTGACAAGGTTGGTTCAACTCCATCATTGTTTGAGTCCACGGTGCTCTCTGGATGCAGGTGAACTTGTTGTTGTTGTTCATTCGTTCAGTCGTCTCCGACTCTTCGTGACCTCATGGACCAGCCTACGCCAGAGCTCCCTGTCGGCCGTTACCACCCCCAACTCCATCATTGTTTGAGTCCACGGTGCTCTCTGGATGCAGGTGAACTACAACTCCCAAATTCAAGATCTATGCCTCTGTTGGTTGTGGATGTTCTGTGCACCCAGTTTGATTCAATTCTATTGTTGGTGGAGTTCAGAATGCTCTTTGATTGTAAGTTTACTATACATTCTAGCAACTACAACTCCCAAATGACAAAATCGATTCCACCCTTCTTCCAAACCCCACCGGTATTCAAATTTGGGTGTATCGGGTATTTGTGCCAATTTTGGTCCAGTGAATGAAAATACATCCTGCATATCAGATATTTACATTACGATTCATAACAGTAGCAAACTTACAGTTATGAAGTAGCAACAAAAATAATTTTATGGTTGGGGGTCACCACAACATGAGGAACTATATTAAGGGTTCATGGCAATAGGAAGGTTGAGAAATACTGCTCTAGATCCTGCATGGTGACCTCACAGAGTCATACTAGCTGACCTAGAAATTCCTGGAAAGAATACATTTCTAGGTACTTGTAGGTTCCCCAGTACAATTCCATGATCAACAGAATGACCATGGAGGGGAAATTGCAGGCACTTTGGAAGGCTTTGGTTGTTATAGATGGGTAAAGGGAGTACTCATAATCTCAATAACCAGAAAAAAGGCATACACAGGAATGAGGTTAACATAGATTTATGAGTGTCACTTATTGCAGTCAAAATGTGCAGATGGAAAACTAAAGAATGTGAACTTGGAAAAATGGAAGGCAAACAAGTGCATGGTATGCATTGGGGTGAAGTACTGGGAGAGGACATTTATAACAGCACGAAAACATCGGAATAACCCTTTCAAGGTTTCAAAAACATTCAAGAATTATGTGTAAGCCCCAGACATGATAAAAACTCATAGGACTTCAGACTTCAGAAGCACCGTTTTTGGCAGCCCTAGTCTAATGAGGCAGCAAGTCAGATTCTTAAGTGAGTCACTGCTGTAGTAGTAGATAAGAAAGAATGATTAATTCGAGATAAGGTTCTTAGGAAAGCAAAGAGAAAAGCATATTTTGCCCTTGGGCTTCTTTCAGTATGAGGTATCTGTGTCGGGAATATTGTCTTCGAAGGGAAATTCTGTTGAATTAATGCAGTTGGACACTGTTTTAACTGCCATGGCTCAATGCTATGGAATCTTGGGATCTGTAGTTTGGGGAGACACCAACACTCTTTCACTGAGAATGCTGGAGACCTTGTAAAACTACAACTCCAAGGATTTTGCAGCACTGAGCCATGGTAGCTAACATGGTGTCAAACTGCATTAATTCTACAAAAGTTCCACCCCTAAAAGCAGGGGACAAAATCTCCCAACATCTCCTAGTTTGCAGTGTAATCCCCTAACACCCAAAGATTGTCTGTCATAGAATCATAGAGCTGGAAGAGACCCCATGGGCCATCTAGTCCAATCACATTCAAAGCACCCCCAACAGAAGGCCATGAGGCCTTTGTTTAAAAGCCTCCAAAGAAGGAGCCTCCACCACACTCCGGGACAGAGAGTTCCACTGCTGAACACCTTTCACAGTTAGGAAGCTCCTCCTAATGTTCAGGTGGAATCTCCTTTCCTGTGGTTCCTGTCCCGCTCTCAACATTTTGCTGTCATTGTCTTCAGTATATAGCATTGAATAATAGAGTGCTCCTGTTCCCAGAGGTGTGAGTTGCGGATTTTAATCATGATTGTAAAATGGCTTTAATATTAATGTTGTATAATATTGGTGATTTGTATTACTGTGAGAAAGGTAAATAGTTCCTGATGGATGTATTCATCTTGTAGTCTGCCCTCATGTCAGTTCTGACTTAAGGCAAACCCATCATCAGTTTTGAGGAGGCTGGCTTACCCAAGTCTCTTTTAATAAGAATTCCCTTATACCAGTGGTTCCTAACCTTTTTTTGACCAGGGACCACTTTGACCAGGGATCATTCTCCAACATTAGTACCAAAAGGATTATGAGTCAGTTTTTGGTCAACTTTAAATTCGTTTTGGTTATTTGGCTGCTGATTCAGAAAATTACATTGGCTAGACCACATCACCTCTAGTCAAGGGCGGCTCATCCATTACGCGAAATAAGCAGTCGCAGAACACCTTTTTTTTTCCAGGGGCGCAGAGGTGCCTCTGTAAATGCCCCTCGACCGCCACTTGAGGAGCGCCCCCTCAGCTCACAACAGCCCTAGCAGTCCGGGGGGAGCCTCAGCTTTCTTGCCTCGCTGCCAGGTGATCCTCTTCCCAAAGGGGCTGGGCCCCTGAGACTCACCTAGCCCCTCTCGTTCCTGCTCCACCCGGCCACAGGGTGTGCGAGCAGAGTCGGCGCTCAATCTTTCTCCGCGTTCAATCCCTTCCCCATGACTGGCTCGCTTTCCCAATCTCCCGGCTCTCCACCCGCCTCCTCTCCTCTCCCCAATCCGCGGGTGGGCCAAGGGGCGGAGCCGCCGCGCCTGGCCCGCTTCGGGTCCGGAGGCGTGTCTGAAGACCCCAGCGTGCGCACCAAAAGTCGCCTCTTCTCCTGACTTTCTCTTCAGCCATTGGGACCAAGAGAGAGAGAGAGAGAGCCCCTCCGGCTGGAGGTATCTCCCACCTCCGCTCCCTCCTTTGTTTTTGCGCCTACCTTCAGGAAAGGTGGGCATCTCCACCTCTCTCTCTCTCTCTCTCTCTCTCTCTCTTCCCAATGGCTGAGGAGAAAGTCAGGAGAAGAGGTGACTTTTGGTGCACACGCTGGGGTCTTCAGGCACGCCTCCGGACCCAAAGCAGGCCAGGCAAGGGAGCAAGTGCGGCAAGTGTAGTTACTGGGATGTATAGTTCACCTACAATCAAAGAGCATTCTGAACTCCACCAATGATGGAATTGAACCAAATATGGCACACAGAACTCCCACAACGAACAGAAAATATATATCAATGATTGGTTGGGGCGGGCGCCAAAATACTGTTTGTTTACCATTGAAAATTACCTAGGGACCGCCTCTGCCTCTAGTCTCTGATACAAAACATATGCCATCCAGTAGTTGCCATCTGTTTGCCCACAGAAAACCATATTTAATAATCTAGAGGTGATGTAGTATTAGTTCTCTTTCATGGGTAGTCAGCCTCTCCTCTCCTGACATCCCAGTTGCCTTGGCACTATAAGAGATTTTGGGGTGAAGTACTAGGAGTGAAGTACTGGGTTTCAAGGCAATGGTGTAATTAGACTTGTGCTTTTATGACTCACCTTGACCCATTTCATGTTTGGCTTTCGGTGGGGACCCTGATCAATTTTTGTCTGGACCTCCCAAAATCAGGAGGTCAGATATTTGGGGGTTTTTTTGTTTCTGTGTAAAAATAATTTTTGGGGGGTGGGGGAGACTTCACTCATAGGCCCGAAGTGCCCGGACCTACAGGCCCTTCCTTACTCGGTACTCGGCTACAGGCCCTGCCAGTCCCCACACAATCCATCTGAAAGGCAGTCCCACCTGCCTTTTGGATCAATTGCATTTTTGTTTCTGGAGGGCATTTCCGTTTGTGCCATCCAAATGGACAGATGAAATGAAAACACGAATGGAATGAATGGGACAAATTTGGGGCTAATGACTAGTAATAGTAGTTAGGCTGTGGACCATACTTTCATTCTTGTGGACCACTGGTGGTCCACTGCCCACAGGTTGGGAACCACTTCCTTATATCCTGAGCTCATCTGATGGAGAAACCACACCTCTTCAGACTTCAGCATTTTGCTAGTCTTTACACAAGGACTGCTGAAATCACCATTGATTTCTCATGAAAACAATAAAACCAGAAATGAAAGGATACATCTTATTATTTTATATCAAAAAGCACAAAAAATACGTTCTTTATTTACATGCTATCAACTTCCAGATATCACGACTCCGAACTCTACTCCGAACTCAAGAACGGAAAACGGAAGGTTGGTGGACAGGAAAAGAGATTTAAAGATGGGCTCAAAGCCAACCTCAAAAACTCTGGCATACACACTGAGAACTGGGAAGCCCTGGCCTTTGAGAGCTCCAGCTGGAGGTCAGCTGTGACCAGCAGTGCTGCAGAATTTGAAGAGGCACGAATGGAGGGCGAAAGGGAGAAGCGTGCCAAGAGGAAGGCGCGTCAAGCCAACCCTGACCAAGACCGCCTTCCACCTGGAAACCAATGCCCTCACTGCGGAAGAAGATGCAGAGCAAGAATAGGGCTCCACAGCCACATACGGACCCACAAAAATATTGGAAGACAATCATCCTCGGAAAGCGAGGGATCGCCTAAGTAAGTAAGTAAGTATCACGACTCCAATCTACTAATCCTCTTTTGCATGGGGAAAAAGTAGGGAAGCATATTGTTTTTTTCCCTTATGCTTGCAGTGTGGAATGCGGGAATCTTTTCATTGGGCAAGACTAGATTTTCTGCTCTTAATCTCTCCCCCAAAATGCCAGGCAGTAGAAGGGATTATTGCTGCAGGCAGATAATGAAGGAATCCATCAAGAATTTCACAGAAGCTTTTCTACATGGGCACACTAAATTTAAGTCAACAATTTAAGTTATTCAAGATATCAAACCCTTTTCCTCCCCCTCTGCTCTACTGATATGGGAAAACATGCACCGAAGCTGGACACATCCTCAGTCAATTTTAGCTTATATATATGTTTCTATATGAAAAACACATGATTTGAAACATTCCACAGTATGTGACACTTTTTGCACACAGAAAAATGGAGAGGAAGCCCAGATAATGCAAATATTAAACACCCAGGGTTCCTCAAAGTGCATGTGCACATAAAAGTGTGTGAGAGACAGATGGTCCCCATCTTTAAGCATTCTGTGCAGAGAGATGGGGAAACCATAGTCAATCTCCAAAGTCAATCCATTTATATTACACTCATTTTCAGAAATTTCAAATCTGAAGGTTGGCCTTAAAAGCAGAGTCGGAATGAACTAGGTTCAGTACAATGTCTTTCATCTCAAGTTTTTAGTAATTCAATAGTGCTGTAGTGTAGAATTGTTCCCCAGTGCTTTTCAATGGAAGTTAAGTTTCCAAATGAAAGAATATAAGGCAGGAAGTTCATAGCTCAACAGCAGAGTACACAATACTGCTGAGTGGACAGTGGACCATAACTCAGTGATAGTGTGTACATTTTGTGTGTCGGAAGTCTCAGATCCTAATATCTTCATCTGTAATTGCAGAGCATCTCTTTTTGATGCTGGAGACTGTTTGTCAGTCAAAGTAGACAAGGCATAGTAGACAGACTGACTCAACCAAACACAGCCTCATTATCTTAGAAACTGTCTCATGTTGAAATTTTCCGTGATTCAATCTAGGAGTGTTAATATTCAGATTATGAGAGCTGCTCTTTTGTGCCAACATCCAGCCTACACTCAATGTCCTTGCTGACCCTGTGACAGGTTTCTAGTGGCTGCTGTTCTGCGGCCACAGGAACTCCTGCCACAGCTACCAAGTCTTTTGCCAGGTTTCTCTGAGACTGGCTCCTCCGTCCAAGCCCGTCAGAAGCTCCCTCAAAGAACTGGGCAATGAAGTTGGCCCCCGAAGTCTTGATGAGGTTCCCAGCTGCAAAGACATAAAGCACCGGGTTGATGCTACTGCTGAGGAATGCCAAGGCGGTGGCCCCTGCTCGCCCACTCTTCCAAGCCTGCCCAAGCCTTTCTGCAGTCCTTCCTGATGCCATGTTTGAAGCCACCTGGAGCATGTTGACAATGTGGTAGGGCACCCAAAGGACAGCAAAGCAGATCACAATGGAGACAATGAGCTTCTCAGTCCGAGCCCCTTGCCTCATCCTCACTCCTCTGAGCCGTATCAAAATGGCAGAGTAACACCCAACGATGATAGTGAATGGTATCACAAAGGCCACTACTGTTTCCAAGGTGAAGTGGAAAATGGCTAAGTTTGGCCTAGAGTGGCAAGGTTCACAGATATGACGCATTTTTGAGGGGTCTGTCACAACCTGTCGGAATAGAAAGGCCGGGATAGACAGCAAGATAGCTCCCAGCCATATCCCAGATAGGAGCTTGACCACCAAGTGCTTCTTGCGAATGGCTTGGGAGAGGTAGGGCTGGTTGACTGCAAGACACCGATCCACACTCATGAGGGTGATGATGAAGATACTGGCAAACATGTTGATGCAACACAAGTAGTACACCACTTTGCAAATGGCCACCCCAAATATCCAATTCCTGAAAATGAGGAAGACAACAAAGAAAGGAGTGAGGAGGAGCACTGCCGCATCGGCCATGGCCAAATTAACCACCAGAAGGCAGGTGACTGAACGTTGACTTGGCTTCATTTTCCATAGGATGCTCCAGATAACAAAAAGGTTTCCAGGAAGTCCTATGACAGCAGCCAGGAGAAGAAAGACAACACCAGTACCGCTGGAGGTTGAGGAGCTAAGGAGAGTGCTGTTTCCTGAAGTTTGGGTGCAATCATTGGTGGTTGCATTGACCAGAGATGATGAGGATGCCCTGCCAGAGAGAAGGAAAAAGAAGAAGACCATGAGATCAATGCTACAACCAACCCTCTATATTCACTGGTTTAGAGGTATAGCACCCCTAAACCTGAGAGAACACCTGCCTAGGAATCAGTAGGTCCCCCAAAACAACTCTATAGTCAACTTTCACTAGAAGTTGACTATAGAATGGCACTGGAGAACCTTGAGATTCCTAGACAGGTCTTCCGGCATGTCTTGATGGTTGACTTCCAGTGGAGACTGACCACTGTATATATGTTGATATATAGAGATATCTCGAGATAGCATTTCAATCAAATCCATAAATAATAAAATCCACAAAAGTCAAATCTGGAAATGTGGAGGGTCAACTGTACCAAGATCTGGCCAAATCCCTGAGTCAACCCAGTGTTTTGAGTAGAATATATCCCAGTCAAAACTTAGTCATGTCTAGTATACATCCATCAGGGGCAGTAGACTTTCACGGCACACTTCTTGGTTTCAAATGATCTGGAATATTGATCTAGCTGATCTAGTTCAAGACTTTGCATTTCTACCCATTCTCCCTTGCTCAATTCCTCACTCACACTTGAAATGTATGTTGCTAGTTTTCTGGGCAGAGGCTAACAAAATATAAACTAACCATGTGAGTCCATAAAATACCCTTTGTTTTTGTTTTGTTTTGTTTTGTTACAGTGGGCCTGTTGTACCCACAGGCTCTCGATCCACGGATTTAACCCACTGTGGTTTCTGCATGGGATACGTAGAAGTCCATAAGAAAATCATAGTCTGGTCTTTTTGTTATCTTGGCTATCCAGTATATTTGGATACTTGGTGTGACCATTGCAACTAATAGGCATGGTTACTATATGGACTTGATTCAGACCATAGTGCATTTTGAAGAAACAGCTAGAAATTATTGCAGTGGTGATAAAGGTAAAGAATGAGTAGGAGGAAAAGGAGGAGGAGGAAGGAAATGATGCCAGCAAATTAGTGCCAATGCATTTGTTTTGTGAATTTCATATGATAGATGGCTAGACAGGGAAGTGGCTAAGCAAGAGAAGTTAGAAATTGAAGGAAAAAGACAAATGTAGAAGTAGAATACCAATGAAGGAAGGAAGGAAGGAAGGAAGGAAGGAAGGAAGGAAGGAAGGAAGGAAGGGTGAGTGGGTCAAGCACATTTCTTGGGTCCTCTCTGTTCTTCTGAACCTCTTATTTCAAAATCCTCAAGCTGTTTCCAGTCCAACCCAGAACTAGGATGCTCTCAGTCAGGGCCGTAGCCAGAAAAAAATTTCGGGGAGGGTTGACAATTTTGGAGGGGGGGGGGGGTTGAAAATTTCGGGGAGGGTTGAAAATTTCGGGGGGGGGGGTTGAAACCTGCCTCCTAGCTCACGCTGAAGCAAAGAGCACAGCAGGGGGCAGAGCAACCTTCAATAGCCTGCAGCTCCACCCCTGTCAACCACCTCCACCAAGTCTGGCCTCCTTAATGAGAGCATTCAACACACACACCCCCAACTTGGTTGCTTCACTACATCGGCTATTGCTGCAAGTAATGACAGTGTGAATAAATTGTCAATATTTGTCTGAGATAGTGCTTGCAGTTCTGGAGGGACTCTTTAATTTTTTGCATCTCATAGACTTACCATGGGGATTTGGTTAACCAGTTAAAATTCATGAGTAAACCAGGTTTTTTTAAAATCTGAAACATTTCGGGGGGGGGGGTTTGAACCCCTAAAACCACCCCCTCGCTACAGGCCTGCTCTCAGTATACCTCCTTTCAACCCCCCAATACCACCACCACTTCCAGCCCAGACCATTGCCAATTGATCTTCTAGTTCAGCTTGGACTACATTTATACTGTAGAATTAATGAAGTTTGGCACTACTTTAACAGATATGGCTAAATGCTGTGGAATCCTTGGAGTAATCATTTGGTGAGGCACCAACAACTCTGGACAGAGAAGGTGAATCATAGATTCATAGAATCAAATAGTTGGAAGAGACCTCATGGGCCATCCAGTCCAACCCCCTGCCAAGAAGCAGGAATATTGCATTCAAATCACCCCTGACAGATGGCCATCCAGCCTCTGGATGTCGTAAATTCCAAGGATCCCACAGCATTGAAACACAGCAGTTAAAGTGGGGTCAAGCCAATGTTGATACCCCTTTAGTTTGCCTGATCCAGAATCACTTACATGGGAGAGTTGTGTGCAGTTCAGGCCAGGGAAAATGTCTCCTGCTTCTGCTGTCTCAGTCCCTTCATATCCTCCTTTGGGAAATGAATGCTCTCTGTCTCTTTGCGGAGACTGTGGATTGCTAGGACAATTAACTGCTCTGATGCACGTCGAGACTGGAAGCTGGAATGAGGTTGAGTAATGGAAGAGGCAGGGAGTGGCTACTGGGCTGGCTCTTAGCACGCTCTTCCTTAGGTTTCTCCTCTTGATCTCCAAGTTGGGACTTGCTAGGGAAGGAAGGACACACCCAGCCATCTCCAAGACTGGAGGATGGCAGTTTGGGAGAGCCTGTTTCTTCCCGATTCCCTTGTTCTTGCTTGGGCTGCAATAGTCATCCTTTGATTCTTGTCTCATCCTTTCTTTCACAAAAAGCCTCTGTGCTGATAAAAAAAGAAAGAGGCAAGACCACAGGAGGATGCCTGCGGAGGGCTGATAGGGGACCTCACCAAGCCTGCTGGACAAAAAGTCACCAGATGTGTCCTTTGAAGAAGAAGAAAACTGAGCCTTGATCATTAGGCAATGGCTTGTCTTTCCAACTTCTGTCAGAAGCTGAGAAAGTTACAAGTGACCCAAACCAAGGAAAAGGGATAGATTGATAGATAAGTTGATTGATGTATACATAGACAACTAGATAGACCAGTGGTTCTCAACTTTCCTAATGCTGAACACCTTAATACAGTTCCTCATGTTATGGTGATCCCCAACCATAAAACTACTTTCATTGCTATTTCATAACTTGTTTTGCTACTATAAAGAATTGTAATGTAAATATCTGATATGCGGGAAGTATTTTCATTCACTGGAATAAATTTGGCACAAATACCTGATACGTCCAAATTTGAATATTTGTGGAGATGGAGGGGGGATTGATTTTGCCATTTGAGAGTTGTAGTTGCTGGGATTTATAGTTCGCCTACAATCAAAGAGCATTCTGAACTCCACCAATGATGGAACTGAACTAAACTTGGCACACAGAACTCCCATAACCAACAGAAAATACTGGAAGGGTTTGGTGGGCATTGACTTTGAGTTTTGGAGCTGTAGTTCACCTACATCCAGGGAGCACTGTGGACTCAAACAATGATGGATCTGGACCAAACTTGGCACGAATACTCAAGATGCCCAAATGTGAACACTGATGAAGTTTGGGGAAAATAGAGCTTAACATTTGTGAGTAGTAGTTGCTGGATTTTATAGTTAACCTACAATCAAAGAGCATTCTGAACTCCACCAAGAATAGAATTGGGCCAAATTTCCCACACAGAACCCCCATGACCAACAGAAAATACTGTGGGTTATTGTAGGTTTTTCTGGGCTATATGGCCATGTTCTGGAGGCAATTTTTCTCCTGACGTTTTGCCTGCATCTATGGCAAGCATCCTTAGAGGTAGTGAGGTCTGTTGGAAGTAGGAAAAATGGGTTTATATATCTGTGGAATGACCAGGGTGAGACAAAGGACTTTTGTCTGCTGGGGCTAGATGTGAATGTTTCAGCTGATCACCTTGATTAGCATTCGACAATACAGAAAATACTGTATTTTCCGATGGTCTTTGGTGACCCCTCTGACACCCCTTTATGACCTCCGCAGGGATCCCAACCCCTAGGTTGAGAAACACTGAGACAGACCCATGAGAAGGAAATGGGATGGATGGATGGGCGGATGGATGGATGGGCGGATGGGCGGATGGGCGGATGGATAGATAGATAGATAGATAGATAGATAGACAGACAGACAGACAGACAGACAGACAGACACGAGTCCCAATGTCCAGAATCTCCAAGCAGGCTAGAAACAGTTGTTGTCTGGATGTAGGATGCTGGGGATTATAGTTCAAACAAGTAACCTTTCAAGCTAAATTTTCTCATAACTTCCAACATTTCACAAATGAAAACCAAAGCATGTGGCCAAGCAACACCACAGTGTAGCCAAGTTGGAAAAGGTTATTAACAAGGAAGGACAGACAAAACAAGAAGATGCTGGAGAAGTTTGCTTTTGCCTAAGTTGGCAATCAAGGATATATACTTTTACCTTGTTTTCTCTCCTAATGCAGAGTGAATGGAATGTAAACTGTTTTTACTTGAAGCAATCTGAAGACAAGGGGGGAGGGGGAGGACAGAGTATGTTGGACATTTTAGAAACACCTGAGAAAGTGAGAAGGCAGAATTTTCACTGGGACTATTCCTGCCAACTTGGGGGAGTTGGAGGCTATGTTCTGGGTGGAAATAGTCAAAATGCCTTTTTGTATCTTACGTAGAATATAGAAAAATGGTTCTGTTTGCCGCTACTAAGGTCTTGCCATTCAGGGTAGGGGTGAGAATTGTATATAATATATAGTTTATCTTAGTATTTTTTAAAAATATTTTTATCCCTGGGATAAAGTGTCCTACTAAAACCACCCAGAGAACATTCTCCCTCATTCCTTCAAGGGAAATGCTTATCATTCTTTAAAGTATTTTTAGTGTGTTGTGGAATTTTTTTGTTTTTTAAAAAACTGTGCTTTGAATATGTTTCTGTTTTAAATTATCGCGAGCCATTGATATCTGATGTTTCGTTCCAGAATCTTTGGTGGATATCCAAATCTGGGAATTCACAAATTCCATTGTATACAATGCCATGGTAAGATGGTGTTCCTTATACAAAACAGCAAAACCAGCTGTGAGGAGTAGACTTGGGCCCAAATCGGTTTGAACAAAAATGATTTGTAATATTCAGTGGTTCATTTCATATAATCTCTGGAACCAGAATGGGGAGGAGGGAACTGAAAAGCTCAGCAAAAAGGATCAAGAGACCCGGATTTTATCAGCTGCTGGAGAAGATGGAGTTAAGTCTGCAATATATTTGAGGCAGGGGTCTGCTGCAGGGCTCCTGGAGAAGACGGGATTACCTGCAGTGTCTTTTCTCCTTCTCTGGCAGCAGCAGCATCCCTTCATTTCTTTTTGGACAGCCCTTCTGGGAACTCGATTTCCCAGCAGCACTTGCATGGGATGGGCATGAGTTCCTCTCGGAGCATGATGGGAGTTGAAGTTTTTTCTCTCTCTCTTTCTCAGCCAATAAAAAGCCTGGTTGTGTCCATGCTGATTGGCTGAGAATGGACACAGTTGGCAGCTACAATTCCCAAAACCCTATCTTGCGGTTTGTCTCATTTTTTTTAAAAAAGTTATGGATAAAACTTAAAATAATTCTAAAAAATCAGTGGATTGTTGAATTGTTTTGATACTTGGCAGGCCCAAAGTTGTAAATGGGGTCTAAAACTGAAGTAGGTTTGATACATATAGGTCTTAAAATGACTGAGGATTGAGGCTTTAACGTTTCCCATTGTAGCCAATGGACCAAATCTTTGCCAAATGAAAAAGGCAACACCCCTCTAGATTTGAGTAATTTCTTAGTAAACAGAATGAGAGGTTATCCAAAAATAGACTCCAAAACAGCATGCATTTTGGCTGAATTGCACACCTTTAGTGAGGAGCATAGTCAAACCATGGATGGTTGAATCCATAGATGCAGAATGCATGCATATGGAGGAACAACTGAATATGTATTGTTGAAGGCTTTCCTGGCCGGAATCACTGGGTTGTTGTAGGTTTTTTTTGGGCTATATGGCCATGTTCTAGAGGCATTCTCTCCTGACATTTCGCCTGCATCTATGGCAAGCATCCTCAGAGGTAGTGAGGGTAGTGAATGTTTTAATTGAATGTTTGTTTAATATTTTTTAAATGTTTGTAGTATCATATTTCTTCAATTCTAAGATGTCACTGATTCTAAAATGCAATCCGATTTTCAGAATCACCACCACCAACAAAAAAAACACAAGATGCATCTGCGGTTCTAAGAACCAATTAATTTTTAGAGCTAAGGAAAAACATCAAATAATAAAAAAAATCCAGTATTTTTAAAAAGGTTGAATAAGGCTAAATATTTTTTCAGTGGATACGTAGAACACAAGTATGAAGCCCAACCAAAAAGGAATGCTCTTACCACATATTGGGAGGCAGGAATGTAAAGTTAGGTATAAACACACGTGTTGTTTCAGAATACAAAATACATTTATTAGTACATAAAAGTACACAATACATAAAAGCATATACAACTTAGAACATATAAATAATCAATTTCAGATCTAAAGATATAAAAAGTGACATTTGTACAGAGTGTCATAATGTTGCTTTGTACTCAAGCTTGAAAGTAAATCTGATTCAAAACCATTGTGGTATTTAAAGTTGTCCGCATATATTTCTCAACTCTATTTGTAGACATAGAAATTATGGCACTCTTTGGCAGAGAAGGCCAAAGACCTTGTAAAACTATAACTCCCAGGATTCCATAGCAGTAAGCCATGACAGTTAAAGTGATGTCAAATTGCATTCATTCTACAATATAGATACACTCATAGTCACCTTTTATTTCTAGAATGGATTGAAGGAATAGGAAAAAAAACAGGAAAAAGCATTTCTCAGCCACTCTGAGTTCCCTCGGGGAGAAGGGGTGAGATATAAATAAAGATTTATTATTTATTATTATTTTTGCAAGGGAAACATGCAAAATTTCAACTTAGCCCTAATATTAATATATTACCTGATTGAAATGATTGTGCATGCTGGATTAATGTAATATATTTATGCAAACATGTTGTTTTGGGCGTGGAGAAGTGGAGGGGTGAAACAGACCAGTAGTAAGAGAAACAGGATGATATTGAAAGAAAAACTATTCAGTTTAATAAATCCGCCCCTTCAGAGATTGTGAGAATTGGTGGAAATTTAGTTGTGATTTTAATTCAGAGTGTGTTACTTTTATACAAAGATGGCAGCTTCAAGAATCCTCCAGCAAACATGGCCAATGAGTGACCCTTGTTGTACTGGGGATTCTGGGATCTGTAATCCAAAAAGGACATTTCCCCAAACTCTGTAGTTGGTCATTATTTTCCCAGAGATGTTTGATTGCTTACTGTATATACTCGAGTATAAGCTGAACCAAATATAAGCTGAGAAACCTAATTTTACCACAAAAAAACCCTGGTAAAATGAGTATAAGCCAAGGGGATGGGGCCTTTTCAGCCTTAAAAAGGACTGAAAAACTAGATTTTTGGGCGTATACAGTATTTTATTAAGTTGTTATTTGTTTTCACTAAAAATAGAGTTACACATTAACTGACTCATGGGAGAAATGTTCACTACACTTGAGTCTGGATTCATTTTTAGCAGTTTCCTTTGGCCAATATGGCTTCTTTGGCTTGGCCAGTGGCCGTAACGGCAAGGGCTCAGCTGTCACTGTTTTTTGTCCATAATGGGACCACGTGGTAGCCAATCATGGCTCTTCCTCTCCTATTCAGCATCACAGTTGAATCTTTTTTGATTTTCCTTTATTTTCCTACTTCTTTTTATTGACTGACTAGGAGTTGGGGACCTGAAGGACGGGAGGTGGGTTGTACACTTGCATGTTTGGGGGCTTGGAGAATCATCCTTTACCTTATTTTTCTCCTTCCCTTTCCCTCCTTCAGAAAATACTTCTAAAAGATAATAATAATAATAATAATAATAATAATAATAATAATAATAATAATAAATCCCAGCAAACAAAAAGAGAAGTCTACCTCTCCTCTAGAGTAGAAAGTAGAAACAGCTTTAAGGAAGTAAAAAATCGATTTAGGACTGCTTGCATGTCTCCATCAACGCCCCATCTCCTGTAACTTGTCCATGCCTAGCATTATTTTTTAAACTTCATTTACATTTGGCCCAGCCCTAGATTTTAAATGTGCACTGTACCTTGTTTAATGTTTATGCTATATGTGTATGTGATTTATTTTTTAATTGCTTTGTATTGTACTTGTTATTGCTTGTATTGCTTGTATTGTTGTATCATGTAAGCCGCACCGAGTCCCTTGGGGAGATGGTAGCGGGGTATAAATAAAGTTTTATTATTATTTATTTATTATTATTAGTAGTAGAACCCCAAGCAGAAAGTATATTGTAGACATTAGAGAAAAGAGAGGGGATTTTAAAAGTAGTCCAGGGAGGATAGCTCCACTGAGCTCCAAGTCATCGTTCTTCCTTTCCTCCTTAAAATGTTTTAGAAATCAGGTGTGCTGCTGTTGCTGGAGATAAAGCACACATGCCTGCTTCTCCTGTAGTGGTAGAAACAGCTTTAAGAAACATTAAACCTGGTCTCCGCCTCTACAAACAGAAGGGAAATGATCCAGAAAGAGTGGTATCTTAACTCTGATGCTTTTAAAAATCCAGGTCTTAATGAAGGCTGTGGAAGGGGCGCATGAGGGAAGTCCCTCCCAAAATGGGCTGGATAGGGTGCTTTCTAAACTCTTTTGCTGATACCCAGGCTCCCTTGAAGGGAAGAAAGGAAAGGCTCCCAGGAAGAGTGCTTCCTTAACCCCACTGCTGAAACCCAGGCTCCCTTGAAGGGAAGAAAGGAAAGGGTCCCAGGAATAGAAAGCAGAGCCTCATAAATTGCCCATTGCTGCCAACGGGTCGAAAAGAGCCACTTTTTAAAGATGCGGAACAAAAACGCCCATTCAGCAGTATGCTCGTTTCTGGGAGGCATGCAAAAATGGATATGGGGGGCTTCTGGTATCTGGCAAGCAGAAATGGATAGCAATTCATCTGAAATGCACAAACCTAGTGTTCACCCATTAGATTACAATTCCATTGAGATTGTTCCTGAAACAGAAAAAAGTATTTTCTCTATTCCATTATGAAGCCCTTAAAATCTACAAATATAACATAACCAGGAACATCTCAGCCAAAAACCAAATTCTCCAGAAAACTTGGGCTTCCCCTCCTTTATGTTATGAGGGGTCATAGGGTTCCTGTCCCTTTTCTCCACAAAGTGGTTTCAGATAAAGACAGGTTCTTCTAGGAAATGGATTTGAGAGGTTGACACTCCAGATGACAAAAAAAGCAGCCAGGCCAGAGCATCATGTGTTATTTGGGTTATCTGAAGAGAAGATCTGAAAATGAATGTAAAAAAAGCAACAGAAAAAAAATCATTTTGGATGGATTTATCTCTCAACTCCTGTGGCATAGCTGAATTTGCTTTTTTAAAAAATGCCAAAACTATATTTCCAAATGCTCAACTACAGTTTTAAGTGATTGCAATGCTATACATTTGGGGATTGGAAGCAAAGACATAAGGGTGGGGGCAGCACGCTTATTTGATAGGGGCAATGCTCTCATTTTATACCCCTTTCCCATAAGACTGGATCCACACAGACATATAATGCAGTTTTGAACTACATTATGTGATCATTGTAGAGCAGGCATTGGCAAACATCGGCTCTCTGGATGTTGTGGACTTCAACTCCCAGAATTCCTAACTACTGGTAGACTGTTAGGAATTGTGGGAGTTGAAGTCCAAAACACCTGGAAAGAGTCCAAGATTGCCCATGCCTTGTGTAGAGCTATATAATTCAGTTTAACTACACTGAACTGCATTGAACTTTCAGTTTCAAATGGCAATGTAGATCTAGCTCAAGTCATATGTATTATTGAAGACTTTCATGGCTGGAGTGACTGGGTTGTTGTAGGTTTTTGCGCTATATGGCCATGTCCTAGAAGCATTCTCTCCTGACATTTTGCCTGCATCTATGGCAGGCATCCCCACAACCTCTGAGCATTCCTACCATAGATGCAGGCAAAACGTCAGGAGAGAATGCTCCTAGAACATGGCCATATAGCCTGAAAAGTCTACAAGAACTAAGTCATATGACCCATATCAGATAGTCATGCTACCACTGCATTTCAAGACACCTGGAGGAAACTCAATGCACCTTTCCAGGTAATATTGTACACTTGATATGAATCTAATCTAGATGTGACTAAGGCATAAGGGATAGCTGCCAAGTGTAGGTGTTTGTCAGAGTGATACTGATGACAACACCACTTCAATTTATCCTTCAACCACAAAAATGTCCTCAGGCTATTCTTAAGTTAAAAAATTGTACTTTCTATAAAGTACACAATGAAGGAAATCCCCAAATCCCTTAGGCATGTGACTTGTACAGGAAATGTCATTTACCTGAATCTTAAAAAAAGAAATGGGAGATTAAGAAGATAAGACCGTTGATGGCGAAGAAGGAGCCTCCGACAGCCAACATCCGTTCCCATCCAACATCTAAACAGAAAAAGAATTTCTCAGTTATATAGTGGGATGAACAGTTGGCACATTCATGGGGAGGTCAGAGCATTCTTGCTCGGAATCGCATAAGACTTGTCAATTCTGGTTTGGTCAACCCAATGTTTGTTTGTTATCTTGATTTTTCAGGCTCTTTTGGCGAGATTAGCTATCTTATCACATCCATATTTATTTACAGTCACCTCTGAGATAGACTACTTGAGAGAGAGGCTTTCATTCATCTCACATCCAAGGCTTTCTGGAAAAGTGATGCTGCTATGCCATCAACTCTGCTGGACTGGCCACATTGTCTGAATGCCTGATCACTGTCTCTCAAAGCAGATACTCTACTCTCAATTTGAGAACAGAAAACGGAATGTTGGTGGACAGAGAAAGAGATTTAAAGATGGGCTTAAAGCCAGCTGGTTTGAATCCAGGGAGCAGGGTGAGCTCTCACTGTTAGCGCTGTTAGCCCCAGCTTCTGCCAACCTAGTAGTTTGAAAACATGCAAATGTGAGTAGATCAATAGGTACCACTTCTGTGGGAAGGTAATAGCATTACTTTAATGTCCTGGATTTGGGCACATCACACATAGATGCTCCCTAAAGCACTTTGGACATCCAACCTCATTTAAAGACCTTCAAAGAAAGAGCCTATCTCACTCTTGGGTAGCACTAATGTTTAGAAAGGAGTCTGTTAGAAGCAGTATCCTGATGCATGGTTTCAAAGCACCAGACCAGATGTTGGCCAGCTGCTTGTAGGGAGCTCCATGGTTAGTGGGGAGCAATGGCAGAAGCACTGGAACAAAGGGAAAGGCTACTAAGGGGACCGGAGCCCCCGGTGGTGCAGTGGGTTAAAGCACTGAGCTGCTGAGCTTGTTGATTGAAAGGTCGCAGGTTCGATTCCGGGGAGCGGCGTGAGCTTCCGCTGTCAGCCCTAGCTTCTGCCAACCTAGCAGTTCGAAAACATGCAAATGTGAGTAGATCAATAGGTACCGCTCGGGAAGGTAACGGCGCTCCATGCAGTCATGCCGGCCACATGACCTTGGAGGTGTCTACGGACAACGCTGGCTCTTCGGCTTGGAAATGGAGATGAGCACCACACCCCAGAGTCAGACATGACTGGACTTAATGTCAGGGGACTACCTTTACCTTTAATAAGGGGACAGTCTGTAGACATGGCTCTGGATTAATTTGGTACTTTTGGATTAACTTGCTCCATGTAGCTGTACACTGAAGCACTCCTGAAATATGGCCATCCAAACTTTGTTTAAAGACCTCCAAAGAAAGTGATTCCACCATCCTCCAAGTCTGGCTATTCCACCCTGTAAAATCTCTACTATATAGGAAGGAGGTTGTTTGAAACAATCCAAAACTTACGTAGTTTTGCAACATCCGTGGAGACAGGGTTACTCCACTTAGACGCTACTCTCCTCCCAGCAAGTTGTAGGATGTAACGGCAGCGGCATTTCCCCATATCTTTTGGTTCTGTGATGTTAACGCCATGCGTGTGGCTGCTGCCATTCACCATCATGGCTGAGATGCATATCCTGCCACCAGAGTACTGGAATTCTTTGACATCCTTTGTTTCAGGTGGAACGGTACATTCTAAGTTGACCCAGTCTCCCAATGGTTCCAAAGAGAGAGATGGAGCTGCAGGGGCCTCTGGAGGAAAACAAATGGAAGATAAAGGCCCCAAATAAAATTTCCAGAGACACCAAGAGGCTTCACTCTTCCATTCTAAATATGTGTGCAACAGTGGTCACATTTGTTGTTTGTTGTTATTGTTGTGTGCATTCAAATCGATTGGAATTTAAATTGCAAGCTTTGGGGTGAAAAACAGTCAGAAATGCCAGAAGGACTCCATAAATTTCCCCTATGGGTTGCTGTGAGTTTTCTGGGCTGCATGGCCATGTTCCAGAAGCATTCTCTCCTGATGTTTCATCCACATCTATGGCAGATATCTTCAGAGGTTGAGGGATCTGTTGGAAACAAGTGGGGTTTATATATCAGTGTCCAGGGTGGGAGAAAGAGCTCTTGTCTGCTTGAGGCAAGTGTGAATGTTGCAATTAACCACCTTGATTAGCATATATTGGCCTTGCAGCTTCAAAGCCTGGCTGATTAAGGTGGCCAATTGCAACATTCACACTTGCCTCAAGCAGATAAGTTCTTTCTCCCACCCTAGACATTCCACAAATATATAAACCTCGCTTTCCTAGTTTCCAACAGACCTCACAACCTCTGAGGATACCTGCCATAGATGTGGGTGAAACATCAGGAGATAATGCTTCTGGAACATGGCTATAGAGCCTGGAAAACCCAATGATTCCGGCCATGAAAGCCTTTGACAACACAATTTCCCCTATGCTGTCATCTAGTGGTCAGCCTGTGCTGCTACATTCTTGCATTATTTTTATTTGTTTCAAGTAACAAAAATAATGTGGTTTGTTGTGGTTTGAAAAGAAAACTACTTGTTGTGGTCTCTGGATCATTAAAAATGAAAGCTAAGGTCAGCATTTTTTTTTTTCATTTTGGGTTGCTGGGGAATTTTACTTTGAAAAAATGCATCATGAGCTTTTTTTTTTTTTGCAAGAATGTGCAATATAACATTGGGGAAAGGGGAATGAGAGTAAGAGAGAATGGGTCCTTTTAGCCTTCTGGGTTGCCCCTCAACATAACAAAAGTGTTCATTGCAGATGTTCATTGTAAAGGTTCCTCTCTCCATTCTCTAAAAAATACAGAAATGACCATGATGGACATTGCATGCTGCAACTTACAAGGCATGTTTTTTGGGAGACATACATGTGGAGAATATAGCCACATGATAAATGTTAGGGCTGTGCATGGTACCATTTTTCAAAACAGGTTCTGGGAATTCCGGCAGTTACAGAAACTGAACCTCTGGAAACAGGACGGGCGACAGGGCTTGAATTGACTTGGCTGAAATGGACCACGTGGTGGCCAAAATTGGTTGCTTTTGGTTACACCATGACAGTAGCCATGCATATGTGCTGAGTTTTCCCCCTTAGTCTTGCCTGAGCGAATCGGAGCAAAAAAGTGTATCACGTGTCCTTTTTCCAAACTGGTCTGTATATACCAGGTTGAGCTCCTCCATTTTCCTGTGGTGTCCTGGCATTTTTGAGAGAGAGATTGATTGTGTGCTAGAGTAGCTACCTCTGTGTCCTGTCTCAGTGTCGTTGTTACTTAGGATCGCTTTTTTACTCAATTCCAATCTTTTTCTTTAGCAATTTTCTTTTAGTTTGATGTATTTTAGTCCCCTTTTAACTATTTCACTAGGAAGGTGAGGATGGGTGTGCATTGGGGGGCTATGAAAGGGCATTTTTTTTGGAGGGGAGATTGTTTAAATATTTTTTCCTTTGTGTGTGTGTGGAGGTGGGTGAGTGTGGTTTAGGGAAGGGAGGGGATAGCCTGACTCGGTAATGGTATGATAGCTGGGTCCGGAAACTCCGAGTTATGCTGTTTCCGCTTCGCTCCTTCGGGAATGTTGTTTGTGCAACGCAGAACAGAACACAGATATTGTAGAAGAGTTCTTTAATGGTTAAAACCTAACCCTTACCCAAACCTGAACCCCAAACCTTACCCTAACCCTAACCCAAACTCTAACCTAAACCTTACCTAAACCTTACCGCTAACACTAATCCTCACCTTAATCATAATCCTTACTTACCCTACCCCAAACCCTAACCCTAAACCTTACCCTAAACCTTATCCTAATCCTCCCCTCCTTTCTCTCTGGACCATGTGGTCCCTTCCCTTATTCACAACCGCCATTGCGGAATGTGCGTAACGCTCGGAGCTTCCGGACCCAGCAATCATACAATCAAACCCTGACTCCCTTGGGGCCCCCATGGGGAGAATACTAGTATTTCAATTTGAGTCCTTCCCAAGCCCTATCTATCTTCTTGCTTCTGTACTCTGTCCTGCACCATCCTTCTGCCTATAAAACTTTAAGAATTTCCTAAAAATCAGTGGAGGACCCAAATGTTCTTAAACTTGGGGGACTTGCAGTTGTAAATGTGTCCTCCAAGTGTGATCAATTTCGTTCCAATAGCTCAAGAAATGAAGGAAAGGGGAGTTTCGAAAGTTCCCCTATTGCAGTCAACGGGTTGGATCTGCCTAGAATGAAAACAGTACTACTGCCTGTATGAGAAATAGTATTTTCCCCCTCTTGATTTTGGGAAGTTCCCAAAAAATAAAATTGGGGTGTCTGAAAATTAGCACTGAAAACAGTAAAGTTTTTTCCCCAAATTGCACGGCCCTAATAAATGTATTTATCAAGCTACAATATCTTAGTTAAGATATGATTTATGCTATCGTGGAGGAAAAAAACTGCTCTTTTGATATGTACCTGGGTTGAATGAATACACATGTTTTGCAACACAATGTCTGGAAATTTTGTTAGGGTGATATATGTTGGAGCATGCAAGGAATCAGTGTGTGTGCGTGTGTGTGTGTGTGTGTCAACTGTAAAATAAGATGCATGAAGCTGATTGATCTAGCAATGCCCGGGGAGCAGGCTGAGCTTGGGACTTTTGTATATGTTACATTTTTGTTCAGGCTTGAGCTATGTAGGTGCAGAGAGATGAAGAGAGAAGCAGAGAGAGACACAGTTTGGAGTGTTTGGAGCTGATGAAGGAGTTTATCCACAGGGGTAAAAGAAAGACTAATCTCTCTAAAAGGACATTATGTGAGTTGGTGCAACCGATCACATAGTACATATGTTGTTCTGAATTTACGAAGAGCAAACTACTTGTTCTTTATTTTTCATCTGCGTGGCACATTTTCTTTCTCTGGCAAAGCGGTGTGTGGACTGATCAAAAGTGAAGTACAAGTGGTTTATTTTACATTACGCCACATTATACATATGTGAGTGCCTATTATTCCTGAGCCCAGAATTGCATTTTGGTTGAGCATTGGACTATGAATTCTGCTCAGCTGATTGACCTAGGTTAAATAAAAAAAATCTTAGTCCCAGAAAACTATGATAGGTTCACCTTCGGGTCACCATAGGTTGGCAATGAATTACTAACCAGGGTCCATCCTCACATTTTGGGGCTCTGACTCTGTTAGCATTGCCAATAATCAATGGTGATGAAAGGTGTAGTCCAACAACACGTGAAGCCATAGATAGTCCCACCTTTGGCCTTCTATGTGTTGTGATAAAGGGAGTGGGGTTGAAACAGGGCTTTGCTTACATTTCTGTATGAAGGCATAGACCATCAATAACATTGGAAAGAGAAACCTACCTGTTACATGCAGGGAGATGCTGTCACTTGGTGCTGAAATGGTCCTTGTATCATCTTTCTTCAACCAGTAGTCACAGGTGTAATTTCCAGTGCTGGTCAGTTGAACGCTGAAAGCCATGCTGCCCTCTCGATAAGGATCAGGAGGCATTCTGTGGATTTGTTGCCCATCTCCATCGAAGAACCGATACTCTTCCACAGTCCTATTTTTCAAAGCTGAGCATCTGAACTTAACCTTCTCGCCTTCAAAATATTCAGCATATTTGGGTCTGACAGTGAGTTTAGGGGGATGTAGAGCTTCAGAAAGGAAGGAAACAAGGTTAGATTTGACATCCAGCTTCAGTGCATGTTCTACATCCTGGAAATTGCTTTCTGACATAATCTTAACTGCCATGGCTCGATGCTATGGAATCTCAGGATTTAGTTTGGGATGTCATAACATTGACCAAAATCAGTGGCATATGCTGGTTCCTCTCCATTTGCTCCATGGAGTCTGCCGGCTCCCATTCCATGACGTAGAGCTACGGTACTTTCAATGGGGCTCAGTGGTGCAAAAGGAAAGAACCAGCATATGTGACCACTGTGTTGCATAGGTATCAACAAAGGGAAACCCGGTGGTGGGTGCTTTCCTCTGTGGGATGTGGTATGGAAGAAGCTGGGCGATGCAGGGCATGAGGTAACGGGTCTCCTCCCCCCTCCGGGCACTGCCTGATTCACCATGATCCGTGGTGATTCCAGTGGCCAATGTGATAAGGTCATCAGTGATTCGCCAGCACTCTTTGACAGAGGAAAGTAAAGAGCTGATAACATTACAACTCTCAGGATTACATAGTATTGAGTCATTGCATTTAAGATGGTGCCAAAAACTACATTAATTCTACAATGTAGATGCACTTCTTGAGACCTGAACTGGGAAAAAGCTGCTAATAATAATAATAATAATAATAATAATAATAACCCTCATCCATGGATTCAATCTTCTGCTGCTTGAATATAGATAGATAGATAGATAGATAGATAGATAGATAGATAGATGATAGATAGATAGATAGTATTTCAATATCGCTTTTCTCAACCCCTAGGGGGACTCAAAGCAGTTTCCAACAAAATAAATGGCAAAGATTCAGTGCCTCACAATCATATAAAACAATACATTACAACTAAAACAATAACAGAACTATAAATTAAAACAGTTAAGAACTATACAAATCATCAAACAGAGCCATAAAATGTTAAACATTTAGCCGTTGCACCAATCTTGTGAATTATTTTAGCTGCTTAAGTATTGCCATCATTCATCAAATGCCTGCTTGCATAGCCAGGTTTTCAGCTGTTTCCTGAACATCTGGAGAGAGGGGGCTGCTCTAATCTCGCTGAAGGGGGGGAGTTCCACTGCTGAGGGGCCACTGCTGAGAAGGCCCTGGCTCTCGTCCCCACTAATTTCACGTGCGAAGACAGTGGAATCAAGAGCAGGATCTTCTCGGCTGATCTTAGTGCTCTAACTGGCTCATGAAGGGAGATGCGTTCAGACAGGTAAGCTGGACTGGAACTGCACAGAGCTTTATAGGCTAAAGCCAGCACTTTGATTTGTGCTCAGAAGCAGACTGGCAGCCATTGGAGCTGACGTAACAGGGGGATTGTATGCTCCCTGTACGCCACGCCAGTCAGGAGCTGCCACCTGTTGGATCATTTGAAGTTTCAAACAGTCTTCAAAGGCAGCCTCACATAGAGTGTGTTGCAGTAGTCTATACCCCAAAAAGCCAAACCTTGATTTTGCCATGTTATCAAAGGAATGCCATTTTACAACACCATTATATATAGCAGGACTTGAGCATCTGTGTATTTTGTTATATGGGAGGCTGGTAACCTTTATTATCATGTGCTAAGAAACCTTGTTAATTAATTGCAAAAACATGCATTGGGACATTTGCAAAAGTGCCTGTGAGTTTTGATGAGCACTGGTGTCCAATACGTTGTCCCATATGTTTTGCAGTGTAACTGTCATTTTGTTCGCTTTGGAACATAATAATGTGACAGCAGACATCTATTGGATATGAACATTATGAATCTTCTCAATTCTTAGTAAGTTCACTTACTAAGGTGCAACTTCTATACAGAGTTCTGGCTGGGATTGAATGAGAAGGGACTGGAACTCAATGAAAGAAAAATTCCTGGAATATAGAAGATCTCAGCTTCAACTCTTGGCCAGTTCAGTCCCTGGAAGATTCACGTAGCTTCTGAAGACAAAGATGATCTGCCTGAGAACCTAAGAAATTATGCCAGTCAAGTAGAAAACAGGAAGAGATCAGATGACAAATAGGATGATCTAATACAAGGTGGCTTCTTATAGTCTTCCAAGCATGGTTAAATCTGAGTCTCTAAGCCCATGGCTGAACCAAACCTGACAAAGTTCCTCCTCAAAGATGGCATCACTTCTCTAAATTTAACCAGAAACTGCAAAAAGAACAATGAGAAGACATCTGGTTACCTGAAGATGCTCCTTGCTGGACCACAATGTGCAGCAGGGCTGGAAAAAAGAGAGATCAGAGAAGGAGAGTTTATTAATGGAGACTAAAAGCTTAGACTGCAGGGGTAACTTTCCAGATGTTCCAGACTTGGGATGTTTTGTTTTCAGAGGGCCAGCTCCTAGCACAGTTCAATTGCTGGACTGGTGCGGAGCTTTGGCATAGAGTGCTACTAGTATGCAGATGATACCCAGCGACTCTTGCGTCTCGAACCTGGGACAACCGCGATTCCTGAGAACTTTAGGCTGTGTTTGGAAGCAGTGATGAGTTGGCTGCGAGCGAGCAGACTAAAAGTGAATCCTGCAAAAACTGAGATACTCTGGCCTGGCCAGCCGCCAGAATTAATCCAGTCTCTGCCTGATTTCGATGGGGAAGCTCTGGTTCCGTCTGCCACTGTTAAAAGCCTTGGGGTTGTGTTGGACTCATTGCTGACGATGGAGGCCCAGATCACTGCCATAAGTAAGCAGGCCTTTTCTCATCTTCGCCAGGCAAGGAAATTGGCATCCTACCTTTCGGTAGAAGCATTGGCAATGGTAATCCACGCAACAGTCACCACGAGGTTGGACTATTGCAATGCCTTATATGCCGGCCTTCCGAAGTCAACAACCCAGAAGATTCGGATGGTCCAAAATGCAGCAGCCAGGCTGCTAGCGGGATCATCTATAAGATCCCATATTACACTGATTCTGCAACAACTGCATTGGCTACCAATAGAACATCGGATCTCTTACAAGATACTTATCCTGACATTTAGAGCTCAAAATGGCCAAGGACCTTTATATCTTAGGGACCGCCTCATTCCTTTCTCCATCAGTGGTCACCTCGATCCACCCAGGAAAATCTCCTATACATACCGGGCCCTAGAGAGGCACACCCGGAAGCTTCAAAGTGTAGAGCTTTTTTGACTTATGTTCCCATTCTGTGGAACTCATTGCCTCCATACGTTAGAGCAATGTCGGAGTTGCGACCTTTTGTAAAGGCACTCAAGACTTGGCTGTTTGGTTGTGCATTTAAGTAATCAGATCTAATTTGCCAAATAGTCACTGTTGAATGTTTTTATGTTGAATGTTTTTATATTGTGTAAATGCTATTTTAGATTGTAAGTCGCTCAGAGCACCTTGGTGGAGAGCAACTAATTAAGAAATAAAGTGAAGTGAAGTGAATTGATAACACTTTTTTCTCTTTAATGGTATTTTTCTTTTGTTGGCAAAATAAAAATGGAGACTCCTATTTTGGAGGCTTTTAAATAGAGACTGGATGGCCATCTGTCAGGGGCACTTTGAATGTTCTTTCCCTGCATGGCAGGGGGTTGGACTAGCTTCTGTAGAGTAATGTAAAATAAACCACATGTAGTTCACGTTTGATCAGTCCACACACGCCAGAGAAAGAAAATATGCCACGCAGTAAAAAATAGTAGTTTCCTTTTTGTAATTTGGAACAACATATTTAGAATCATGTGATCAGTTGCATCGACACACATAATGTCCTTTTAGAGAGATTTAAAATGGTCTTTCTTTGTCCATGAGGAGAAACTCCGTCGAGCAGTTCATGAAGCAAATGTACACTCCAAACTCTCTCTCTCTACTTCTCCCTGCTTCCATGTAAGCACTTGCACAGCTCAAGCCTGAAAAATGCAACAATATCCAAAAGTCCCAGGCTCAGCCATCTCCCCGGGCGTAGCCCAACTAATCAGCTTCATGCATCTTATTTTACAGTTGATGCACACACACTGATTTCTCACATGCTCCAACAGGCTCTACACCAGCGTTTCTCAACCTTCCTAATGCAGCAACCCCTTAATACAGTTCCTCAGATTGTGGTGACCCACCACCACAAAATTATTTTCGTTGCTACTTCACAACTGTAATTTTGCTACTGTTATGAATAATAATGTAAATATCTGATATGCAGGATGTATTTTCATTCACAGGACCAAATTTGGTACAAATATCTGATACACCCAATTTTGAATACTGGTAGGATTGGAGGGGGGGATTCTGTCATTTGGGAGTTGTAGTTTTTGGGATTTATAGTTCACCTACAATCAAAGAGCATTCCGAACTCCACTAATGATGGAATTGAACCAAATTTGGCACACAGAACTGGGTATTGATCTTGAGTTTTGGAGTTGTAGTTCACTTACATCCAGAATGCACTGTGGACTCAAACAATGATGGATGTGGACCAATCGTGGCACAAATACTCAATATGAATAGTCAGCATACCCAAATGTGAACACTGGTGGGTTTTGGGGAAAATAGACCTTGATGTTTGGGAGTTGCAGTTGCTGGGATTTACAGTTCACCTGCAATCAAAGAGCATTCTGGACCTCACCAACAATAGAATTGAGCCACACAGAACCCCCATGACCAACAAAAAATACTGTGTTTTCTGATGGTCTTTGGTGACCCCTCTGACACCTCCTCATGATCCCCCCAGGGGTTCCCACCCCCAGGTTGAGAAATGATGCTCTGCACTCTATGTAAGTGAATTACACCTACATAGAATAATAGAGCTGGAAGAGGCCACATGGGCCATCTAGTCCAACCCCTTGCCATGCAGGAAAAACACAGTCAAAGCACACCCAACAGATGGCCATCCAGCCTCTGTTTAAAAGCCTTCAAGGAAGGAGCTTCCACCACATGCCAAGACAGAGTGTTCCACTGTTGAACACCTCATAGATGACCCTTATGACAGAATAAGCCATCAGCAGGTTTTCAGGTAATAACAAGAAAGCAAAGAGAACCATTTACCCAATGTATCTATACACATAAGTACATTTCCTCTTCATAGTACTAAATATAAAAAACTGGACAATATGAAGTTTTGATTACTATTTTAACCCCTTCTCTGTTACCACCTTCATCTCCCCCACCACTATTTTTTTCATTAATTTTTCTACACCCCTTGTTACATCTAAGGACATTGTGATGTCTTTATAGTGATTTTTTTCATCTGTTTTCTTAATACAAAGATGATAGAAAAAGATACGGAGTGACTTAGAGAGAAGATACTAAAGGAACAATTTCAAGGAAGCATCAACATACCTAGGATGGAAAGCAAAAGACTAGTGTCCATCATAAGAGTTGAAGTTCTTCTCCGGCTACAGTTTTTCAGAGGCTGCCCGTCAGTATGCCCACTTTTAAAAAGAAGTGTTCCTTTCCAAAGCAGAGCACACTACTATTAAATGACTTTTGAGACTAATCACGGAAGTACAGATTTGCAAAATCACACTGCTGGGAAATGCCTGTCTGCAAGGGAAGTCAGTCATGGATCCAATGGACCTCAGTGCTTGAAAAAGAAAGTATTCGGGGACAGCTGACTGGAAGTGTCAGCAGTTGTAAACCACATCAGCAATTCCTCTTTTGTTGTTATGTTCCTTACATCAGCCCTTCAGACTCCCTGCTTCTGTTAAGCAAGAAAAAGGTTTGCTGATCACAGGAGTTTCAATTTCAGCTAGATATTCATCCCAGAGTATATGAATATGCTAAAATATGTATGTTCATATATAAGAAGGCAAGAATAAATTGTGAGATCAAGTCCTGGGACCAGTCCTGTTCGACATCTTTATATTAATGGCATAGATGCAGACAACACCAAATTGGGAGGGAGAGCTGTTCTGGCATGGCTGTGCCAGGGGTTTGAATTCCCTTTTTCTTTCTTTGCTTGTTTGCATGAATTCCTGAAGGCTATGCACTTTGCAATTTGGTAGCTTTTTCCAGATTGCAGTTATAGGACAAGCAACCTGTCAATCATTGTTGCAGTCTTTAGATCCGCCCCTTTCCCCAGGGGTTTGGAGGGGAAAGAGACCTTTAGCTCAGTTATCATGGAGAAGCCTTTCCAACAGGACTTGTGAAATTCTCCCACCTGTAGAAAGCTTCGTTTCTCACAAACTTTGGGGAAAAGCAGTTCGACAGCTTTACTAAGAAATACAGTCAGCTTTGCTGGAAGGTCAAGGACACCAGCTACAAAGTCTTGGCCAGTAAGGTCTACTCGGGTTACCCATAAAGCAAATTGGAACCGGGAGTAGGGCCCCACGCCAGCCTAAGAACAGATAGCCCAGGGAAGGGTCAAGGATTTCCTTTATAGAAGAAACAGTTCTTGAAGCAAGTTGTCTGTCCCTTGTGGGTAGATTGAGAAAGCTACCAGTTTTCCAGAGTTTTAAAGTATTTGATTGATTTGTTCAAGATTTAAGCATTGATAAAGAACCTTGTTAAACTTTCTAAGCTTCTAAAGATTTTGTATAGGAAAATCCATAGAGCCTCCCGGGACGCCTATATGCCCAGGCGTCCCGCTGGGCATATAGAGATCACGTCCTGTTAATAGACAATTGCTACAGGCCCAGCATGTGACAGCACAAGAGCCAATACTCCAGAAGACAGGAGCAGAATTCAAAATGATCTTAACAGATTAGAGAGATKGGCCAAAACTGACTGACAAAATGAAGTTCAACAGGGACAAATGCAAGATGCTCCACTTAGGCAGAAAAAATGAAATGCAAAGATACAGAATGGGGGGGGGGGGTGCGTAGCTCGAGGGCAGTAGTGTGATATTCCACATCTGGAATATCATGTCCAATTCTGGGCACCACAATTGAAGAGAGTTATTGACAAGCTGGTATGTGTCCAGAGGAGGGCGACTAAAACGATCAAGTGTCTGGAGAACAAGCCCTATGAGGAGTGCCTTCAAGAGCTGGGCATGTTTAGCCTGAAGAAGAAAAGGCTGAGAGGAGACATGATAGCCATGTATAAATATGTGAAAGGAAGTCATAGGGAGGGAGAAAGCTTTTTTTCTGCTGCCCTGGAGACTAGGATGTAGAACAATGTCTTCAAACTACAAGAAAGGCGATTCCACCTGAACATTAGGAAGAACTTCCTGACTGTGAGAGCTGTTCAGCAGTGGAACTCTCTGCCCCGGAGTGTAGTAGAGGCTCTTTCTTTGGAGGCTTTTAAACAGAGGCTGGATGGTCATCTGTCGGGGGTGCTCTTTCCTGCTTATTGGCTGGGGGTTGGACTGGATGGCGCAAGAGGTCTCTTCCAACTCTATAATTCTATCCTTCTAAGTAAGGGGCCGGGCTTAGCACATCAGGATAAATAACTATGCTGCCGAAAAATCCTGCAGATCGGAAGGTCAGCAGTTTGAGCCCAGGTGGGGTGAGCACCCACTGTTAGCTCCAGCTCACCTGTCTGCCTAGCAAGTCGAAAGCAGAAATGAGAGCAGATAAAATAGGTACCACTTTTAGCGGGGAGGTAATAAAAGGCGCCACTAAAAGGACATTGATTGGAGGAAAACACTTCGGCATGGAAGATGGAAAGGCAGCACACCCTGCTCCCCCGTGTCTGGAGTTGAGCACAGCCTCCAAGATGCCAGAAATAAGATGCGGAAAAACTGCCTTTACTTCTGTTTGTGTTGTCTTCCCTTGTTAACTGTATAATCGGCATTGAATGCTTGTCGTATGTATGTTCTGTAAACCGCTCAGAGTCCCCTTCGGGGTGAGAAGGACAGGGTATAAATAGTGTAAATAAATAAATAAATAAATAAATAATCAAGTCAGGAATGGTGTTTTGTCCTCATGGAGTGTGAAAAGAAACAAAAAGTGGAGAGTGGAGTGGAGTAGAGTGGAGAGATCAGGGGTGCACCTACAGTGAAGAACGAATGCAGTTTGACACCACTTTCACTGCCATGCCTTCATGCTGTTGGATCACAGCAGCTGAAGTTTTAAAAGGTATTCGGCTTCTCTGCCAATAGACATAGAGCTCCAAGGGTCCTACAGCATTGAGTGATGGTAAAGTAGTGTTGAACTGCATTAACAGTGTGAATACGCCCCTTGATACATAGAATCAGAAAGGAATGCTCACACTGTTGACTCCAGAACTGGGTTTTGTCTTCTCCCCTTGGATTTCCTTCCATTCTCAGGAAAACTGTAAAGCCTGTCCTGATCAGGTTTGCAAACATCCCCAATTATTACTGAATTTCTGAGGGTTATAAATCAAGAGTGGCAGCAGCAATGGATTTATGAGAATTTTATTCAGTGTTGTTGTTCTATTGTCGAAGGCTTTCATGGCCAGAATCACTGGATTTTGTGAGTTTCCCGGGCTGTATGGCCATGTTCCAGAAGCATTCTCTCCTGACGTTTCACTCCTGACGTTTCTATGGCAAGCATCCTCAGAGGTTGTGAGGTCTGTTGGAAGCTAGGAAAATGGGATTCTACCTGTCGAATATCCAGGGTGGGCAAAAGAACTCTTATTTGTTGGAGCTAGGTGTGAAAGTTTCAATTGGCCACCTTAATTAGCATTTGATGGCCTAGCAGTTTTAAGGTCTTTCAGCTTCAAAGTGTGGCTGTTTCCTGCTTCGGGGAACCCTTTGTTGGAAGGTGTTAGCAGGCCTTGATAGTTTGCTATCTGGATTTCCCCAGTTTTTGAGTGTTGTTCTTGATTTACTGCAGTGGTTCTCAAGCTTCCTAATGCCGTGACCCCCTAATATGGTTCCTCATGTTGTGGTGACCCCCAACCATAAAATTATTTTCGTTGCTACTTCATAACTGTAATTTTGTTACTTTTATGAATCGTAATGGAAATAACTGGTATGCAGGATATATTTCCATTCACTGGACCACATTTGGCACAAATACCCAATACGCCCAAATTTGAATACTAGTGGGGTTGGGAGGAGGGATTGATTTTGTCATTTGGGAATTAGATTTGCTGGGATTTATAGTTCACCTGCAATCAAAGAGCATTCTGAACTCCACTAACGATGGACTTGAACTTGGAGTTTGGGGGAAATAGACCTTAACATTTGGGAGATGTAGTTACAGGGATTTTTAGTTCACCTACAATCAAAGAGCATTCTGAACCTCACCGACAATAGAATTGGGCCAACCTTCCCACACAGAACCCACATGACCAAAAGAAAATACTGTGTTTCCTGATGGTCTTTGGCGACCCCTCTGACACCCCCTTGTGACCCCCCCCATGGGTCCCGACCCCCAGGTTGAGAAACACTAATTTACTGTCTTGATTTTAAAGCTTTTTCAATACTGGTAGCCAGATTTTGTTCATTTTCATGGCTTTGAAGCTGCAAGGCCATTCAATGCTAATCAAGGTGGCCAACTGCAACATTCTCACTTGCTTCAAGCAGACAAGAGTTCTTTCTCCCACTCTGGACAGTCCAGATACATAAACCTCACTTGTCCTAGTTTCCAACAGACCTCACAACCTCTGAGGATGTCTGCCATAGATGTGGGCAAAACGTCAGGAGAGAATACGCCTGGAACTTGGCCTTACAGCCCGGAAAACTCACAGCAACCCAATGATAAAAATGTTTACAAGAGGAGTATCAACTGGACTTATAGCTTCTTTGTTTCTTCCCCCTCATTACATACTCCTTGTGGTTCATCTCAGGTCTCAACAATATGATGTAGCATTTGGGGAAAAAGATGCAGGCTAGCAACCCAGCACTGGAGGCTAGAATGGAGAAGATCTCCACTGCCACCATGTATTTGCCCTTGGTGCTCAGGTAGGTTGGAACGAAGGACACCCAAACACTGCAGAAAACCAACATGCGAAGGTGATGAACTTTGCTTCGTTGAAACTGTCAGGTAACTTTCTAGACAGGAAAGCTACAGTGAAGCTGACTGCCGATAAACAGCCCATGAAACCTAAGACACAATAAAACATAACAACATATCCTTCATTGCATTCCAATATGATCGCCTCTTTGAAGGATCTCATGTCCACCTCTGGGAAAGGAGGTGAGAATCCCAACCAAACTGCAGAAATACCTGCTTGAATAAAGGAGCAGGAAAGGACAATGATAGCTGCCAGCCTTTTCCCTACCCATTTGCTCTTCCTGGATCCTGGCTTGGTGGCCAAAAATGCCAGAACCACCAGGATAGTTTTAGCCAATATGCAAGAAAGTGCCACGGAGAAGATGATACCAAAGGACACTTGTCTCAGAAGGCAGGTCACTTTCCCAGGTTGGCCAAGGAAGAGCAATGGACAGAGGAAACAGAGGAGCAGGCAGATGAGGAGTGTGTAGCTGAGACTTTGGTTGTTGGCTTTGACAATGGGAGTATCTTTGTGCTTAATAAAAGTTCCTAGTACCAAAGAGGTGATAAAGGAAAACAAGAGAGCACACAAAGTGATTGTGATTCCCAAAGGATCTTTATAAGACAGAAAGCTTACTCCCTTGGCGATGCATCCATTTTGATCCAGGTTTGGGTACTGATCTTCTGGACATTCAATACAAGCATCCATATCTGTG